ACTTTAATTTTATAGATATACTTACTAGTAAGTACTACGCTGTTAATTTAGGCTTTACTTACTATATCCTAGGTATTATTATTAATTAGGAATTATATCTCTTTACCTATAAATAAGATCTATTATTAAGCTTTAAGGCTTAAAATAGTAGCTTTATATATCTTTAGTTTATTATTACTAGTTAGTATTAATAATTTAAGAAGAGTAAGCTAGTTTATAGATTACTAGTATTCTAAGAATTCTAAAGTAGTAATCTAGGTAATAATTATATTAAAGTTAGTACTATTAATTAGTTTAGTAAAGTCTTTATCTAGGAGAAGATCTACCCTAGATAGTATCCTAAATATAGGATCTATATTACTAGAGGCTATTATAAGAAATAGATAGGTAACTAGTACTAGTATAGTTATAAGTATACTAGTTATCTCTCCTTTAAGCGTAGTAGTAGCTTTATTATTTACTATTTAAAATATAGATTTAGGTACCCTAGCTATAAAGGAGAGGTTAAGAGCTTATTTAAAAAAGATCTCTTTATAGAAGCGTATATCCTAGGCTTTATAAACTAGGTTTTAGTCTATATTCTATATATAGTAGTAGTTTTTAGTTTTATATATAGTATAGCCTAAGAGATAGTATTTCTTACTATAATTATCTAGTTTTAGTAGCCTAATAGCTAGCTAAGGAACTAGTATCTAGTACTTATAGCTAATTATATATAAGTATACTATAGAAGGTAGCTCTTACTAGAGCTATTTATATAGCATTATAGACCCTAGGTTAGCTAATATTAGTATAAGGTTAAGAAGTAGTACTATTAATTTAAGAAGTTTACTATAGTAAATTTCTAATAAGTTTAAGTAGTAAAGGATTATATAAATAGTAAAACCTACTAAGCCTATACCTTATTTTAATACCCTATCCTACTTAGGGTTATAGGGTACTGTTAGTTTATAGTTAATACTACTTATTATATAAATCTAGTTAAATTAGTAGTTACTAAACTTACTACTATTATTATTTTATAAAATTCTAATTTTAGTATTTAGAGTATTTTTAGCCTATTTTTAAAAGTCTATAAAGAACTAAGTTACTTTATTCTTAGTTAATAGTAGTTTAACCTAGTAAAACCTTAAATAGTTATTAGTAATAAGAAGGCCTATTACCTTATACTTTACCTCCCTTTTATTAATAGTAGTTACTATGCTAAAGAGGTTAAAGAATAGTTATTTAAGTAGTTAAGTAGCCTATTATATAAGCTAGTAAAAGTTTTATTATAGAAGGCCTACCTAAAGGTAATTATTATATTTATCTATAGGTTTACTAGAGACCTTTACCCCTAGTAAAACTAAGAGTTTTTAAAGTTATTACTCTTTAAGGTAGGTAAGTTATCTATACTATACTATTAGGGAGATATCCTATTTAAATACTATTATAATATATAGGTATTAGGGGCCTATATATTATTTATTATTAATATTAAGAGTATAGAGATCTGTTTTATAACAAGACCCTACTATAATAATATTATTAGTAGGTATTCTTTAGATTTCTATAGTATAGCTGTAGGTAAAGAAGGCTATATTAGTAGATATACCTTAACCTAAGATTATTAAGGCGCGTTAGAAGATAATGTTAAATAGAAGTTTTACTAAAAATAAGATATTCTAAATAGTAAATATCTTTCTAACTTTAGTATTACTATTAGTTAAGGTAATTAGTATTTAAATAGTGCTAATATAGGTAATATTAATTATCCCCCCTACGCTAATAATCTGCTAACTAGGTAGTACTTTATATATTTTACCTATAAAGTATTTAGATAAGCTAGTATAATAGGCTTTTACTCTACTATCTAGTACTTAGTTAGACTCTAAGAGGTAGCTATTTAGTATAGCTAGTACTATAATATTTATAGGTATTATATCCTTATTAAGTTAATTATCTTTAGGCCTATATACTCTTATAACTACTATTAGCTAAGTAAAGAGCTTAGTTTTAATTTATTATTACGTAGTATTACCTATAGTTATTATATTAGTATAATTATATTTAGCTTCCTTTTAGCGGCTACTCTTATTAAGTTTATTAAAATACGCCTATTATAGCTATTTATTTCTAGGGAAATAGTAGTAGTAACCTTTTATTACTTTCTTAGGTACTTTAGTATATATATACTCTAAGGCCTAAGGGCTAGTATAGTAAGTATATTTCTTACTACTACCTTCTAGGTTACTTCTACTCTAGCCCTATAAATATTATTAGCTAAATAAGGTAAGAGTAATAGAGTTAATACTAGCCTTAGTAAGTCTTTATTATTTTTTACTAATAATATTAGTAGTAAGTTTATTAAAGTTCTTTAGATTTTTAAAGTTAATAATTAACAGGTTATTATACAGGACGCTAATCTAGTAATTATAGAAGTTATTAAGGTTATATAGAAACTAGAGGTTTATAAGCTATAAAGGTAAAATATAGTTTTTATTAACTAATTAAAAGTATTACTAAATTATATTTAGCTTATCTTAAAATTATATAACTAAGCTATAATTTATAAAGTTAGACTTTAGAAATTATTAAAACAGAATATATAGATAGGCACTCTTAGAGGCTTTATATACGCTAAGGCGTATAAACGCTTCTTATAGCGTACTATAATCTTAAATTATTAATTAAACTATTAGTGTAAGAGTATTATATAGTAGTTTAAGGGCAAGTAGTATATTATTAGAGTAGTACTTAGTAATATTATTCTTAGAATTAAATTAGGGCTTAAAGAAAGACTAGAACCTTAATATAATAGCTATTAATTTAAATTTATTACGCTATTTATTATAGTTCTAAGGTTTTTCTAACTTTAGCTACTCTTCCTAAGTAATTAACCTAAGTACTGTATTTATATTAGGGTAATTTCTTAAGAGATTCTTTATAAGTCTAATAGCTATTTTAATAACTTATTCTATTATAAATATCCTAGCTGTAATAGCCTAACCTAAGGTTAGCTATGCTATAACTAGCCCTAGGACTAACCTTATAGTACTTGTTTTAGCGCTAGTATTTTTATTATTAGTTAGTTCTACTATTACAGAACCTATTAGATTAGCTAGTATTAGTACTATAGATATATTATTAATATTAGGTAGTAATCTTTACTATTATAAAGTTACTTATTTATATACTTTTTAAGCCTTATAGGCTTATTAAGTCTCTATCCTAGTGTTAGTACTATTAGTATAATCTAAAGAAGGTAATTTATTATTATTAGATAGAGATTAGTTAAGTAGAGGGGCAAAGTTTAAGGTACTTATTTATATTTTATATTACGTAGGCTCTAGTAGTTTATTAATATATAAGCTAAGGTCTATTATTATAGTATACTTTTATATACTACGTATATTTAATAGCAGTAGTACTAGCGTTTTTAACTAAATAAGAGCTGTTTACTACTATAATATAATTTTAAATTTGTGTAAAAAAAAAAAAGTTAAGAGGCTATAAAGTTAGTTATTATTATTATTAAGTTATTAATTATGTAGTTAAAGTTCCTAAATTTTTTAAATACTTAGTAGGGGCTACTATTTAGAATTAGCTCTATTAATTTATAGCTAGTAAGGATTTAAGTAAAATAGTATCTTAGTTACTTAATTTACTGTCTTACTTAAGCCCTTTATAACTTTAATTTAATAGCTTTACTTCTCTACAGTATCTCTTAGATAATTATTAATAAAACTATAAATATTAATTATTTAGGTTAGGTATTAAGTTAGGTATTATCTACCTTTTCTAGCCTAAACTTTTAATTGTTAGTTAAGTATTTATTAGATATTTAGTTATAATACTTTAAATTTTAGCTACTTATAGATAGAATAACTATAGTACTAGGTACCTAGGAACTATTATTATATAAGTCTTTTATATATTTAAACATAGTTATAGCTACTTTTAATTTATAAGACTTTTTATTAATAAAGCTATACTTCTATTATTAAACCTAGGAGGATTTATTTACGTTATGCTAATCTTAATATAATTATAGCGTAGGGTATAGGAGTAGTTAACCTCTTTACTTTAAGTATATACGCTAATTTTATATTTCTAAAGATAAAGGTTATTTCTAGTATCTATAATAGATAACTCTCTTTATTTATATCCTTTAATAGAGTAAACGTGTCTTAGGATTTAGAGAGGTAGCTTTAAGTACCTATTTAGGATAGCTTTAATTATGTTTTTAGGTATAATCTTTTTAAATTAATATTTAATAGTATTAGCTATCTCTTTAGCTTATTATTTAATAATAGGTATTTAGTAGTAATTACTTAGTAATACTGTTTTCTTATATAATATATATACTTATTAGGAGAATATAGGTAGTAAGCTAATAAGTCCTTAATTAATTTATTTAGAGTAATTAAGCGCAGTAAAGCGCTAGGCTTATAACCTATTAAAAAGATAATTCTTTATTAACTAACTACCTAGGATAGCAGTAGAATATCTTATATACTTTATCTACTGCTTACTCAGCTATCTACGCTAACCTTGTATTTAACAACTATAACATGTGCTGAAGTGTATCGTAATCGTATGACATATGTATGAGTTAAATCAAGCATCGACAGGATGACGGGAGCCTCAAATAATCACTACCAGTATCTGCATGTAATCCAGGGCGAAGACAAGGACCTAGGTAGAAGTCTAGTGTGATGGCCTGATGCTTGGCAAAGGCCGAGCTACATCTGTTCTACCTGTCTGAGCCGCGTCTACTTTTGACCTTCCTAGTATGTCATAACGCTGACCGCTTGTCCCGTAAACACAGGTCCAACCTTTGGACGAGCTCTTGTGGAGTACCGTTGACATGACCCTAGAAGGATCTTGAAGTCTCATCGTGATACGAGCTATATTTGGACTAAAGCTCGAGTAACAAAAGTTACAAACTCGTCTTGGCACGGGAGGAGATATCCCCTTCTATCCCCGTGTGTAGTGTGTTATCATTTTGACTGCCCATCGTTCATTCTCTGTTGCGACTTTTCCATTGTTGCCTCCTTCAATTAGATAGCACCAGCTTCTACTATGAAGACCTCTACCTTCCTCTCTCTTGTGGTGCTTGCCCGCCAGGTCACCTCTACCCGCTATCCGGAACTCCAATGGGATCCAGACACCGCCAAGGATTGCGTTGAATGGTACAACAATGGCGACGGCGTAACGTGCGACGCAGTGCGCGACTTGATCCCTATCACGCCTGAGCAATTCCACAAATGGAACCCTTCCGTTGGACTCGACTGCAAACCATGGAACTATCAATCATACTGCATTGCCACCGCGGAGAGACTGAACAATACGCCGAAGCAAACAACTCCTTCCTCCACAATCGCGACCACTACAACCAGCGCATTCACGTTGGGTCCTTCTCCTACTGCTTGGACTGATAGGGGCTGCTATGTTGAGGATACCGAATTGCCACTTCTTGACCAGAACATAAGCCCAATCGGTGGAGTCGCGTTCCTGACGATTCTGGCATGTAAGAACAGTTGCTATCTTCACGCTTACAGCTTTGCGGGTGTGCAGGAAGGAAACCAGTGCTGGTGCGGTAGTTCCATTCGCGGCGAGTTGGCGAAGAATCAAACTGACTGCAACATTCCCTGTAGTGGGAATGAGGAGATATCTTGTGGTGGGAAGGGACTACTCAATATCTTCCAGGCCGAGAAGAACGAAACGTCCGCATCTACTACCACCACTAGCACTAGCACTGGTGTTCAGGTTGCCAGTGCTAGCCTCTCCAAGACATCTGAAATTGCCAGTGCGAGGAAGACATCTGGGGCCGAAAATAATACAGTCATGTCGTGGAAGAACTTTTTGTACAGTATTCAGTTCCTTAGTTTGGCGTTATCTTTGTATGTCTAGCAAGATTGATTGTTCACTTCCAAATACGTCTAGACAGAACGTGAGCTACCTCTTTGTGACCCTGCAATTGCCACAGTCTTCCACTCAACGCAGTCTCCATTGAGACCGGCGAATCATGGTGTTCTCAAAATTGCATATGTCGCCCAACTGGTAGCACTCCGCTGGCGATAGATCATCACTGCATCTTTTCTCTCATCAACATCCTGTTTGTGCACTGCCGGATGAGTCAAACTTTGGTAAGTGCGTATCCCTGCCTGCAGTGCCACTGAGACGCAGTGCCGAGGCTTCAGGGTAGATGCCACTCGTTTCATCTTTACTTATTGTCTGGAACTAAGACATTGTGCGACAGATAGGCTAGAAAATACTTGATTTAGTGTACTACCCGTAGATGCGCCCATTCCTCACTCGCGTGATGTTTGAATCACCTAAAGTCCCAATTGCTAGGCTGCCAACATCACTCTTTCCATCGACATCTCCGAAGCGTAGCGTTAATTCTCCAATACACGAGCCCGATCTGAGGCTTCCATGGAAGTTCCACCCGTTGGTAATGCAATATATGAATTGTGCCTCTGCTCGATACGTTCATCATAGCATCCGGAACTTTCCCCAGAAAATGATGCACAATGGGCGGAATCAAGCTTGCGATGATCAAACTCACAGAGGCTATGGACAAGGTGACAATCTAGTCTTTGTGTGCTTGTACGATTTCGATATCACTGCTCCTGGTCCCCTCAGTCTGCTAGAGTCTTGCCTGTCGGCCTTGAACATAAGCAAGAATCATGTTGTTAGCGTAGGCAAGATCAGACCCGACGATAGCGAAGGTGATGTTGGAATCGACCTAAGAAGTGTCATTCTCAAGTGTAATATGGCTCAGTCTGGACGTCTAGTTGGGTTGTGTTGAGCGATAGATGATCAAGCCTAGAACGCCATATTCTTGTAACTAGATAATTGAGTGCGTCAGAGCATGAAACCTCAACTTCAACGTAGGTTGTCCGAACGTAACACTCGACCGCAAGAGGTAGGCCTATTTTCTCTTCATACCCAAATTTGAAGGCCTCCATAGAACTGTTCTCGTATGAGATGTTGCTTCTGTACGTGTGAGAATCACCCGGACCCAAAACAGAGCCTTTCCACCAGATGAACGCGCTGTTTTCCCACTCGCTAGTGACATAAGACGTATTGAGAGGCATGTAGCTACCATTGTAATCGCTTTTGCTGCAGCTCAAATTCAGATACATCGTTTGCAGGTTCATCATATGGTCGATATAGCCCGAGCCTTGAAGGCCAGATATTGGAACTCGGGTCAGTGACGCAAACACTGCTGAGTCTAGATTTTTATCAATGACGGAAATTGAACCAACCGTCATTTACAATATCAACCACTAAACTTCAGACAATGGTATATATGGAGAATTTGATGGGGTTTGGCAACGTGTGCCAGTCTCAGGGTCCATCCTGACAGTCCGCAGCCTTATCGAGGAGAGGAGAGACTGTCGCTTCACGGCTGAATGTTGGTTTGCGATGCACATCTACCGTCTTGCTAGCCTGGAGTTGGGCATCTTGAGAGTTCTCCCTCTACCGATTGAGCACAGTGGAGGTGGAGGAGTCGTCGAGTTTCAAGTCTAGAAGAGGGGGCAAAGCTGTCAAAGCTACTAAGTTGGTTCGTGCATATACTCAGCCACATACGTGACATTTTTTCCAGTGCAGGTTAAACCTGTCGAAAATCTCGCAGAAAGTGTGCTTGGCGATCGAGCCTGGGGCAACCTTTTGGAGCATGATGGAAATAACCTACAAATTGGAGAACCGCATGAAGCGACACGGAGAATTTGCGAACACCAGTGTGTATTTTATGGTTTAGTCAAAGAGTAAGCATATTTGCAAACAAGTTCATAATGGACAAGAAAGTACTCATCAGCTCAATCGCATAAAGTGCATAGTCTCTGCTCATACTACCCGCTCATCAGCACATCCAGCCAACTCGTCACAAGCTTCCGCCCTCGCCCCCCACCACTCCACCATCCCAACCACGGCCCAAAACCCCACATGATTACCCTGCCTCACCACCCTCAGCAGTAACAGATTCAAAAACAGCGCGCAGGCATCCTCCGTCGTGAACAAGACATTCACACTCGTCACCGCGCACAAAAGATCCTTCCCGTCACTCGAACTTGGATCAACCACACGCTTGAGCAGAAAATTTGCCAACCCACCAATAATCCAGAAGAGAAGCCACTGACCAACGTGCAAGCCGGTAGTCCTACTGAATACCTCGAAGTCCGGTCCCTCAAGGCAAGTCATGTAGCCAAAACCCCATGGATCGCGAGAGATAGGGAAGACGCGGTTAGGCTCGACGTTTGCGAGGAGGAAGTACTTGACCACATCGAGATATGATTCGAAGTTCTTGAAGTCGGTGTATGCGCGGTAGAATTCGAATTCTGAGATGACGAAGAAGGCGAGGCAGAAGTGGACGGCTGCGTGTTGCGTTTGCGAAAAGCCCGAACTGGAGTCGAGCAGGCGCTGTCCGAGGGCTGTGGTGGCTTGGTGGAGGTGTCCTAGACACATGCTGAGAGAGATGCAGTATGGTGGACTTCGGGGTTTGGCGAGAGGATTAAGATATGTTAGGGCGAGATCGGTGGAGGCGCCGCAGACGAGGGCGACGAGTCCGCTGAGGAGTAAGATGTTCCATTTCTGTAGGAGGCTGGGAATGAGGGTCGCTAGCACAGAGAAGAAAACTTGGGTTGCGAAGCGGCGCGGTGGTATCCGGAGCGTTGCGAGATAGGACGTCGAGTATGATGGTGCCATGATAGTTATCGTGTACGCGAGGCGTGCAGTGAGGATGAGTGTCTGCTCAGATGTGGGTAATATCGCATTCGACGAGTGCGACGAGTGACTAAGTGGTGTTGGTATGTACCAAGGTTGAGTCCGAACTAGCATCAATTCACTACAGCTGGTGGGATCTTAGCGTACCGGACCGAACCTGCCCTAAGCAATCCAGCAATGGTTCCACACTCCGACTTTGATATCGAGACAACGCCGAAATCACAATCCGCCGCCAGCAGCGTGTGGCTAGATGTGTTGTTCCAACTCAGATCGATGCGCTTCCGTCCGTGTGTTTGAACCGGGAGTGGGTCTAGGTATTATCGAAGTGCAGCCACACGTATCGGAGTCTTCAATAGTCGGTGGAGGAAGCAAGACTCTAGTAGGCTGCCTGGAGACTACTTTCAATCAAGCAATGGAGTGGAGACCGCCCTTTTACCAGTTCTAGGAGCCAGTATGCGACATAACCAATAGTTGTTGGAGTTTACCCGTATACTGAGCTTGTAGAAGCCTTGTGAGTAACAGGATATTGGCTACAGAGTTATGTGTTATCAAATTGAAGAGCTAAGCGCTCATGATATGAGGTCCTGGAATTCTGGACTCAAAGCTAGTAAGGTTTACCGATGTAATGCATGTAAGAATTAATCACAGCAAGTTTTGTGCTACGTAACCAACGAAAACTATAAAGAGAACATAGAAAAGAGAAGTTAAGCCCAGCAACATTACATGTAGACGCCAAAAATATCAAGAAACTTTATTTTGCGCAACTGTCAAGACTTCCCAAGGGCATCAAAGAACCTTCCAACCCAAACGCAGCTAGCAGCTACGATTCCCTCTCGCCTAAATTCTAGTCCTTCTACACCCCATAAATATCTATGCGTGAGTATAAGAGTCTTGTAGCCAATGTACCACGGTGACGATGGGAGTAAAATTTGAGTTTCCCATTAGGATAGAACCCTCTCTCCCGCCCCACAACCACCCAAATCAATAGAATTCCTCGCGCTCCCGAAACAGCCAGCCACTCCGGAACGCTTGGCTGTCTTCCTCGTCCCCTTCACATTGCAATCGAATCTCCTCCTTCAGCTCTGCCATCTCATCCCTCGCGTCCTCAAAATCCTCATTCCGCACCCACCCCTCCTCCGTCATCCCGCAAACCCGCTCCCTCCACCCCTCCACCAAGCCACTCATCCTCGCCCAGCTATCCTCCACATCCGCAAAGCCATCTATTTCCCCTTGCTCAAAGCGTACGGGACAGTCCATACCTTCCACATCAGGGAAATGCCCCCAGAACCTTACCGCGCGGAGCACTGCTCCCTTCAAGGTGATGAGATTCCCCGCCCACTGTCTACCCGCGCTATCGACCAGCATCTGGCGGCCGAGAAGCAGCGGGTCGTGTAGAGCTGCGAGGTGCGGCTTGTTGAGTGCGCCGGTGAGGATGTAGTACGTGAAGAAGAGGATGCGTTGGCGGTGGAGGGCGTGTATCGCTATTTTCTCCGCGTCTGGCAGGGACGCCAAGTTTTCTGGGAGCGTGGGGTCGTCTAGATGCGTGGGGAGGTCGGGGTCTGGATTTTCGAACGCGCGGGGGAGGCCGGCGGCGAGGAGATGCGGGTGGATGATTGCGTGTTGCCAGTCGATTAGACAGGATATTCTGCCTGTTTCGGGGGTTATGAAGATGTTGCCCGGTGTGAGGTCGGGGTGGCGGAGTGTCGGTCGATTGAACGGATGTGCGGGGTTTTTGGGGAGTAGATGCGGTGCCAGCAGCTGGTAGTCGTTCAAAAGCTTTATATACTCCTCTGGTCGTTGAACGCCCAGCCCGATAGCGTTGTGGGGGAAGTCAGGCTCCATTGCAATGCCGTAACGCTGCGTCCAGGCCCTCTCCTTCTCGGCGATCGAGTGCAGGTATTCGACGGGGGTTGTCCATGGTCCGCGGTTTATGTCTAGCCCTGCTCTGCTGCCGAACCAGAACATGTAGTCGGCGATTGGTCCGATGCAGAACTGCTCGTCTGCTTCTTGCACAACATGTCCTTCGACGTACAGGGGAGCTTGTAGATGGGACGGAATGTCTTTCTTGAAGTACAAGCTCCCTGTCGCGCCGAACGGAATCCCGGAAAACACAACCTCAAGCTCAACGAAACTATGCGCCAATCTCCGTATCTCTACGTCTTGAAGCTCCGCCCATCTCGACGCGAGGCAAACCCCAGAAGCCTTCTCCATGAGGATATATTCCGCACCAACAGGATTCTCCTTCGTCGCAGCGTACCCATATACTTCCGGGACCGGTATACCTTTCGCTCTGAGAAACGCGAGCGTAGCAACTTCACTAGCGGTGGCATAATACTCAGGACAGGCGATGTGGTATGGAATCTTAGCGATGAGTTCAAAGCCATCCTCGCACGTGAGGACGAACACACGATTAAACCCTCCTTCTGTTAGTTTTTCCGTGCTGATGATCTTGCCGTGTTTGTTGCAGAGGGAGACTTCTGCTGCATGGTGTAGGGCTTCTAGGTCGAATTTGACATGTCGTTCTTTTAATCGCTGCGCCTCGTTGAAAAGGAATCGTCCTGAGGTGTAGGAGAATAAGGGCGTGTTGTTGGGAGTATCTGTTTTGCGTGCCGAAGCTTGAGGTGCACCTCGCACCATGCTGCTCGACGACAACCCTCGGGTTGCGAGGCGAATAGAGGGGTTGATCGAACGACCATATAAGCGAGAAACACATCTACTTAACATCCTCAACAGAATATCAAGAAAGGGGAGACTTTGAAGCAAAACCCGATACCGTATGAAGAGGGTTGTAGCATTTCCCTAGTCCGAGCATGTAACGTTAGGGCAGCGGTCTAAGCTTACACACCTCCCTCGCAGCATAGTCTTCTATCCACGACTACACAATATCAGAAATAAGTTGTTTTCTCTAATTCGCCGGTCATCGCGATACCGTTTGTTTCGAGAGTTGTCGACTTTACTACAGACTATGTATGCGTTGCTGTTCTCTGCATCGAACTATGTATGTACTCACGCATTCACTCATAACACATGTAAAATGCATATCGTTATCCACGACCAACGTCACCTCTACTCATGCATGAGAACTACCCACCCATCACCACCCCAACGCATCACCAATACATCTTCTCCCCCCCAGCACCGCTACCACCGCCACCGCCCTTCTTCTCCGCAACCTCCACATGCTGAACCCTAACTCCCTCCCCATCCCCCCCCACCATCTCGACATCCTCCCTAAAGCTAACCTTACCCACCGTCTTCGTCCCCACCCCACCAGTACCAACACCATCGACATCCATACCCTCCGCGCCCACCGTATCGCTACTAGCGCTACTCTCCAGCCCCGCCAACGCGGCCATCCCGCCATTAACCTCCACCATCTCCGTCACCCCCTCGCCCCCACCATCAACCTCAGTATCCGGCGTCAGTGTAGCCGATCCATTGCGGAACTCGCGCGTAGCCGTGTTGCTCCACGTGTAATCCCACTCGGGGGGGTTACTCGGCCAGCCATCCTGCTGCACAGCGCCATCACCGTACGTGTCGTTCCAGTCCGCTGTGCCGGCAGCCTGCAGTTCGTGCATGAAGGCCACGTTATCCGCTTTGACGAAGTCGGCGAGGGGTGTGGGCAGTGGGGCGGGTTCAGCAGTGAGGGCGGCGTCGTTGGCGTAGATGAGTAGGGCTGAGGCGGATTCCGTGGTTGCGCGCTCGATGACTTCGGAGAGGGGGACGGCGTTGCGGAGGAGGGTTGGGGAGGCGGATTCGGCGTCGTATTGGATGCGCCACCATTGCGTGGCGGGTGGGTCGGAGGCCGGGACGGGGTGCAGGAGGTAGACTACGTCGCGGCGGGTGGCTACGCCGGCGAGGTGGTAGGGGGTTTTCATGGCGTCTTGGGTGGATTGGCCTTGTGGGGGGTTGGGGGTGGGGGTTTCTTGGGGGGTTTCGGCGCCGTCGTCGACGGTGGGCTTGAAGCGGTTGGAGATGTTGCTGAGTGTTTCGCGGATTTCTTTGCTCTGTTGGTCGAGGGCTGCTGGGGTTAGATGGGGTTGTGGGTAGGCTGGGGAGGTACTTACTCTCGAGCTTGCTCTTGATACTCTCGTAGACGGTCTGCAATTGCGAGAGAACCGCTGCATCTTCTGGTTTTGATTCTTCATCCTCCGTCCTCGGCTGGAACGCCTTCATACTTGTCTGCAGCAGTTTTAGGGAATCCACTTGTTTGGCATTTGCACTGTTCTTGGGTGTGTGGTATTTCAGCCTTTGCGCCGCGGTGTCCATGTCTATCAGCTGATCCTCGTACTGCTTCATATCTCGATACATGGAGTCGATGATATGCCTGTTCGTGTCAAGATACCGATCAACGTAGAGAGTAGCGGGAACTCGACAGCCCAAGTCGGATGCATCTGTTTTCGACGATGTCAGGCGGATGATGAGTACATTGCTGATCTCATCGATATGTGCACTCCCCGCGCCGGAAGAGAAGAGGACGTCGTCAAGAGCGTCGTATATCGTCAGGTCTTTCTTAGCGTCTATCCGTGTCACGTTGGCATCGATGATGAAGCATTCCTGGCGGTCGTTCGCGATATTGACTGTCGACCGCAGAACACCATCGAGCTGCGCACCCGGCACCTGGCTCTGATACGCAAAGCTCCAAACCAGCAAGAACTTGAGTAGGTCATCGTCCGGGTCGTCCAATGTAGGATTACTCTCCTTCCATGCATCAGAACTGAGCAGAGACTCGACCGAAGCATACGCCCTATCCGTGTTGTCCAAAAATGCCATCAGACGCTGCGCCTCGTACAGAATCTCCAGCCCATGCGACTCCGCAATGCCAGTCGTAAGATCGATAACGCGCGCAGACGCCGTAGGGCTTCCTTTCCACCAATCATCGCCCAACCAATACTCTTTCTGTGTCACCCCAGGGGACAGTAATGCATTGCGGAAGAGCGGAATGGAATGGAGAATCGATATGGCCAAGGGGAGGTAGTTGAAGTTCGGCGACGGCTTCAGCACTGGAGGCTTGCCCGATTCACGCTCACGCATGCGATCGGTGGGAGTTGGATCTGGAATATAGGCAGTCGTGGTGGGTACCATGGCCCATTGCGACGTCTCGTAGTGTTCCTTGGTCGCGGGGCCAAAGGCAGCATTCGCACCGCCTATCACGCCCGACTCTTGCATCTCAATGCCTGCTCGCTCCGTCAGCTTCTCTCCAGATATCCCATCCCACTCCTATCCGAGGACTAACTCTCTATGGGCGCATCACCAAGATGTGTGGAGAGGTTGGAGTGCTGGCTCGATCGCGACGGGGGGCGAGTGGGAGCTCTGCTCTGGACACCGCTGTGAGGGTAGTTGTCGAAGCCTGTGCCATAGTCAATACTGAAGGCTGAGAAGCGGCCCGTCAGTCGTATGTCTGTATGCGACCGCGCTGGAGGGGAGCCAACATACTAGGCCCGTTGCTGCCTGCGTCCTGCTGCCCGTACCTGTCGGCGCCAAAAGCTGTCCCGTCCCACTTTGCGACTGAATTGCTGAGTAGCTTCCGTACGTTGGAGATGTCCCCCGCATCGTAGAACTTTTCTGCTGCCTGCGCGACGTCGTTGTTGGAAATCTGCCAGAGTTAGGACGTTGCCACAAAGACAGGCGATGGACCCGTCGCACCTTGAGTAGTTGCGCAGCTTCGTCATGGTCGAGTTGCCAGAAGGAGACTTCTCTTAGCTGAGCTATCTTCTCTTGGTTCGAGGTCCCAGCCATTGTCGCGGTTGTAGAGTGTGCGGCGGGGCGGATGAAGATGTGGATGTGGGTGCGAGTGTAGAAGTCCCAAAGAAGCTATTTGAATGCGCAGGTGAATGAGAGACCAAACGCCGCGTAAACTAGCAGCAACAGCCAAGCGCAGGAAGGAGCCAGAAATTTGGCCCGGCGTCACTCGTGGATTGAGGCATGGCGCATGGCGGGGAGCAATTGCGGAGCTTCAAGAGGAGCTATGGAAGATGACGCGCCACGCTGCAGGGATGTGTAGTGGACCGCTCGACAACGACCTCTGATGCACAACGTGAAACAGAGCAAGTCAAATGCTGAGAGATGTATGTCTGGGAGAAGATGGAGCACATATCCACGACAAACATCTGCAAGTACAAAACGCCTCCATATGCTATCATGCTACCCTTTCCATGCCATAAATCTTACAATCGTTGCCCTCGTCAAGTCTATTTTAGAATGTACAGTGTGTTTTACAGTATTTCAACAGCATTTCCCTCGTCTAGTCATTACCATCACGACTCCTTGCTTGCAGAAACCGTCTCCTTCTGCTCTGTCGACCCATCAGATACCGACGCCTCTTGCGCAGCGTCGGAACCAGGCCCCAGAGGCCTGAACAGCCGCACGCCCTTCTCCTTGTCGATCTTGTCCTGTGTGTCTCTCCACTTGCGTCCACGGACGCTGTACTCGTTGATCAAGTTACGGTAATGGATGAGACTCTGGGCAGCCTCCTGGTCAGTCAAGCCGACGAGCTGGTGTCGTCGCTTCTTGAGTGCGTCATACAGCCTCCATCGTGTGCTTGGTTCTATCTCTTGTATGTGGTACTCGATTGACCAGTTGTCGTCCGGGGTTAGGGCTTGCGGTCGGTCTACGTATCCGTCGTTGACCTTGCTGCGGACTGTCAATGTCCAACCGATGAGTGGTCCCTTTTCCTCTGGTTCAGGCGCTGGGGTGCTCTCGGTGGTTTCATCCGTTTCCTCGGCGTCGGAAGTCTCGGTGGCCTCTTCAACTTCAATCTCCTCCTCAACTACAAGCCCTTCGTCAACTTCAGTCTCCTCCTCAACTACAAGCCCTTCGTCAACCTCATCCGCCCCCTCATCTTCCTTCACCTCGTCGGCTTCACTCGTACCCTCTTCTGTGGCCGCAGTTTCGGCATCCTCGGTCACTTCGACATCCGCTTCACCCTCCTGAGCCTTGTCGGCCGGGATTCCCCTCTTGTCCTCGTCAACTTGCTCATCGACCTGGTCCTGGATGTTTTGCCAGGCTGCCTGGACCTCTGGGTTGTCCTTCCCCACACCTACAACGTTCCGCGCAAACTCTTTCTGGACAGCTTCTCCGGTACTCTGAATCTCGTCCGCTTGCTCTTCAGTGACTGGCTCAGCGAAAACGTACATGAATGGAGTCTTGGTGTCGCGTGACTCAAAGTGCAATCGGATGGACTGATAGCGTTAGTCGATGTTTTAGTAGAATTGGAGAAGTTGACTTACTGTTTCTGGGAATTCCTTGGTGGCCTTCTCCATCAGCTCGTCCAGCAGTGAAATGGAGAGCTTGAATTCCTGGTCACCCAAACACGTGTCTTCTTGGCCATGGAGCACCCTATCCATATCCGCTATGCTCAGATATTGGAATCCGAAGATGCGCTCGATATTGTGATAAGCCAAGAAGATACCGTCCATGCGACCCATGCGAACTTGCAGCGAGTACTTGAGCAGGGTCGCTCGGGTCATGTCGTAGAATTCTCGTTCGAAAGACTCCCACTGGCCTTGGGCGAAGCGGAGTTGGTAGCCCAGCCCTTCTTCGTACTCTTTGTGGTTCATGCGGATGGAAACGACAGCTCTTGTCTTCAGATCGAATACGCCACTCCCAGGAAGGCGAGGATCATGTGCGTCTAGTTGAGATCTCATCAAGAAGTTGCCTTGCCTCGAGTAGTGATAGCATCTAGCGGAGTTGTCTTCGGATGGTGCCTTTTCCGGGCTAGATCTGCGGAAGCGCTCAAACTCGCCTCGGTCTGTCGTCAAGAGCTTCTCGAGAGAATGTCCGAGCCAGCTCATGATGTTGGGTGTGTCGTACGACTTGTCGGCGTCCAGAGCGTATATGCCATCCTTGTATCGCAGAAAGACGGCGCTTGGGCCTGTCGTGATTTTGGAGAATTTGTTCGAGGGGTCGGGGTACGTGCGAGACAACATTTCGTGATTGAGCTTCCTGAAGCCTGAAAGGGCGTAGTGGAAGTGCTGCAGAATGCCAGACATGCTGGACGTGGAGCCAGTGAACTTTGTGCCCGAGCGCCTGGTGATGGCTAGCAATTCTTCATCCTTGGATGAGGTCTTGTATTCGCTCAGCGCCTCGAAGTCGAACTCGCTGACTGGCATGATCTTCTCGAGGTAGGGGTCGAAGTTGTATACGCGCGAGCGAGGGTCCTGCAGGTGGTACACACCGGGGTTGAAGAGCACGCGGTCGAGGCCATAGGACAGCATGGGGACGGGGGGCTTGTCGACGTTGACGGGCTCGAAGGTCAGGTCATCTGGCGAGAGAATTTTTATGGGGAGATTGCTCGCCCTCGCCTTCTTGGTCTTTCCCAGCAGAGCCTCCTTGAGAGAGATGCCCGGGCCCCCATCTCGGTCGTCCTTGGTTTTGGCACCCTCTTTATGGTCCCTTCCTGCAACCCTTCTCACGACATCCTTCTCTTCGTCGCCGGCATCCTGCGTGTCGGGGGATGACGTAGATGAAACGCCCTTCTTCCCCTTGTGCGGGGGAGTCTTGTCGGGGCCCTTTCGCCGTGCAGCCTTGCTCCTCTCCAACAACGGGCCGGTGGTGTTCAGGCGGCGGTGCTGTGGCGCGGGCAGGTGGCGGCGTGCAGCACAGCGCAGACTGGCGGGGGGGCTACGCCATGACGAGGCTTGCACGAGCTTGCGGGCGAGCATCGAGAGGGCGGCGTGCGGGGGAGTGGATGCGACAGCGACAGCGACCACGACGGCAGCGGCGACGGGGCTGGCCTGCAAACAGAAATTCAGCGATCGGCAGCTTGGCGTGCATGGCCGCAAGTCAACACCAGGGCGACGCGCGGAGCCTGGGTTCGTCGACCCGCGCTGGGGCCGAGCTAGAGAGTCCCACGGCGAGCCTCTGCCCTGGCCGTGCGAGCGCCTCTTCACGGCCAAGACGCGTGGTTCGCTGAGCACGTGTCACTGCGGGCGCATCGACGTTGTGCTAACTGCCCTTGCTGCTGCACGGCGGCCGCTGCTTGCCCTGGACGTCAACTGCTGCCGGTAACTTGACTGTCGACTGCGCGCGCCGCCCTGCACAGCATGCGAGGCTGATTAAGACGCTGAAAAACGGCAGCCACGCCCCTTTCCGCTAGCAGCCGACGTCTTTTCGTGGATTCCGTCACGGCGTCTCGTGTCCTGGCACCGCTGCTCACCAACGCCCTCTGATGCAACCGCAATCCCCCGGACTCTCCTCGGCCATTGTCACCGCCCACGGCCCCAGCCTCCGCCTGCCCACGCTCTGCATGCGACCCTCTCTCCGCTGACCTCGCGTGGGGCGGCGCGTACCAAGCTCGTCCACCGACCGCCATGTCGAAAGACAAACGCCGCAGCATCTTCTCCCTGGGCGCCCTGACCGGCCTCCAGATCCCCAAGGATGAGTCGCAGCCCGCGAACCTCCTGCGCAAGCGCCGCACCGCCTCCTTCATGTCCAACCTGTCCGACATCTCCCAGCACCTCGAGCTGCCGTCGCTGGACCTGCCCAATGGCCCCTCGCCCGCCGACGCGCCCCTGTCGCCGCGCCCGACGCTGTCGCGAGGCAGTGGGAAGCGCGCCAGCTCCGTCTTCGGCTCGCTGCGCAGCTACAAGATCGACGACGAGCCTCCCTCGGCGAGCTCGACCCGCACCTCGATGGGCTTCGAGTTCCTCGTCGACGAGGCCCACAACCGCCAAGTCCTGCACTACGGCGAGGTCCAGACCAGCAGCTCCATGTTCCGTAAGAAGAAGGAGTACCTGGTCCTGACCGAGACCCACCTGATGCGCTTCAAGAGCCAGTCCAAAGCCGCAGAGGCCTTCACCGCGTACGCTTCCTCGCCGGACACATGCCATGGCAGACTTGCTGACCCCGACAGTATCCCCTCGCCCTACCGCCGCGTGTCCTCGTACAGCCACACCCAGACCCCGTCGACGGGCTCCTCACACGATCTCCAATCCCTCGCCTCGGAGATCTCTGGCGACCGCGGCCATGGCACGCCATTGCGCCAGGTCGTTGCCATCTACCACCTCGACGATGGACGGCCGCACTTTGCCGTCGAGATTTTCTGCCTGGACGACGAAACGAACAACGCTGCGTCCATGACACTGCAGTTTGGGGACCCTGACGAGATGCACGAATGGCTCGCCAAGATACGCGAAGCTGCCAACCGCGCACGACTAGCCGACGAAAACCCAATCTCCGCATACAACTCGCATCTGGCGGCCCGTGTGGTGGAGGCCGAGCGCGACTACGTCCCCCCGCACTATGCCATCTACAAGGTGGTGGTCAGACCCCAGGGCAAGGCTACATCGAGAGCGTCGTCAGACGACCTGTCCAAGGTGTCTGCCTCTGTGTGTTTTCTGGCCATAGGAGTGCATAAAGTGCACCTCATACCCCTTTTCAAACCGCCCTCCCAACGAACCTCTAGTCCCTCTCTATCGTCCTACAACACTCAGTCGTCATTTGGCATCCTTACGTTTACAGAGGTGGCTGTTAGTGAGGTCGATGATACCTTTCAACTAACATTCCGGTAAGTTGTGCTTAATCCTACCCAAAAACCCTTCTCCTGACTTTCCAGCATACCCTTTGAGCGACCAAAGACTCTCCTCTTGGCCTCGCTTGCCTCGCATGACATTGCTGTTCGCCTGAGGCACGTCGAGGAGGACATGAGGCCAGAGTGGGAATCGCGGCCATATCAGTTCCTGGTGCCCGACGATGTTCAACCTGACATGCTCCGGCAGTCAAGTCCCCAGCCCATCGACCAGGATTCTCTTGATCGTACGCTCATAGGCTATTGCGTGGCGTACGGCGTGCAGCCCGAGAACATCAGTTATCAAATCACATACCCCGAAGAAGACCAACCTCGCTTCGAACTCCTCCGACCGGTTGGACTGCGAAGACAACAGTACACTTCACTCGAACTTCTTGCTGTCATGCGCTCGCTCCGATACAACGAGACGTTTGGAGGCATATCGTTCAAGGATGTGCATCTGGATGTCTTGAATGGATTGGTGGACGAATTTGGTGCAGAACATCTCTGCTTGAAGACGAAGCGAGGCACATATGTGCGTATGGATGCCGATGAGCTTGAACGATCTTGCTTACTGGTACAAGAAATCCGCGCTTTGGCCTTGACCAATCGCAAGCTAAGGAGGATGGACTTTTCTTCCTGTATCACAAGAAGACCCAAGGACCATTTCGATACAAAGGTCAATGTTAGGGACGTTGGATGTGGCATTGTGGAGGCTCTTTTCCCGCTTTGCAAGCATCAAACAACAAACGTTGACTGGATTGCTCTCAACAACATCCAACTCGGAGACACAGATCTGGACTACTTGGTTGCTGCTGCTGTTGAGCGAGCCTGTCACCTGCGCGGGCTCGAGCTTAGTGGATGTGGCCTGACTGATCGCGCCTTGTCTCTCGTTCTGGATTCGCTCCGGCCGCAAGAGAACACCCTCGAGGCTTTGGATCTTTCGTCAAACGCCTACCGGCTATCGCCTACCTTGTTCGATTCTCAGATTGGTGTGTTTGGATACCTTACGAAGCTCAACCTATCTCATGTCGCACGGTCATCGGGTGTCGAAGCGTTGATTTCCGTCGAAACGTTTCAATCGTGGAGGCTGCAGGAGTTGTGCTTGAGTGGGACCTCGCTCAATGCTGCCATGGTCGATTCCATAGCCAGGTAAGTCATCTGCCCAGACGGCCTACCCTGCAAACGTGACTAATGAGGACTCAGCTACCTCGTCAACTTCAAGCAGTCGAAGAGCTTGCGCGAGCTTCGATTGGACCATTGCTACCTCACCGGAAAAGACATCGCCTACTTACTGCAAGCCATGACCGAACAAGCAGGCGTAGCTCGAGACCTGCACTTGGACGTTAGCGAAAACAACATCGAACAAGACCTCGGGAAGATGACCAAGGCTATCGCAAACGGCCTTGCTCCTTCCACTCTCACACTTCGCCTGATGGAGTTTGCAAAGGAATCCGACTTTCGAAAGATGATTCTTGCATTGGCAAAGAACAATACTATCCGCCAGCTCGATATCTCTCGCGCCTCCCTGCCAAGTGACGCCTCGGGAGAGACATGTCAAGCTTTGGAGAAGATGTTCGCCGAGAACAACAGCCTTGAGTGGCTTGATATGTCTGGGGAGGATTCTCGACTGGAGACTACGAAGCTTGGCGTTGGCGTCAACCGAGCGCTGAGGGGTCTGCAACATAACCACTCCCTGCGCGTCTTGTATATCAGATACCAAAAGCTTGGTGTACAAGGCGCTAGCAGCCTTGCCGACGTCCTGAAGGTTAACAACACCCTGCAATATCTCTACTGCGAAAACAACGCCATCGCACTGAACGGTTTCACCGACCTCGTCAACGCCCTCCACCGCAATACCGGCCTTCTCTTCCTTCCGTCGATGCCAGAGGGTCGGCAAATGGCACTCAAACAAACCGAAGATCAAGTCAAGCAAATGCGCGACGACGTATCGACCCACACACACACCAAAACACACTACGTCCGGAGCAAGCTAACCACCAAGGTTCCCGGACGGACACACAAGGAAAAGGTCTACCCCTCAGGCCTGTCGGACCAAGACATCAAAGCCGCGCTCGGCCTAGTCGACGAGAGCTGGGCGAGGCAGGAATATCGGCTGCAGCAGTATCTGCAGCGTAATTATAATATCGCTAACGGGTTCCCCGTGTTAATGGACGTTGACGATGAGGAGTTCGAACGCCCGGATACAGCGACTAGCCTCGGCAGGATCCTTGACAAGGTTACCACGGAGACTACGCCTACTGTGGAGAAGGATGTTCAGCTTGGTACTATGACACCACCCGTCGACTACGATACTTCGAATCTTGGGAAGCAGCTGGAGTTGTCGTTTTCGGGGAGTCAGGGCAGTTTCATGTGAGATGACAGGCTCTGGGGAAAGAAAGGCGCACACACACAGACGCACATGCACAGGAACTACTCACACACAAACGGCTAAGGAACGCCCATACACACACACACATAAGCATATATCGAAAATCTGGGCGGAATCTGGCTTTTCGCATGCCGCCTTTTTGCATACTCGGAGTCATTATCAAGCCCCCCTACTTTCCATCCAGAGTAGATGGGTAGTGTAGTAGGGGCTTGTACTTTTCCGCGGCGTTCATTGGATTTCAGATGCATCATCATCTTCTTCTTCTTCTTTTTCACTTCATCTTCTTCTTCTTGAAACGGCGTTTTCACTCTCCAGGCAACAATTGGATTGGATAGGGCACAGTAGCATGACACGCACGCAGACAAAAGCGTGTAGGATGGGCCCCGCCCTTGTAACATTTTCACTGATGGATGGCTTGGTTGGTTGGATTGGTATGGAATGGATGGGCTGGGCTGGAATGATACCTTGGTAGATGAAAGAAAGAAAGAAAGACAGAAAGGGAGAAATATAGGGCCTGTGAGCTCGCTGTGAATTAAACATTATATTCTCATGTTGATTTGTTATGGATGCGCAGTTGTGTACGAGTTTTGATTTGTCTCTCCACCTGGGTAGAGGTGACGCCACATTCCCCTCCTATTGGTCCAAGCTTACTAGGTAGTTTGGCGATTGGTAAGTGATGTCACCTCCGTTCCATCCATCCACCATTTACCTACCCATCACGCAATCAATCAAACAAAGCGATAAATAACCCGCAAACAACAACAAGCTGTGCCGTACTGTCACCCAACGGAAAAAAACCACACAATGGTCCGCCAACACGGCACCCTAACAAAAGACCCCGAGACCAACGACGCCGCGTGGGAAGCGACAAAGGGCGCGGTGATTGGGGCGACGAAAGTACGTTTTTTTCCGATTTATTTCTTGGGAAGAGGGGGGTTTGGACTATTTATGCGTTAAGTTTTGAGAGAAGGTGAGATAGAGAGATTAAGGTTTATGGGAAGAGAAGAGAAGAGATGGGATATATGTATGATATGGGATTGCTAATGATATTGTGCGCAGTGGGGTGCACTCTTCGCCCTCGGAAGCGGCCTAGCGTTCGCCTTCTCACCACTATACAAGAGCTTTACTGTGCAGTTTAAAACGTAGCCCCTCCCCTCCCATCATATCCCCCCTCCTACCCCCCTTCCCTCCCTTCCCTTCCACCCCCACCCCTACCCTCCAGCTAACTGAAGATACGGTCCAGATACATACAAATGTCCGGCATGATCCTCGGCGGCTACCTCGAAGCGGATAAGCGCTTCGTCGCCTACGGGCACCGCATGAGGTACCAGAAGAGCATGGCGCGGGATGCGGAGGTTTGGCGGAGGTATGAGGAGGATTTTGAGGAGAGGGGGACGCCGGGGGTGGGGGCTGAGAGTAGGGTTGGGAGGGGGGGGGAGTGATGGGATGGTATGGATCAGGGGGACGGGGGGAACGGGGGGTGTTTTGGGGGTATGGATTTTTTCTTTTATTCTTCCTTTTATCGAAAATTCATATTTGAAATTTTTTGAGAGAAGCATTCGTGGTAAACCATGCCTTGAAGTATGATAAGATTGCTATCCCGCTCGGAAGGATTTTTGCGAATCGGAATGGTCGGCTGTTGTCTGGAATGTCAATTGAATGTATTCCTCATTTGTCGTAGATTTGGAAAACCCTCTTAGGTTATAACAGTATATTCGTAGCCTCCAGTATCACTATCGATGATGTCCGCCAATCATGGTGTGCAGATGCTTAGTCATGTCCCCACACACGCTGCTGCCTCAAAAGCCACATCTCGTTTGTCTCTCCTTTGTCTCGCCAGGCAGCATCTGCTGATCCTCGCCAACATCGAAGCTGACACTCACTCGTTCAACGTCTGCAGCTCGCAATGGATGTTTTTTGGACGCTCCCGCCTGTCTCGAGGTAAGCTTCTCGAGTGTTGTCTTGCTACCAGCCCCGTCCCACCCTCCCCCCACCGATATCGCACATCGTCATCGTCATACAACACACGTACTGACAGCTCATCCAGGACCATCACAGCCTTAGCTGTCGTTGTGTCGGCCTTGGGATACGGAGGCATTATCAGCCTTGGCCACTACATCTTCGCCACCCAGTTCGTCTTCACGGTGAAGATTGTTCCGCAGGTATGGCGTGTCTTCACGGCGTTTCTCATCACGAAACCGAAGTTCGCCATCCTGCTTGATCCATACTTCTGTACGTTACTCGATGTGTATATGTGAAGCTCGAGCTGACAGCAGCTCAGTATACCAGTATGGCAGCGCCATTGAGCGCGAGTCCACGCGCTTCGCGCAGCCGGGCGACTTCTTTGTGTACACTGCCTTTGTCGGCACGGTGATTGCTGTAAGTCCCTCTGCATACATGCGTGTACTGTGTACACACCTCGCATCGACTCACGTCTGCGACGACTTCGGTCATGATCCACCACCTCGAATTATCTGCTCGCCCAGCCTTCTATCTCTAGCTGAAGCGATTCCTGGAATCGAGGAAGAATACCCTTGCACATCGTGCGGTTCCGTCATTCGCATAATCCAAAAGGGACTTGTGCGGTGTGTGAGCATGGTGGGATTGCCACTTGAGAAAGTTCTGCGGATACTCCAATTTCGCTGGGCGGTGTTGGCTCCCTACATACCATTGCCTATCTACACATTTTCTTGTGATGTCCGTGTGTTGGGGTGTGTTTGCTGACACGACAAAGACTCTCGCAGGCGTCATCCTCAACGGCTACACGTTCCTCCCCGCTCTCTCCCTCGCCTACGCGTATACTTTCGCCCAGGACAGTCCTACGCGACAGGTCTCGTTCTTCGTTATCAACTTCGACGCAAAGTACCTGCCCTTCGCCATGCTGTTCATGACCTTCATCATCGACGGGCCTGACGCGGCGTTGAGCCAGGTTACCGGTATCATTGCCGCCCATCTGTTCGACTTCCTCACACGCATTTGGCCGACGTTCGGTGGAGGCAAGAACTACATCTTCACGCCGCAGATTGTGAAGCGCTGGTTTGGCGCTAGGCCTGGTGTTGCGCAGGCTAGGGGGTACGGACATGCGGTGGACAACAGGGCGCGCGCTACTCCTGATGCGCCGAGTGCTGGACGCAGTACTGGTAGTCAGTGGAATGGCTTGGGACCGGGCCGTCGTCTTGGAGAGTGAGATGATTGTGCAGGGACTGGGAAGATGAGCATGACTGGGTAGAAATATATCCAGTTGACGTTGCGATGGTTGAACAGCTGTGCACATGCACAACCACACCAACTTACAAATACACACATATTCCATATCATCATGATTCATATGCCTCTTGGCTAATATACACTCACACCCCCTACTCCGCCTTACTTAGTCCCACTCCCAGCAGGGTTACTCGGCCCATCAACTGCCCTCTCAACATGTCCCGCAATCCCATCTTTGCCCGCATTGAACTGGCTCCCGATAATCCCATCCTTGCTGAACGGTCCACCAACAGCCTGGGGAATCTGCCCAAGCGCCCCGTCGGGGTTGAACTGCTTGCCTATCGCGCCGGCAGACGAGAGGATCGATGGGTTCTAGTGTGTGGGTTAGTGGGATGAACAGTACAACGAAGTGTAGTTGGGGTGATAGGCTGGTAGGGGAAGGTGTAGGTACCTCGTTGGGAATAGCATTTGTGCCTTTATTCGCGCCGAGTTTATCGGCCGCGTCTGTCGTGCTGGATGGCATGTTCATGCCGGTGTTGGATGTGGAGTTTAGGCCGAGTTGCTTGGAGATGGGGTCTGTGGATTTGGGCATATTTGCGATTCTTGGTTTTGATACTGGTTGATCGTGTATATGGGTATTTGGGTAGATGAAGATGAGATAGTTGTAGATTATGATTGTATCATTACAGGGTACAGCTTCTCACTTATATACGCTGAATCATGGGGGGCCTTTGTGGTGGACGTCACGATTTAGGTGCGTGGGTGGGTGGTGATGTCATTATTGTGCGGTGGTCATGGTGTCAGGGATTGGGTATTGCGTCGTGGGGAACGTCGATGATGCATGTGTGTAGATCTGTGATGGGCTTTTGTGGAGCTGTGGTTTTGGGGGGCTTTTGGCTTGTGATGGGCGGGGGGGTGGCGGAGGGTGATGGATGGGATTGAGTGGCAGCGCCCGCGGATGATGGTGATTCAACTTGCACTGTGTGTGAGTTGGAACTTCGAGAAATACTGATGACGATGTAGATGGGAATACAGTCGTGACTGTGTGTGAATTCGACTTCCTCATGTTTTCGACACCTACTTGCGCCCCTTGCGCGGTCCACCGATCCTGGGGAACTGCAGAGGTAGTTTCAGCTTTGCGATGTAGTGGTTGCTTGTGTCGGCCTTTGTCAACTTGTACTTTGTGCGATCTGCTTCAGTAGGGCCGGTGACTCTGCATCCCAACTCCATGAAGTATTGTCGAATCCTAAGCGTGTGTCAGCCAGTATAGGCGTTGGAAGATTTGGTAGACTCACTCTTTGTTCTCAATCTTCAGGTCATCGCGCAAGTCGTTGACATCGACCTCGAAGTCGTCGACGATCAGCGCTGCAGCAGCGACGTGTGTCATGAGGTTGTCGGTGTTCCAGCGGGGCATGTCGTTAGTTCTAAGGTACGGTCAGTCGATGCAGGACAGGCTGTTTCGAATATTGGGCACATACTCGGTACCAAATTTCCTCCTGATGGCATTGACCTGAGTGATCGGTGTGTCCTCGCCCATCAAGGCTTCTAACTTGCCCTTAGGCGGGATCTTCTTTGCTCTGCTTCCTCCTCCGCCAAACAGCGCGGCATTAAACTCAACACAAAGCAGTATGAAGCGGAGAGCCTTCAATTTCATGATCTGCTTATTCTTGGCCAGCTTGACAATGCGTTTGGCAACGTATTTGCTGCTCACATTGACGCCTTGACCAGCCTTCGATGCCTCGACCCAATCCGACACTTCAATCATCGTCATGAGCTCCTCGCCAATGACGCTGTCGACGGGGTAGACGTCGCCTGGGAACTCTGCTGCCATGTTCGGGGTTGGTCGGGGCTTGCCGCTGCTCACGGCGGCCTCGAGGTCGTTCTTCGACGGCATGGCAGATGTCAAGTCGGCCATGTTTGCCAGCACGTTCTCGGCCACAGATTCGTTTCTGACTGCAGCCGGGTCATCTGCATTGGCGCTGCGGATGGCGTTCAGGGTCATGTCTTCGATGGCTTTTCGCGACTTCTTGGACCCAAATTCTGCAGCGAGAGCGTGTCGTTTTGCCGTCATGGTGTTTTGTCGCGCCTCCAACCTCGCCTGCTCTTCGCGCATCTCCTCCGTTTCGCTGCGTAGTGTGCTCCGTACTGTGACCCTCTTAACAGGGACAATCTGCAGCTTTCCCGTCGCAGGATCGAAGACGCCGACGTAGTCCTTGAGCTGGCTCTCTGAGCTCCCATCTTGCTCTTCTCGCGCGGCGTAGTCGAGGCGGGAGTGGTCGGATGACTGAAGAAGTAGTTCGGCGGTTTGGCCTGGTAGTGGAACCTTGCCGTTGTTGTTGTGCTTGTATGGCTTGAAGGCAATGCGCGAGGGAAAGTGCAGCCCAGGAGTCGCCGCTGTTCACGCATTAGCTCCATCATCACACGATATGTTTAGAAAGTCGCATACCGAGTAGCGGACCCAGCGCATCCTTGTTCTCTAGCAGTTCAACTTTGACAGTCCCCTGTGTCGCAATCGCCGTCTTCTTGTTGGGTCGGGCGTCGCCCTCGCCATGTCTCTTCCGTTTCTTTTCCGACATGTTGTGGTTCGTGGATTGTGCTTTGCGAGTGTTGCGGTCGCGACTACCAAAAAAAGTTGAATCTCGAATTCGACAACTCTGCCCTAAGCCTGAATTGCTTAGCGTGATTTCTACCGCAACCCCACACTTCTACCATGTCACCTGCATCCAGCTTTCTGCATTTCCAATACGTTCGAGCTGCACCGCGTCTTTTGGTGTTTGTATTAATGACGACACCACCTGCACGCCCTATGTGGTTGTTGTTTGGCCGCCATGTCTGCGTTATGTTGCAGGTTCGTCGAATGCGGTTTGGCGTATGACGTCCACGCGTACTGTTTCCAGCCTGCCTTCCTCACGTCCATGTCTGTCGTGTCTTCGTTCAATTGGTATTCAAACGTGATCAACATTTCCGATTCCTCGCCGTCATTCTTCTCGTCTCCGCACAACCAGCACTCTCACGTCTGGACTCTCCTTTCCTCAAAGTGAATTCCTCGCATTGAACCTACCATGTCGACCATCCTACATACTGCTTCAGGTGCGGTAGGGAAAGTAGGCAATCAGCTCCAGTATACCAGCAATAGAATCCTCCCTCCAAAGCAGCGCGAGGAGACGCTAGAAAAGATTCGCGCCTTCGTTGTTGCCAATCCCAAAGTTGCTGTACGAGAAACCTCCTATTCCAAGTAGATTTGCCATACTGACTATCTACAGGCTTTCCTCGTTGCGCAAATCGCCCTCACAGGCGTTCCGCTCGTCTTGTTCCTCGCCTTCGCAACCTCCGTCCTCCTCGTCTCCCTTACCACCGCGCTCCTTACCGCCCTGACCGGCGCGTTCCTCTTCACGCTCTTCACAGTCGGCTTCGCTCTTCTCTTTGTGATCCCCACACTCTTCGTCACCAGCTGCACGGCTACCTTCCTCTTCTCCTGGGGCCTTACAGGCTACTATATTCTCCAGCGATTCAATGAGGGCGAGACGCCGGTCAAACGCGGTACCAGAGTTGGCGATAGATTTCAGGATTTGACGGGTGGAAAACTGGCTTGGCTAGTTGATGGCACAGACGATGCATCGGCGGGCACAGGAGAAACATTGAAGGTTCAGGTTACCAATGGAAGCGATGCTGGTGGCACACCTGGTGCACAGGTGTTGGAGGGCTCTGGGCGCGTAAAAGTCCTGAGGATCACAGATGTGAAGAAATCGAATGGCACGCAAAAGCGCGAGGAGGGTGTGGAGAATGGACATGATCTGGTAGATGAGAATAGGGTGAGTACGCGCATGCGTTGAAGTCGCCGACATCGCTAATAGCATGAACAGAATGGGTTGAACTGAATCGTTTTCACGATACTTCCATTTCTACATACTATTCCTTGGCAATGAATTTGGCTTCTGAGAACACAATTTATTTTACATGCTGTCTAATTCTTGTGCGTTGCCGGCATCCGTTATCGCACATCACTGCCTTCGCGCCATCTCTTGACGTGCACAGCACATGGTCGTCACGTTGCACTCCCCTCTCGCATATATAATCTAACGCCTCCTTGCCTTTCTTCCCTTCTTCATCACACATTATCTGCGATTAACACCAAACATCTAGCACCCCAAGTTCATGTCTTTCGCCGCTCGTTTCTAAAAACAACAAAGTCTATATCGGTGGAGTCTCAAAATCCGCAATCGTCACTCTTAGACCGGACGTGAAAAGAAGTTTATGGACACAACATGTCTCGCCGCGCTCTTCAAAAGAATAAATATCTTTCTGTTGTGTGTGTCTCTCAAAAACGGCATCGTTTGCAGCCATGGCGTGTCGAGAATCCTCGCGTACGGCAGACTGAAAAGAAAAACGCCACTGTCGATCGGATGTGATTGTCTCCTTTTCTGTTCCCCAAAATCTACGGAGTTTCTCTCCTTAAAAGATTTTGGCCAGCCTATGCATGGTGGCTGTGTCGACGTTCGTCGACGTTCGTCTACGTGATGGATGATACGCGGGTTCAAAACGCTCTGGCCTGCATTTATGGCTCGCCTCTCGTGATGAAGTGCTTGGAATTGTGCATGGCCGCGCCTGTCTATATCAACTGGATGTGAGCAGTTCCAAACCACAAATTCGATAACTTCATGGATCGGCGGTCATAGGATTGGTATGAATATTCCCTTCTCCTTCCAGCAGACTTTATCAGGCGTATCTCGAAAATCTACGACATGAAAATTTTCGACCAAGATTTGAATGGAGTGGTCGAGAACAGACCGCTCGATAAACTCTAATTGAGCACGAGCATGAAAAAGCGGCTACCCATAGTTTCATGTGCGGTGTCTGTCTCGTGGAGCTGAAAACTATTCGCACAACCTGTGATGGTGTCTGGCTAAGCGGCTCGATATAAAACAAAGTTATGAACAACTCTTTCATGTGGTGCCTTCCTATCACGGTCGGGTCTGTCTTTAAAAGTACCGTAAGAACGATATACCAGTCATGTTTGATGCACGTCCGTACATATAAATATCCGACGAGCGTGTAGTTTAGACTTTACTACCTTTACCCTCGAAAGTTTTCCAAAAACGATGAGCAACCCCCCCATGTTCTGGTGCTCTCCGCCTCCAAATCCCACTATCTTCTTCTAGCATCTTCTCAAAAATATGGAATTCATCCGTTATGTGTTTTGGTGCTCTTCGTCTCGGCAATACTCTAAATTCAAAGATATCGCTTTACATGTCCAGAAACCCCGAAAACTCTCGAAAAATGAGCCTCGTCTACCATCATGCCTTTCTGGCGGGTCGTGCCACTTCCCTGTTATTCTTTTGAATCGAGTCGAAAAAGTCAAGGTGTTTAACATGATGTGAGGCCTGTTGTGGAGTGTAAATTAAAAAAGAAGATGTTGCATGTCTGCGTTTCGGACATCAGGAATACAAAAAGCTAAGCACATCACCCTGATGAGTGTGGACAATCCTCAAAATTTCTGAATTGCGGTCAATGTGTCGGAGAAAAGGGTTGAGGCCATGCCAAAAGCTTCATAAACAGAGTTGATGTTCTGCGGAGTTTGGGGAAAAGCTAAAAGTTATGTGGTGGTTTGGAGGTTCTTGGTGTCGACGAGGTAGTTACTTTGGACTTGTGTGTTTGGTGGGGATGGTAGCTGGTGTTTAACATGTCCGGCTATTCGAGAGAGGTGGTTAATCGAGATTTTGGAAAGATGGAGATTTCTGTCTTTGATGAAGTCTTCTCTCGGGAAACATATAATTTATGAAAGGCTACTATATTGATCTCCGCTAAAACTTCAAAGACCAGCAATGTAAGCCGGAGACTAGTTCGACTGAGCGCCTACACGCCGAGATCCAGCAGCCTCCGCCGTAAGATTCAGGATAGGAAATATACGCCTTGCTGGAAGTAATGAACCACGATTCAGAAGCTGAAAGCATGTGGGACTGTATCAAACTATATTTCCAGACGGCATCATCTGAGATTCTGGAGTTGTGCCGGGGTACACCTGTGTCGAATGCGCTGCGATGCCATGTGCCCACGATAGCTATTTCGTGGTTCGCCCAAGGAAATATATGAGGACTGAGTTGCGCACGCTTTGTCGAGTGACTTGGTGGCTTGGGTCTAGATGGATTTCGCGTAGTGGTAGGACAGAAGAAGTGCTGGCTGTAGTCGCGATTGGCTCGTCCTGATATGCACGCTAGCATGACTCGTATATTCTCCGATGCGGAACGCCTTGTTCGACGACATGTCGACGCGTCTTTCTACTATTTCCATAGGCTTGCCTTCGTGTGCATCCAAACCTGTAAAATCTTCTCATTGTTCGTGTTGCTCGTATCGTTCACACCGTATTTGCGTCTTGGGTCGCGATTGTTTGCACTCACAACCTCACACTGCAAATGCCCACCAGGCTGCATTCCTCGTCTGTCTCACTCTTACCCCGTGTGTCACTATTGTGCTTGTAAATATATTTGAGTTAATCACTACGCTAATAGGATTTGCGCCCAGCTATCATTGTGTTAGTAGCGGTGAGATGTTTCCTTATTCACCCTGCGCTCCGCTCATAGTGAACCACTGTACCATGTGGAGCACTCAGTCAGAGCATATAAATGCGCCGTGCTCACAAACGTGAAGTTTTCTCAGTCTTTGCTTTCTCTTCTCTTTCTTTCTTCAACATACATGAGTTCTCTCGCTTCGCAGCAGGCTGCCATACTCCCACCTCAACCACATGAGCATTTATCAAGTCAGTGAGGGGCAATGTGGTTACGAATTCTACCACAGCCGTTCACGCAGCTTGGTCTAGAGATATTGACGCCAAAGCTCCTGATTTCTGACACGAGGTCCTCGAGAATTGCAGCATCATGCTGCGTTGGCGAAGTAGGGAAGCTCAGTCTTTCCCTAGAATCACCCGCCCCTGTTTCGAACATCACGACGCGCATTCCGACCGGGCATGGCACATCATGATCGGACGCTCATGTTCACAGCTTGCTACTACCGCTGCTATTGTCGTTGCTATTGTCGCCCTATTGCAGGCCTGTAACACTTGCGAAGTCGTCTTTCACCAGAGGTGAAACAGGTTCCCAAGATGGCGAGACCCCACACCCTGCTATACCTCCGCATCGCGAGCATGACGGACGACAGAGATTTTGGGGAGGCTGGGCCAATCCCTTCTCGATGTACTCCGAACCGGCTGTCCGAACACCTGTTCGCTGAGCTGCAATGGATCCACTGGTGAAGGCACTGACCCGCGATGAAAGCACAAGCGACCGGCGGACAGATTAGCTAAGTCCCCCCAGCCACCCGCACAGAGAGTTTTCCAGCGCGCAAAATTCGGCCTCCGGAGTTCTCTCGTACACCATCTTTCTGGATACGTTTTGACCGTATATTATTCCTTCAGTCGATATCTCATACCCTGACGATCACGATGTTCAGCCCTGACCCCGAGTTCGACCTCTTCGGCGAATATACAAATGAAGAGGTGGGATCATCCCCGCTGCTGGATTTATTCGTCGATTCCGACATGGTTCGGTCTGAGACTCCCCTACCAACACTCGACTATGCCGAGACCCTCCGGGCTGAGCTCTTCGGTGCCAGCGCGTGCGTTCTGGAATCTATTGAGGGCTTTCAATACGTCGAGACGATGCCTTCCGCCATTCAAGAGACTGCTGAGGGTGTCCTTGGTGACCCATTCACGACGCCACCCCCTTCCGATTTCCAGCCTGTTGCAAACATTCAGACTAGCTTTGGATGGGCCTCTCCTTCGTTCTCGAGCCCTTTCGGCGACATTCAGGGTCGTATCTATACGTCTGCTCATCTCGAGCCGCTCGAGGGCCTCCAGCCTGCTTTTTCAGTGGAGCCTCTGCCGGTCAGTCCCGACACTGAATCCATCCCAGCTGGTCCGAGTATGCAAGATTTGTTGGCAGAGAATGCGCGTTTGCGTGCCCTGGTGGCCTCGCATGTAGAGCCGAGCACGCCCAAGATGACTCCTCGCAAGAGGACTGCTGGCATCTCATCCATCGAAGATGACTCTCCAAGCAAGAAGGTCTGCCCTATGACGCCCGCAACATCAGATGCTGCTGCTCAGCAAACCTCAGTCGAGGCCTTGTGGTCTTCGAGTGACCCACTGGAGCAACAGTTGGAACATCAGCAAGAGCTGGTTACACCCATGACCCACGGCCCCACCACCAGCGTCAACACCAAGCTCAGATTTGACGGTGACTACGTTGCTGAAGAGTTGGCGAAGGTGCAGGAGTTCATTAACACCCCGCCTCCACCGTCGCCTCTTCTTCCTCGCCACACTCCCAGCATGATCATGCCGGCGCCTCCCAAGTGTGCGATGCTGCAGGCGTCTCAGCCTACACGCCGCCAGACATTCTCCCACGCCGGTGCCTCGGCATCCTTCAGTAACGATATCCCGTCTAGCTCAGTGCCCAAGCTCGCTATGACTCCCCAGACTTCAAGTCCGGCTGCAAAAAAACCTCGTGCGAAGCGTGCGCCCGCGAAGAAGGCCTCAGAGAAGATCGCAACCGTCAAGAAGACACCAGCGAAGAAACGCCAGCGCACCAAGTCAGCACCTGCTTCAACACACCAGCGAAAGCGTTCAGTCGAGGAGATCTACACTCTCAACTTCTACGACCTCAGTCAAGAAGAGAAGGCGCGCTTGTTGCTCCCCCTTCTCCAGGGCATTGACCCCAAGGCTGCCGATGTCGCAGAAGCGGAGGCTCTCGTTCAGACTGCTCAAACCCAGTCTTCAGCTTATGCTCCCGCTACCATGCATCCGGAACAGACTGCGCAGAACAAAGCAACCAACGCTCGCGCCACAGACATCCAGATACCCGCCGCCACATTCCCGCAACAAGTTTCTCCAATCACTCCTACCGCCAATACCCAGGTCACTCGGTTCCCCAGCAAACACACTACTCGCACTATGACGCCCAGTCAGATCACGGAGCTCTACTCTCCCCAGACTGCGCAGTTCATCTCGCTTGGTTTCCAGCCTGCAAGCCTCTCGCCAGTTCAAACCAACTCCTCCAGTTCTCCAGCTCATGTTGGCGAGTTCGACGGTTCATCACGCGCTGATGTCTCCGCTGTCTTGGAACATGTTACTACTACACCCCAGACTGTGCAAGTCGACGAGGATGCTTATTTCTTCACCCAGCTCGAACAGTTCAACAACGGCGATCACACTATTGAATGCATGTCGCTAGGTCAACTCGCCACAAACAACGAGGCCACGCAGCTCGAAGCGGATATCAGCGTGGGATCTGCGCAGCTCAACAACGCTGGCCACACTCCCGATGCAGACATTGAGGACGTTTCCTTCACCTTAGCTCCCACCGCTGACCTCCTAGCCTTCGAAGCGGAACTTGATGCAGTCACCAACTCTCCCGGCTCAGCTGCACAGTTCAACAGCCCGTTTGAGCTTGATGCAATTGCTCGGTTCAACAGTGGTTTCAACGATCTGGATGTGCACTACCCACCCCAGCCAGACATTCCTCTCTCTATCTCTCAGCCGCGTTCTCAGAAGCTTCGCAAGATGAAGTCTTCCTACGTTCCCGATGTCCCCATCGCCATGATGCAGCATACCATTCCCCGTTCCGCGACGCAGCATTTCTGCATCCCTGCTGCAGACATCGGTGCGACAAGGCAGCGCGAGGCGCTGGAGAAAGCTGCAAGGCTACAAGCTCAAGGACGGAAGCGCTGAATGAGTATTCAAGCGTCGAGTGGTTACTGTGGTGTTTTACAGCCAAAATGTGTAAGGCTCATCAATTGCTTCGCATCGGCAGGCCTGACAACTACCAAGCTATTCTCATAGCAGACATATTGGCGTTTTCTCTGTTTTATCTTTTTCTTGCATACCACCCTGGGTAAACACTCACTCGCTTCACACACTATGATTACCGCCCTTTCAGATGAGAAAGATGGGTCCGCGCATCGGATAGCTTTGCTTGTACTTTATTGATAAATCAATACACAATCGTTAACATGCGATTTATTGTCCATCTCTTATTGATTCATATGCTGTCGTGTTTGTGATACTGACTGCTGCACATTTAGCACTGTAATGCTAAGGCCAAGCAGATCCTTGGTTGTTGATTACTCGGGCCCGTAATGTTCCGCGGTCTTTCTAGTTCGAACCACAAAATCAGAGTAGCGAGCATTTTAACAGGTTCCTGAAGCAAGGCAAGTAGTTCAAATTTGCGATTGGTGTGATGGAAGTGATCCAGCCTGGATGTTGAATTTAGGTCGGGGGGCGAGCCGATATCGATAACACTGATGACGTAAACGCGTCAAAATCTCTGTTTACGCGTTGTCCGAACCTCATCCCAACTTGACGTACGACAACCTCAAGACCCGTTCCTGTAAACTGTCCCACGTTCATGCGACTGGAGTTTGTTGCTCTCCACTGGCTATGAAAACAACCTTGATGAGGATCTTCACCACTGACCTTGCACCTTGTCATAGTGAAACCGCATGCATAGGTAGGATTCGAGACAGTAACAGCCTCATTCATAGCTTGCACGGTTGGTAGACGTGAGAAGTCAAGGTAGGTACAACGTCAATATTTCACAGCAGTGAGAGATTACGGCCATAATCGTCAGCCACTCGTTGGCATATTGTGGTAAAGGTCCGCAGACTGAGGCGACTAGGTAAGGATATCACTTCCACTAGTTTCGGTTGCGGTACAGCAGCATTCGATAGAAAGCCACCGTTTCCGTGGGTAGCAGCAGGGAAGTCGTGGAGGAGTCGTGGAAGAGTCGTTCTTTCCTTTTCCAACTGCGCTTTGCGCTTCTCGATTCTCAGTCGACTTGCTAAGTCCTTCATAACTTCACTCAACTACGCCGATCACTTCGACTTTGGGTACAAACCAACTGCAGACTATACCAAATACCCCGACTGGCCTACCAACTCACCCAAAAGCATGTCGACTCCACCCCACCCTCATTCGCCGGTAGCCCCGCAAGCTTACTGCAGCGCTTACAATGGCGGCAAAGTGTTAGACGAGAAAGGCATGTTTCATCACTTTGTCCGCCAGCCAGGACCGAATCATGAACTCAACGGCTATTGGAAATTTAGCAATTACAAGGATGACCAAGGTGCTTATGCTCGTGGTTTTGCGACACCAGAAGAAATTCTGCTGGCGCAAGACAGTGGTGAAGAATCTTTCGATAAGATTACGTTGACGTGGTTGCCGGGAACGAGCGATCCAACCAACGGGAAAGCAATAACTGGAACGCCGGCTGCGCATTTGGAGACGATATACAGTGAACGGCGAGTGCTGGGAAAGTCCATGTCGTTGCGAGGATGTATCCCATTCTATCCTCTCGCCAATGACAGAAATCTACGCGCCTATCGAGCTCAGAGGTACTTCGGTCAAAGTGGAATGCAGCATCGGCTTCCAGCTCTTCCGCAGGCTGCTCAACCTTCATCACCGTTCGATACAACGCATCTGTCTTCCCAGAGTTTCGCGAATGATTCCGAAGTGCAGCTTGAGCGGGCAGCTAGCCCGGTGCAGCAATTACATCCTTCCACCCAAACTGCGAGGGAGAATCAGCTTGAACCGCGCGTCTCAGGACTGACCAACGAAGCACCCCAAAGCTATCCTGTTGTCTTAACACACGTCCCCGAAAACACGCGCAAATCGGCAAAAAGCACACCATATACCAGAGTCCCACCGCTATCTACACAGCAATCCAATACAATACCAACGACGGCTAAGTTGCAGAAGAGTGCAGAGTTGCCACCCATCCAGACCCAAAAGTCTGTTGATAAACTTTCGCGCCAGCGCTCATCAAAACACCCAGCCACACTTCCTATTCCTGGCTCAGGTAGCTTCGACCCGAACGCCCAATCTCTTGCTCCGTTACCCCTCGCCAGCCGGCATATCTCACAATATGGCAATCCCTTCGACCAGTCGCAATATCAACAGAGACCACACCCTCCTTGTGTAGTTAGCACATCTGACTCAGCTTGTTCATCGCCATTCCATACAGCGTCTTCGTCGTACACGACATCACCACGCACTTCAGTCTCTTCGATGCCAGATTCATTACGAGTTGCGTACGAACTTAGTCGTACACCCCGTGCATCGTTGCCAACACGAGTGCCGCTGCCACAACCGCCGGTTGACCCTGCACTACTTGCTACGCTATTCGAACGCCCGACCTTCCCTCTGGAGACACAGTTACATGGGCACAACCACAATGCAGAGGCTAACCTACCATCTTCCTGTCCGGATGTGGCTACGGAAGAGCTTCATTGCACAACAGACGCGACTGGTCGTAGTTTAGCGTCCAGTGTACAGAATCTGGAGCAGTCAAGTACATTGAACAATCCGGATAGGAACGTGCCTGTCTTAAAGCGAACAACTGCATCTGACCTTCTACAAGTGGAAATCAACCGTCATATTGGCCGGTCTCGTCAAGTTATCGTCCCTATCGAACGTATTCAATCGGACTCCTGCACGTCAAGAAAGGTCACAAATGCAGCTCATAAACATGACCGCTCATCGGGCAGAATCACACCACTTCAAGAGCCACCTATGGGCCCTTACGGTAATCCTTACAGACGTGATTTGGGCAAAGAGACGACTCTACCAGGAGCACTGGGTGATTCCAACAAGGCTGTTCTAAGCAAAATCGACCTAAACGCAGAGGTTTTGCAACCGGTTGACGAAGCACATCTAATCTGTACACCTCCTTTGACCCCAAACAGCTCACTTACACAATCAAAAAATGACTATGATCTCAACGACAACGATCTTCCTCCAAAACACTACGTTGAAGACCTTGATCCTCTTGAAACATTTCTTGACCCTTCGGATCCATTCACAACGCAACCTTGCATGGACTGTGAGCAAGCCGGTGAGCATAAGTGGGACTGCCACATTGGCCGTAAGTGATTTCAACGAGGAGACCGTCTGGTTGCCATCTGAATACCAGTTGGTCGAATCAGCTACTTCTTGCCCCTTTCGTCATACAGATTCAAGCTAACCATGCTACAGTGGTCAAGTCTACAGAAACACTCACCATCCTCGACTATCGAGATCTCACTGAAGCTACCAAACGGTTTGATCCCGGCCCATTCATCGGAGAAAATTGGCATGTTGGACCGCCGAAACCGCCGGAGCCGGAGGATAGAGCTGCACAGATCATGGGTATGGCGGATGTTATACGAAACGAGATCACATTCAAGGATGACCCGGAGCTTCATGCGCTACCCGACGAGCTCATGATTCTCTTGTGGGCCATGAAAACCTCCACCAATGTTGAGGTCGTACAAGAATAAGTCACCACTTGTGTTGCAAGCTATGGGCCCACGTATGATGTGGACTGACGGGGTTGTTGGAAATCGAGCGTAGGTATTTTGGTAATACTATATCTTTGTAGATGAGAGCGAAATGCATATCAAGCCTTTGATGCCATTGGTGTCATGACTAAAATCCGTTATAAAGGGCCCGACTATCGATCTTTTCGATTAATATCATCATCCAAGACATCATTTTCGCTCGCTGTAGAGCTGTTAATGGCGCGCTTCTCATCTATCTTCTGACTGGCACTCACCGAATCACTGTCAGCCCGAAACAATGCGGTCAAGCCTTGGCTCGAACCAATGACGCACACAAGCAACGCTTCACAGTCGGGGGCTTGTATTCCTCTGCTTGTACATCTCATATATTCCCTCCTGGAACTTCCTGGTCAACGCCGCACATTTCGCGTCACCGGGCGGAAGGACTTGGCCTGCGTATAAGCCGCAAAGTCCGGTTTTAAGGTCGACCCACTGTAGGAAATTAGCTTCTCCAGAGGTCATCAACCTTGATGAGACTGGGTAGAAGTGGAGAAGAGAGGGTGTTGCGAGAAGTTTCGACGACCTACCCATACCAGATTCGGTAATCCACCCCAAATCATACTTCCCGCTGCCATGCCTTCCTCAGAATCTGAGGTGAGGAGAATACCGCCGAGACCCCAGTCCTTCACGATGGACTGCGGTGTGCCACCCATCGCGTTGTTCATCTGCACGATATTGCATGTCAGCAAGTCTTTACCTTCATCGCGTCGTTTGCAAGGACTCATTGTCGACCTCGGTATATCTGTATGGAGAAAACACGTACCGTTTCATCCTTTAACATCCCATTCAACATCCCCTGACTTCCTTTGCCCAACTGCGGCTTGAAAAGCTCCTTCACCGTATCTTGTTTCAAGATTTTCTCGTTTTGGTCTGTGGTAAGTACCGCTTTCAAGATCTTCACATATTCCTCTGCCGTTGTAAATATGCCCTGTCCTCCCATACATTCCACCACCTCTTCATGAGCTTCGTCGTGATACGGCATTTTCGAGCCCGTCCATCTCAACCTCCCCGTTTCGTCGCGCAAACTCATATCCGCCATCCTCTCCTTCATATCTGGGCGCGAAGAAAGCCGGAACGTCATATCCTTGATTCCCAGCGGTTCCCAGAGATTGGTCTTCATGTACTCCTCGAGCGTCTGGCCTGTCACACGTTCGACTAGTAAACCCGCGTAATCGAGACTTGATCCGTACATCCAGCTTTCGCCCGGTTGAAAAACAAGCGGCGCATCGAAACGTGAGAGTAACTTCCCGCTTGTTCCCGTTACGCGATTGTGATGTTTGAGCCACGCCATGAGCAGGGGGTGCAGAGCATCATACCCCAGGCCACTCGCGTGCGTCAACAGTAGTCTCAGAGTAATCGGCTTGGTGTGCTTCTCCTCAATGGGAGACCCATCCTCCCTGAAGCCGGTGAGGATAGGAAAGTCTTTGAGTTCGGGGATGTGAGTGTATACTGGGTCATCCAGACCGACTTGCCCTCGTTCAACCAGCTGCATACAACAGATGGATGTCATGAGCTTAGTACACGAAGCAACCCACATGACAGTGTCTTGTTGGAAGGCCTTTGCAGATTCATCTTTCATCGACGTCTTGCCAAAGGTCTTTGCGTACTCGAACGTGCCATCCCGGTTCGTGGCTACGAGGGCACAGCCAGGGATTTCGCCATTGGCGACGGCATCCGCTATTAAAGATTCGAAGGAAGACATGGTCGTGGGATAAGTGGAGAAGATCTTGCAGTGCTTTGGCGAGTTCCGTCGCGGCGTTGTGGTGTGATGTGATGATGAAGAAAATCGGATCAGTAGAAGCTCCAACCTTGCGGGATATAGTAACTTTATAAGCGATCAGCGTCGGAAAATTGGGAGTATGCGATCTAATCTCACTATGGCCAAGCAGGTGGCAGCGCTGACTGTATTCGCAGATCAGAACACGTATGACGAGGTGAGCAGAGGCCTAATCCAAGTGATCGGGGATCACACGAGAAGTTGATTGCACAGAGCGACGCGCGTACACCAGTCACAGTATACCTTCGAGACAACAGTCAATCAAGTGTCATGTCAGACTTGAGGATGAATTGGATCGTTGCAGTTGATGATGCCTCGGCTCAAAGAAGCGCGGAAGCGGGGCATTACGGGATAAGTTCAGATGGCGACTACCGGTAGTCTGCTACCGCATCTAACATCCAGAATGTCGTGCGTCGCTGATCCGTGACCCATGTAGGTATCTACTTCTTGCATTTACTACTCAACTTCCTCTTTATGGGCTATCCCGAGGCCTTTGATATTGACCATTATTACCTCCTAGTCTAACATAGCATGCCGAGATGCAACTATCAGATATTTTGATCTCTGATAACATTGGGCTGCTGCAATACTGGCCTACTCAGAAAGGACTTAGCGTCGCAAGAAGTGTCATACTATCTCTACGTAAGTGTCGTGATGAGCACGTTATGAGCCGTTTAGCTTCGTTATATCCATCAAATCGAGGTACAGGTCTGCCTTACTTTGTGCTGATTTCCATTATTAACCGGTTAGTAACAACTATGCGGGGGCAGCAATGGATTGCTCCATCATGGGCACTGTCATCGTTTGTTGGCTATGAGCGACCCATCTCACTATGCTCAACTTCGCTGAGATCGGACGAACATTGACGTCACATATCATAATACGAAGATGACGAACTAATGAGCCGTCAAATAGGTGGCAGTAACCGACGTTGATATATGCCTCTAATAAAATCCATCTTGCGTTTCAATCGAACCACTGTGTGTTTGCACTTCCATAACTTAAATTTTCCACACTCACAGTAAGAGCCAGGAGATCCCTTATAGCGTCCACTTCTTGAACCATTTCAAAATGATACTGGTGGCTTCCGCTTCCTTACATGTCAACTTCGTCAAGTCGCTCTCTGTATCTCTGTTGGAGAATGAGCTTGGCCAGTCATGTCCGAGATTCGTGTAGTTGTAATGCACGACTTGGTCGTTACCCCAGCTATATCTTGTGACCTTCTTGCCTCCACTACAGAGATGACTGGATGTATTGGCGCTGATTTGAAAACTGTTTCGTTCGGCCCAATCATCAACGTAGGCGACAATGCTGGTTGTGTTGCGTGTCTTGCGTGTGTTTAGACCACCGGCATAGAGGATTGTAGTATCCTCGAATCCATGGAACTCCGTGATGGGCGTCGATTGACGTAAGTTGTTGCAGGAAGGAAGTTGTTGGGCTTCATTCAGATAGAAAGCCCCGGATACAACGGCAAATGCGGCGAATTTTGCACCTACAATTGGATCACATGCAAGCAGACCAGTAAAACCTCCTCCGTTGGATTTTCCTGCTGCGTATACACGGGTGGGGTCTACACAATAAGCGTGTTCCAGGTGATTCAGGATCTCGAGGGTGAACAATGTGTCGTTGACGTATGATGGTGCATCAGGGTCGCCTTGCCATTGTTGGATGCCTGTATTGCTGGTCTGTAATGCAATTAGTATGTTATTTCGGAAAGTGTCGTTGAAGTTGACATACCGGCCATCCTTCCGGATACACAGAAATCCCCTTAAACCCATATGAAGCGTTCGAGAATTGTGAAAGCTCTTCTTGAAACAACGCATCCCTACTGCGCCCATGGAACGAAAAAATGACGGGCACTTGTGCATTGTTGGGATATGATCGAGGGACATGAATGCGGTAACGTCGAGTTGTACTCGTTTGGTTGACGCTGTCACTTGAGATAGTGAGGTTGACAGAGTGACCCAGCTGCACACCTTCCGGTAGGGCTTTTCCACACGAAGAGGCTGATGTAGTAGGTGCCTGTGCCCGAGTGCCGCTGCTCATAGAGAGCACGGAGGGGACCAAACAGAGAAGTAGAGTCGACCTCATATTCGAGACCCAGGAGACTGGTAGATATATGTGTTTCTACGATCAAGTTGACAAAAGTGGATTGAGAGTCCGTTGTACAGCTGGGTCGCGCTGGTTTATAGTCAGCAGTGATAGATCTTGTATATATTTAGGAGTTAGTGTCCATTGTGCGTCCCCTCATATGGTGGGGAGACGATATGTCGGTGAGGAGGGTCTATTTGTGGAAATCATCAGCTGAATTTACCGGATCAGACTCCAATCTGCAGGAATCATGCCAGGAAAAGTCAAATGTAGGATTCCATGACGCGGCCAGAAAGGCTGTTCTGTAGATTTCCCAGCAGTACCTGTCTCTCCCGCCTCTTCCGGCTTTCCTGCCGATCTCACCGCTTCAGCCCCTCTTGCTAGCTTAGACTAGTAAGCTACGTTAGCTCTTCTATGACAGCCCAGCGAATTAGATGTCGGGCTATAGCTGACACATCAAGTTTTACTAATGGATTTTAAGTTATGTGTTATCTTTTATGCTAAATTCTTACAAGCCTAAAATCTTACAAAAACATATCTCGTACGTGAAGCGTGGAGCTAGTGCATGTTAGCTGACTTATGCATCTAGTTGTAAACCATTAGACCTCGATGACGGTCGCTTGTTCATAAACGAGATTAACCTAGTCAGATCTCTTGAAGAAACTAGGAAACAAAGTGTTAGGAGGCTGGGTGGGAGATTGTCGAACTAAGCTGATTCGTAACTGCCACTTAATTTCATCGTTCGACAAGGTGGCTGTATTTAGAAACTTGCAAGGGTGGTCATATCATGTTCAGCCAGCACCATCATGCAGTATCTGCACGATGTAACGCGATGTCCCGTTGGCGCATGTAAGAGCCGTGAGTTTGATTCTTCCTGTATGGTAACTGAGGAATCTTAGCCCAGCAGAATTACTGTGTCGACCGAACCAAACACCTTTCCATCTAAGCAATTCAAATATTACAAAGTACCAGATTGGAATCTGACCAACGGTACAAGGTATCATATTGCTTCTGCTATCATCATTCCAGAGCGAAATCTCAACCCCATAGTAGTCAGGGTAAGTTTGGAGTGAATATCGACTGTATCTTCTTGGAAGTTCTGTCCTTGACTTGTTCTGCCAATTTTTATTCTTTACTCGCCTGATCGTCGGAATGAATAGAAATGCGTAGGCGGATGCATTCATAGAATCTTCTGTAGAGTTCTATATACTTCTTTTCCTATTGTTCGTTACAATGATTCAACGCTATTTATGGATAATCTTGCAGCTTGATTGATAGCTCATCTCGAACTTGCAAAACTGGATCGCTTTACAGTGTCCAGACATCTTAGGTAAATCACGTCTCTCACTCCATTACACAGCTCTGCTAGTCCGCAAGTCAGTAACGCTAGTCTTGCGCAACAAATTGCAATACTAATTCTCCGGATATAAATCAGTATCTCTGCCATATGTAGTAGCCGGAACAAATTAGACGGAGATATCGTGAACTTGTATCAATACGTCGGAATGAGCTCCGATGTTGGTCCTCGTTCCGCATGGGACACCATGTACCAGGAAGGGTTTTTCTTATGAGCGAAGTCGCAAACGGTCATTTGTTCACCCAGAACTAACGTTGACTGACCTTGAGAATCGAATTCCTATAATATGCAATTCAATTGTACGTTATTACGTTCGGTTCGACTTGTCTATGCAGACTTGTTAACAAGCACTTACGCATCCATTGGAATCTAGTGCACGAGATCCACCCTGTGAGAGATAAATCCGGTACCGAAATACCTAATCAACCCAAAAATCTGGAAGAAAGTCGACGCGTATGAGAGAACAGATGGATTGATCATGTTCAGAGGGAGGTTGCCTGCTTCCGAGCGCTCGGGCGCACGCTAACGTCAGAGGCTAAGCTCAATAGAGCCAGTTGTGCCTTGGCTCACATCGATACACATCCACAGCACACCACATTGTAGCACTGCAGAGATGAATTTTGTAACGAAGAGAAGCATCACGAACATGCGCATGGTGAACAACTTAAACCGTGAAAGCACTCCATGTAGGGCTCTACGATCGCTGTGTACCGTGCAACATGATTGGCCGTTGTCGCTTAGACCAGCGCTCAGGACAGCGCCGCCCAGTTTGCAACTTCAACGCGCACTCGCACCACGTCGCCAAAACTACTTCATCAACTCCAGCTCTCCACTTCCCACTCACCACCACTTTTCATCAAGAGGTAGAACGCGCTCGACCCAAAGAATTGTTTGATACCCATATCGACAATATTAACGCGCGTTTTGGGTCGGAAGTGTCGCTGCGAAGTCCGGGAGAGGCCACCTGGTCTGCCGTGCAGGATTTGCAGTCACGTGCAAGTGTCTTTGTTTTGACTTGACCTCACGATCCCTGCTGCAGCATGACGCAACGGGTTACTGGGCAGCGCTTTCGCCAGCGCAAGCTCTCTACCAAACAGAACCTACTCGTCGTGCGCGAGCATGAGGTTGAGAATCTCGCTGATGATGAAGCGTCGCGACATATTCCCAAGGTCGAAACGGGTGTCGAGAAAGGCGAGGAGATAGTGAGTTTTCTACTAGACCATTTTGGGCCTTCATCCTCAGCAAACCTGGTATCGCGACGGCGCCTGCAGCCGTTTGCCATGTAAACACTCTACTGCTGCGAACGCACTCCTACCACATGCTGTCTTGTGCGTATTCAAGCTGACGATGTCAACAGGAGCATCATTTACAAGCAGTAATCTCTGCCGCACAGGCAGCATCGCAAGGCACCGGCGGCAAAATCGCTCAGCTTTACATCCCTACTCCAGAAGCCGTAGCCAGTAAGCTACAGTATGAAGATCTGTATCCCAAGAACTTCACACAGCCTGCAACGTACATTCGGTTCTCGTCCACAGTAGAAGACACGTCTGGATGTCCATATTGCATGACCAGTGATGATGTCGCATTCCTCAAAACCCTCAACCAGAAGAGAGGTAAGGGCTCGCAATGTTCTGAGGACGAATTCGAAGAGGTGATCTACTTCTTCGAAGAGACTACTCAGACCAAGCAGCCCTATGCCGCCGTCGACAATTCTCCAGTACTTGCATATGAAGACTTTGAGTCTGAGTTCGACGATACCGTCAGTGAGTCGGCGCGGCGATTTGCGAAAGACATCTACTCGTACTGGAAGAACCAGCGTTTGCTTAAAGGCAATCGCTCGCTTCTACCGACCTTGAAATTCGAAACAAACCTTGATACTGACGATGCGGATCCGTATGTTTGCTTCCGACGGCGCGAAGTACGCCAAGTGCGAAAGACACGAGGCCGAGATGCGCAGGTAACAGAGAAACTGAAGAAGCTGAGAAAGGAACTGGAGGAGGCTCGTTATATCATGGCGCAAGTCAAGCGAAGAGAAACGATGATTAGAGAGCAACTGTCCACAGACAAGCAGATATTCGACGCACGTGTCGCCGTCAAGGACATCAAGAGAAAACTGAGCATCAAGGGTGACGATGAAGAGCTCTTGATCACTCAGAGAGTAAGTCGACTGGAGAAAACGGAAGAAACGAACCATACTAACGCGTCACAGCCGGCTCCTAAGCCTAAGCAACGGCCTGATCTTGAGAGAGTTCGCCAGAACATTCCTGGTATGAAACCTCAAGTCACCCGCGCAGACGGCCGACTTGTCGACAATGACCTCGTGTACCTTGAAGTGGAGCAGGCGAAGAGGACAGAAGCAATCGACACCTTCATCGAAGACAACTTAGTCAAGCACCAGAAGTGGAATGTTGGCTGGGTAGATGCGACATGGCGACCCATCACACCACCATTGGAGCAGCCTGCAGCTCGATCTGATTTCCGTACGGTGTTTACTGAATCACAACTGCCCACCCCTCCAGCCTCAGTTTCTGACGGAGAAGGTGCTGATGCGATGGCAGTAGAGCGGGTGAGTCGTCCAGTCGACACTCAAACGAGTGCGCGAATACGGTACGGTACGCCTCCAGATGACGTCCCCTTCCACGACCAGTCTCGGTACCGCCGGCGAATTGGACGAGGAGGGCGGATGATGATCGACCGACGTGGTGTGAAGCGACAAAAGCTCGAGACTAGCGTGATAGACGACCGTATCGCAGATCGCCACAGATTCTCCGGAGACAGCAGCGAAGATGAGCAGACATACCCGGTTGACGGCTATAGCAACCTTCATATCAGGTATCGAATCATGATCGAGCGGCAAGGTGATAAACAGCATTCTCAACAAGCTGCAGCAAGGAATCCAAGCAGAGCCATTGAAAACCATAATCGATCGGCGTCTGGGCACCTCCTTCCTCCCACACCTGCGAATACTGGCGCTGGCGCTGGGTAGTCCTCTCAATCTTGTTTTGTTCTTTCGGTGTTTCTTGATGGTGGTCTGAGGTGTTGGTTGTGGCGATTATACCCTTTGTGTTTTATTCGAGTGGAGGTGGACGACGAAGAGCAAACTTCGACAGATCTACCAAGTTATTTACAGAACTCCTAGGTGGTTGGTGGAGAGTACTTGTGGTATGGCTGGATAGGCAATAGATTAGCGATCTGGTAGAACCCATTCGTGTATATATTAGCTGCAGTGCAAGGTCGCACAGCATCGGCCTCGCACTGTAGTGAAAAAAAGATGAAAACTTACCAAATTTCTTCAAAAACAAGTCCTGGTTGTTCGCATCGAATTGGAGTTGCAAAAGACTTCCAACGTTAAAGCACACTGTGTTCTTCTTGCATGTGCTTAGTGCATCTTCATGATTGTTGGGCCGTAGATTTCCCCATCTTCACGCTCTTTGCTTCTTCCCTGTCCCACCCATCTCCACATCCCCGTCTTCGTCCACCTCTCTTTGCCTCTTAGACCCGCCTCCATCTCTCGTCACCATCTCTGCCAGCAATTCTTCAGCGTGTCCCAATAGGGTCTTCTCTCCAACGCGCACCGCTTTTGCCATAGCGTGACGTCGCGCTGACGAACTGTATTCGCCTAATGTTGGTACTTCGTCTTTGGACGTATGGACGTCTTCATCTAATGTGGTTGCATACTGCGCGATTCGAGTTTGCACTATCTTGTGCACGAACTCGGTGCCTTTGCTGGTCATCCTTTCTGGCTTGGGAAGCTTGCCCTTACCCTTCAGACGGTCGAATTCTTCGTCGGAGAGCAAGAGTGTTTCGACGAGGATAATAAGCTCGGGAGAGAGGCTTTCTTGCAGGGTAAAAGGGCTGCTGGCTGTGATGTCGTAGCCCGAGTCAAGAATTTCGTGTTCGTCAAGGTATTCGAGACGTGATTCAGAGAGTATACCTGCTGTTGTCGCAAGGTCGGTAACGAGGTCCATAGGAATTTCTGCAACGTCGTATTGCGTGTAGTTGTCGGTAATGTATCCGTAGCGTCGCAAGAGGTCGGAGCGTGGAAGCGGGCCGTAATCATTGAAGATCTCCTCGCCGGCGCGAATGGGCTTCAAGGCCTTCATATCGAGGTACTGAGCTTCGTAGAAGAGGCGCGCGTTGTTACGGTCGGCGTCCGCATTCAACATATCCGCTAAGGGAACCATACCCTTTGGCAACGCCTCGTCTTCGTCCTCCTCCGCAAAACCCTCCTCGTCGACGTCTTTCTTTGTGACAGCGGGCTCGACGTCGAATGCATAGGCCATGATCAGCGAGCCCATTTGATGCATGAGCTTGACATTGCGCTCATCCCGCATCTCTTCTGCCCTCTGCTTTGCACGCTCATCTCCCGCGAAGAATGTCTCCGCAAACTCTTTGATCACAGGGAGTAGCTGCTCCAAGAACATCTCATTGGCGCTCTCTTTGCCGATCTTGTGTACTACTGCGCTGGCTTGCAGTTCGGCCAGCTCGTCGTCAGACCAGAACATGAGGGTGTTAAACTCGGAGGGTAGGACGGAGAAGTATGGAGCCCAGTTTGAGACGTCGCCGTTGAGATACTCGTAGAGCATTACGAGGATGAGTGACAGCCATGGACCGAGCATTTCGAATGTGGCGGCGGGGATCTCATTGGAGAGGACTGAGTTCTCGACGCTGAGAATGGCGGAGCGGGGGATGCGGAAGAGGACCTCATGCTCGGCGATGTCTTGGGTTGCGACTAGAGAAGATCAGTTGACGAGTCCAAGGGGTTCGTGCCAGGTCATTTGGTGAGATTGTGGGGTGGGCGAGAAGTTGGTACAGAGATATTGAACAGCCACTTACTAACGCCTCTCCCAGCCTGCGCATGGCGCAAATCTTCGAGTTTGATCTTGGGGCTAATCTCTGCTCCTGATTGCTGGAGCCATGCCAGAAATTTCTGGCTGGCGTCGTCGAAATCTGCCATGGGTAATCGAAGAAGCGTGCGAATGTCGAGGCATGAAGTCCAAGGATTGGAATTATGCGAGGCGAATCCCGAGACTCCGATTCTATTGGTCATCACGACTACAACACTGGAAAAAAGTACACTTCCAATCCTGCGCAAAATGTCGGCACACTTTAAATTTAAATGCAACTCTTCTATCTATATTTCGAGGTTCTCTTCTTTCATGAGAGGGTTTGATAGTTGAGTCGAGTCAAGCGCATCTGTAACGTCACTCAACCTTCCGTGGGTGACGTATGTTCATGGATGCTAGGATTATTGTAAAATTGCATATATCTACTACCACAACATAGAACTGGAGAAGAACATATACGATACATCTTGAGTGAATTTTCGATTCGACATGAGGCTTTTCAGCCCTATGAGCGCATCTACCTAATCGATAAGAACTTTTGCTTGGCAACGTTCTTCGTCAGCCCCGCCATGTGAACCTTGACGCGTCGAGCAAGCATCAACACAACACATAAATACCCACACGATGATCGCCATAGGACTCGAAGGAAGCGCCAACAAGATTGGGATAGGCGTCATTTCTCATCCTGGACCAGATAAGCCGCCTATCATTCTCTCAAACCTCAGACATACGTACATTTCCCCGCCAGGCGAGGGCTTCCTCCCAAAGGACACAGCACTACATCACCGAGCATGGGTTGTGAGATTGATAAAACAGGCGGTGCGACAAGCTGGCGTGAAGATTGAGGATATTGATTGCATATGTTACACAAAAGGACCTGGCATGGGCGCTCCATTACAGAGTGTTGCGCTTGCAGCCAGGACCATCAGTCTGCTCTGGGGGAAACCCATAATAGGCGTGAACCATTGCGTTGGGCGTCCGTATTGCACAACTTCAATGTCGTTGCCTCGACTGACGACATACAGATATCGAGATGGGCCGCGCAATAACTCACGCCGATAACCCCGTTGTGCTGTACGTCTCAGGTGGCAACACTCAGGTGATCGCATACTCCGCCCAACGCTACCGTATCTTTGGAGAGACACTCGATATTGCGATAGGAAACTGCATCGACCGTTTTGCTCGCACCCTCATGATACCGAACAACCCTTTCCCCGGATACAATGTCGAGCAGCTGGCGAAGAAGGGCAAAAATCTGGTCGATCTGCCGTACGGCGTCAAGGGCATGGACGCGAGTTTCTCCGGCATCCTGGCTGCTGCTGATCTCCTCGCGCGAGGACTCGATGAATCACTCCCTCACGCAAAACGATTGAAGACAGAAGACGGAGAAATTGTTACACGAGAAGACATGTGTTTCTCACTCCAAGAAACCATCTTCGCCATGCTCGTCGAGATCACTGAGCGCGCAATGGCACACGTTGGGTCGCAACAGGTTCTTGTCGTTGGTGGCGTGGGCTCCAACGAGCGGTTACAACAAATGATGGGTATGATGGCGAGGGATCGAGGGGGCAGTGTCTTTGCGACTGATGAGCGGTTTTGCATCGACAACGGGATTATGATCGCGCATGCTGGGTTGCTGGAGTACGGCACAGGAGTGAGGACAGATTTGGGGGATACAACGTGTACGCAGAGGTTTAGGACCGACGAAGTATTCGTAGGGTGGAGAGATTGAGTGTGAAACAATGAGATACCCCGGACTGATGTTCGCCAGCTTTTGACACAGCTGGTGCTGAAAATGCTGGCGACTTTGCCGTTCAATATGTATTTTGTACGGGCAAGTCTCATAGTACCATTTCCCCCCAACCGAGATTCCCTACATGTACAACTTGTTTTGCCTACTTCGTACTTTGACATTTCGCCAGCCGGCGAGCCTCGCCATGTCTTGTTCTTCGATCGTTTTCGGTATATGCCACTCAGGCTGGAGGTCAAGTATCCTCAATCCATTATACAATGTACTGAGTATCAACACCCTCACGCTGCTGTTCGATGATCTGGCTCCTCTAAACTCGTCATAATCAAGACGCTACTGCCTTTTGAGACAATGCTCAGGCTATTGGGTAATCATCCAGTACGTTTTTGGAATAATTGATTAAGTGAGTTAAGAGGAACGCCGCGCAGACAAGGAGGATATGATGCTTAGTTGTGTCGATGTTTGGTTTGTTACACGACGAATCCGATCGAGGTCCTGGAAGGGAAGAGTTTGTATCTACAAGCAGTGAAATCCCGCAGATTCGATTAGAAGAAAACAGTAGAGAGAAGACAGAAAGAGCAGACACCATGGCTAGGTCGAGTCGAGCTTTTGACCGCAGCTGCTATAATCTATTGCGGGTGGGAGAATAGGTTCACAAAGACGTTTTCTTAGTTCCATACTTCAATATACCATGGGGGAGAATGTCCTTTCATTGTATACTTTTCGAGGGACGCAAGCAGCCATCTTGCAGGCACATACGTAGTCTAAGATAAGGCAAATCATTTAGATGATTTGATTTTGTTTTGGTTTTAAGATAGATAGTAGAAGTATCTACTAAAAGACATAAGTCGTTGTCTTCCTATATCTAGAAGCTGCCAGACCAGATATGACCCACACTTTGCCGAGCAATACACCATGATATCTCTCCACAAGGTTTTTGACAACAGTCTTTCGGAAAGCAGAAATTCAAAAGCTGACAGAGAGCATGAAGTTGTTGAGGTCAGCTTTTGTCCGTCACCACGCCCATGTCACGGAGAGAGAGTCAAAGACTTTTGGCTATCGAAGCCAAGCCTGTTGAAGGAAGCAGATCAACTAAAACGATATAATATATACGGGTTATTCGCAGCAGAATACTTGATTGATAATTTTCAAACAGACACCACCCATATCTCTGGTACTCCAGAGTTTTTGCTTCGATGTTCGAGGAAGTGTGTTGAAGAGGATGGGTGTGAACACAGGCTCGGAGAATATAAGGCATCCTTTCAAGCCCGCCCCGAACCACATCATCAATGGGAAGTAATGCGAATTCTCATACTGTGCCAGAAATTGTACTCTTCTTCTTTTATCGTCGCGGTCATGTGCTTCACCACACTTCATCTCAGCCCATGCCTAGAAGACTCGAGTTTTTAGGAATACAGACCTGTCTCTCGACGGTTGGACAAAGTAGAAAAGGGGGTTGGTTGGAGTCACAAGACAAGTGGTAGATATATATAGACTATCGGATGCACAACAACTTGCTCGGTCAGTCATAGTTTCCCATAGAAAGACAGCCCATAGGCGTTGTGATGTATTGGTTTTAAGACTCTGACGTAGAAAAAGACTCCAAGCTGTCGTTTCGCTGAAGATATAAACAGGTCATGAATGCTGGACGGGTTTATTTTGAACATATCTAGAGAGAAATGAACAGTACACATCACAACACCCATCGTACCTTCGTTTTCTACCGTGCTTGTTCTTCTTCTTGCAATGATCCCCGCGCCACAAACATGCAGTTCAATCGGGAGACTTTTCGAAACAAAGATGGAAACGTTTTGGATAAAGACAAAGCAGGACATACAAGTTTATATCTATCCATTGTTTCGCGTTCTACAACCTCTCACCAGGCGTATGGAACTGACCCACCGCTCCACCCTTTACCATGGTACCCTTGTGTGTCTCTTTTGGTGACACACGCACAGAACAGCACATGTCATAGGTTGCGTGATGGTTTTAGTAAACACAACTTCGCTCACGGTATCAGCCTCATTTGATAGAAAGATAGAGAACAAGAAGAGAGTTGATGGATAGAAAGACGGAGGAAGACAAACAACACCATGACAGTGTTCCATATGTTGTTTCAACACATGAATGATGGGTCGTAGATTATGGAACAATAAGACCGACGAAGGTTCGTTGAGTAAAAGAGAGAGAGATAAAGGCATGGTTGGTTTTCTACCTTATAACCTGTTGCTGCGAACACACCACATATTAGTGTCGGTGAATAGTTTTTGGATTCGATGGATTCGTATGTGAAAGAGGAGAGCAGAGAGCAGAGATGGTAGTTGGCTGGTATGGAGAAGGAGGAACCGGGGGAGCCACATGAGATGACATATGTCAGTTTCCGACTCCATTCAGTCACTGACTTCTATGGGTGGCATCGTGTAGTATTATGAATATAACACAAGACGAAAGCTTGGAGGGCTTGCGAAAGAAAGTCACAGAAGACAAACAACAACATGGTAGAGCCGTCTTACACTTTTGGATGCACCACTCGAAGAGAGGGAGAGAGAGCAGAGAAACAAAGATAAAACGATGTCATCATCATCTTTTCCAGCACAGAAACAATCTACATATCTTTTGATTTTTTTGTGAGTAGTAGAATGCGGCACTTTTCTGAGTAAAAGAACAAGTGAATTGGAGAGGACATACACACTCTATAACAGTGGTTGCAGTGCTTTTCAACTCCACTACTAATATTGGCACCAGGACCGGTACCACAGAACTCTCATCACCAGCTGTGATCGCGATTTTGAGTAAGAGTTTCGTGAGACGAAAAGAGGAGATAGACAAATACATGTAAGTAATGGCTGCCGATTTTTGAACACAACAGTATACTCTATACCATCTACTTCGCCTCTTTTGAGAATACATGAGGCAAGACTTTGCTAGGTAGAAGAGAGGGAGGCAGAGGACGAACAACAACATCGTTTGATTGTTCGCGATTTTCGGACTACATTACCGCCAGCGCCAAACGACTCCATAGTATTCTGTGAGTTAGATTTTAGAACGAAGAAGAGTATAGAGAGGGCGAGGACAGACAAACACATTCGAGCTCGAGCCGCATACTGTAAGTATACACAGAAGTAACCTCCATGACCCGCGTGCATTATTTATTTTGTATGGAAACAGATGAAGAGAGTGTAAGTAGGAGGAATACGCACAAACCATTAGGTTGGCGATGATTACTTTTCAAGAACAGAACAACCTCCATACCGTCGTCGCCTTCTTATTTTGGAACAAGAGGTAAACCCTTTTGGAGTAGAAGAATGAAGTAGAGGCATAGAAGCAGCCAAGACAACAACATAACCCGTTCGTTGTATAGCTACTGAGTCTGCTACTCACAGCAGTGCCGAAAGTCTCCATCCCCATGTCGACAAAGCTCTTGAAAGAGAGTTCCGAAGAGACGGAGAGGGTCATGGATCTACTAAACAGTGTCTTTTGATTCAATTATCAACACTAAACAAGGAGATCTCCATGTCTTGGACCGTTTTGGTTTTGGAATGAAACAAAGAGCTTAGTAAAAGAGAAGACATACATCTCAAGTATTCCATTTTTTATAACTTTGTAGCACAGAAGAACCTCCATGCCTTCTTCTGCCACCCTTTTTAGAATACAAGAGACGAGGTTTCATTGGGTAGAAGAGAAGAAAAGGCAGAGAAGACTTACTCACGCCATGATGAAGCGTAGGACGTCTTTAACTAGCATCAACATCAACTCTAACAGAAAAGACCCTCCATGTAGTTCTAGCGCCTGCATTTGTATTTCAAAGATACCGGGGTAGAGAAGACGCACACCATTACCTGGTCCTGGAACTTTTGTAACTGCATTACTAAATATTCTACAGCACCAAACATCCTGTATGGTTATCCGAGATGGAGATTTTGAGTACAAAATTTCAGAAAAGAGAGAAGGCAGACAACGCCATGATTTCTTGGTCTGAGTATCTTTGGCAAAGGAGAGCCTCCATACTCACCGACCCAAGCTTTTTTGGTAAGGTTTTTGCTGAATGGGAGGGGGATGGTGGGAGGAATGTAGAGACAAGAAGGCAGACAACACCATGGATCCCTCGTTCGTTTCTTTTCTGCCACAGAAGAACAAAATCCACCCCATCGATAGGCGTATAAGCTTTTTGAGAGATACAGAACTTAGACCTAGAGGGGGAAAGTGTGTATTTGTAGAGGATAGATACACAAGACCATCAAGGATTGCGAGTCTATTTCTGACTAGCATAAGCACCAAATAAAGGACTTCCATAATGAAGTTGAACGTACGGTTCAGACGTAAGACTCGGGCAAAGAGGAAGGGGAGTAGGTAATGGCACATGCCGACTGGTAGAACATTTTTCAAAGACATGCAACAAACTCCAATGCGTTTTCGTGCATTGATTTTGGAATACAAGACAAGATGAGATTAAATTGTTGGATAGAAGAGAGAGAGGAAGGGTTGTGTACGATGTAGATAGAAAAGGCACACACACCATTATCTTCAGCCGGGTCACCTTCTGACTAGCATCGACACGAAATAAAAAGACTTCCATAGGCCAGCTTGATGTACACTTTGGACGTGAGTCTCGAACAGAGAGGAAGGAAGACAGACAACGCCATAGGATTGTTTGGATGTACTTTTGAGCACAGCACAAACTCCATGTTTGCGCGACATCTCAAATTTAGAACATAAAACGAAAGAGATTTTGTTTTGCAGAAGAGAGAAAATAAGAGAGGGGTTGTACAAGGTAGACACACAACAAAAACCCACATCAAGTTGGTTATTACTATCTTTCGAGCCCCGAACGAGGAAACTCCCATGAAGTGAAAGTGAATTGTTTTGGAATAGATAGGAGAGTTTAGAGAGAGAGAAAGCAGACACACAATAGCGAAGCGTGTATTGTCTTTTAACTAGCATCGGCACTGAACGAGGAAACTTCCATAAAGTGAACAGGTAGCTCTTTTGGAATAGATAGAGAAACTTAGACAGAGAGGGCAGACACCAACATCGCCTTGCTCATAACGATGTTTTAAAGCACAGAAACCCCTCCATAGTCAGTCGGAAAAAAGATTTTGTATGCGAGACTCGGTAGGAAAAGAAGGAACACAACGCCATAAGTATGCCAGCTGACTTTTTTTGGGCACCGAACAAGAGGACTTCCATGGCAGCGACAGAACTACACTTTGGAAATGATGGAAGAGTATAGAGAGAGAAAGAGAGGGAGGACACCAATATAATCAACGTTTGATATACTTTGAAGCACAGAACGGCCTCCATCATGCGCAGCTCGAGGTTTTTGAATTTTAGTCTCGAACAGAGAGAGAGAAGGAGGCCATCACCCAGCTTTCGACTACTTTTGAAGTACAATTAAAACCCATGAGTATAGAAAGAAGCAGAAGACACAGACACCATGACGTCTTTGGAACACTTTTTCGAGCACAGAGCGACTTCCATAGCTGATGTTGACAGAGGTTTTGGATACAAGGCTTAGTAGAAGAAGCAGGAAGACAACACCATGGCTGAAAATCTCCGATGCTCTTTAAGCGAGGAACAAACCCCCATACAATGTTCCAAACTTCTTTTGAGAGATAGGAGATAGGAGACGTGAAGGCAGAAAGAAGGAGAATTTTGTAGACGGGAGAAGACACACAACACAACACACCCCATACATCTTTGCTGCAGGTATCTTCAGACGCGCGAGGAAAAGCTCACACCATAGCTCCAAACATGTTGGCGTTTTGGAGAGACGGAAGACTAGAACTGCGCACAAGTGGGAAAAGCAGCAAGAAACCACCATCGCACGTCTTGCTGTGTGTTTTCGCGCATGAGCCACGTCCCTTTTCCTTTTCGACGATCCGGGTTCTGGAGCACAGAGGAAGTATAGTGTGTACAACATAGACGCAGAAAACCACCACCACATGTGCATAACTGCGTTCATCTTCGAGCACAGCACAACCCTCATATCATCCTCAAAGCTGGCTTTTAGAATAGTAGATGTAAACGCAGAAACAGAAGAGTTTCGTAGACGGAGGAACCAGGCAGGCAGGAACCACCATCCTACCATCTTCTGCCCGATTTTTAACCACACAACGCCCTCCATGGTTTCTCAGCACTGTAGTTTTTAGAACACAAGAGCGTGTTACAAGGTGGACAGCGAAGACACAACACCATGAAGTCGTTCGCTAGAATGTTTCGAGCAGGGGACCAAACTTCATAAGTAGAGCGGGTATGATCTTTTCTTGAGAGATGGGAGGTTTGAAGTGCGAGAAGATCAGGCAGGGAAGACATAGAACACCATGAACTTTACTTTTGCCAGGTTTTGAGCAGGGGACAAAAACTCCATCCACTCTGGATGTCGGTCTTTTCAAGAAAGAGATAAAGAAATTAGAGTTTGAGGCAGACAGGCAGACAGACGACGCCATTTCACGGAAGTCGATGTATTTTTGAACACGCAGAAAACCTCCATGTTTCTATCGAACGCTTGTTTTTGGAGAAATAGAACTTTAAGTAGAGATATATAGAGAGAGATAGAAAGAAGGAGGAGGGAGGAGGGAGGGAGGTATTTATACCCACTCACCCATCTACACGCACATGCGTCATTGTATTTTTGTTTTCATTTCATTCCTCATCATACTTTGCTATGACATATCCACATCCACATCTAGAGGAGACATATCTGTCCGACTGCTGGGTATCCTCCCCTTTTCTCCAACCCCCTCCCCCTCCCCCTCGCAAGCCATGCTTTTCCTTCCCACTCCTCAACGAAGCCATCGGGAGATTTCATCATGTCATGTAGCATCACATCGTGCTGAAAACGCAAAAGTCCGACCCCCGCCCATGCCAAATCAATCAGATTGCACTTACCCGCGAACAAAGCCGTCGTAATCCATCCCACCCCCTCAATAAACCCGTTCAGGATTCTCCTCCTTAGGTTTATACAGTATCGTCGTAAGAAACTGTCCCATATTAGCCCTGCCCCCCTCAAAAACACCACCAAAAAAGAACTAACCTTCTGCCGATACCTCGTCGTCGCACTCGTCGCAAGAATATTATCCTTAATACTGCTCGTCGCCAGATGATTGAGCACGGTATGATTCGGCATGATAAGCACACTACTATCATCCTTCATAGGCGTCGTGCCATTGAGGATACTCTTACCCAAGAAACCCGGTAGAGTAGGGGGTGTGGGCAAGTTCCCCGCGACGGCGTTTGCGCGGGCGAACCTGCTGCTTTCCTCTGCCGCGTCGAGGTCGAGCAGGTAGCGCGGGATGTTCTGGTGGTATTTCTCCGTGGATTCGCGGGGGACGGGGTCCGGGGGCGGGGCGGCGAGGGCCTGGGGCGTGTGCAGGCCGGCGGGGGTGTCGGGGTTGGGGGTCGGAACGGGACCTCCTGCTGTGGAGGGTGGGGCGGGGATGTCGTCGTAGGAGACTTCGAGGTAGTTGACGAGGATGTTTGTGTAGTCTACGGCGGTGGGCAGCTTGTCCGAGATGCGCATGTCGTTGTCGACGATGAACATGAGGTGGTGGGTGCCCGGGGCGATGTGGACGTAGGCCGAGAGCGTGTTTGGCTTGTTGCTGGGGCCGCTGCGAGGCAATGTGTTAGCAGTTTGGGGGGCGGCCTGTCTGCGGTGTAACGCGAAATGACGGAGACCCACTCTTGATGCAGGCGATACTTGCGGTTCCAGCCGGCGAAGGTGCCTGTGACGTAGACGCGCTCGCCCTCGCCCTCCCACTCGATGAGCGTGGGCACCGTGGGGCGGCCGGCGGGGCTCTTGAACTCGTCGCCAAAGTCGTCGTCGTCGGCGGCGTTCTGGCTGAGCATGGACGAGCGGTTGGGCAGGGCGCCCTCGATCTCGCCGTGGTCGATGGGGCTGGCGAAGTCGGCGGGCGAGATGATGGGCGAGCCGGGCGTGTGCGTCTCCTCCTCGATGGGCAGCGGCATGCGCGGCGGGCGGCTGAAGTGCGACGACGACATGATGTAGTCCTGCGCGGCGTCGACGGGGGTGCGGCCCTGCGGCTCCTCGCGCACGGCGGCGGGCACGTCGACGGGCCTGGTGTGCGGCGAGGGCGCATATTGGGGGGACTGCACTGGCACTGGCACCGGCACGGCCATTGGGACTGGCAGCGGCTCTGGCGTCCTGGAGGCGGCGGGCGGAGGAGGAGGGTGTGGTGGGGTGAGCTGGCGGGGCTTCTCCCTCTCCCTGTCCCTGTCCCTGTCCTTGGGCCGGCTCTGGTCGTTGCCCATCTTGTCGCCGAACGTGTCCTGGGCGGCGCGGAGCTGGCTGGCGACCGTGGCCGTGTTGCTGGCCGTCGACTGGGTGCGGGCGCGCGAGCGAGGGCGCGTCGACGTGGGATAGGCGGCCGCGCTTTCGAGCGACGCCGACGGTGGCGCTGCCTGTGCTTTCACCGTCAGAGCCTGGATGGATTCGCGTCTGCGCGCCGAGGGGTAGCCGGCGTGCGGTTGCGTGTGAGTGTTGGACTGCGAGTGTGACGGCGGCGCGTGGTTGCTGGGCGAGTGGCCGTTGATTGGCGTCGTCGACCGCGAGTTCTGGTTGCCCATATCGGCTCACGGCCGGCTGGCTCCTGCTCCTCGTGCAATGGCTACCTGTCGCGGGGCGGGGCGCTGCAAGCAAACACTTCAACTCGGCGCAGTCTGTATATGTCCCTCCAAGACGACGTCAACCTTGGCTCGCTCGCAAGACTCCAGACGCACATGCACGCCAACCCACATCCTAGCACCGATTGACATGGTGCAGCATCGTCGATAGCACCGCGCACGAGCCGCCTGCACATCGTGGGGAACGCTGTGGAGTCGACATGACTGGTGTCCTGCACCTCTCACAGTCCACACGATTCACCACCGCCGTTACTATCGACTCTATCTATCAACGCCACGCCTTCTGTTTACAATCACCACAAAGACGTCACCATGAGCGGGCGGTAACACAACCTCTCAGGACACACCTCACATCACGTCCAAGCAATGGCGAACGCACTCACCATCTTCTTCGTCATAGTCCGCATCGCCCTCTATCCCATCACCCTAATCTTCAACCTCGCCCTATACATCCTCAAGCCAGTCATAATCCTCGGCAACTTCATCCTCCTGCCATTCCTCCACCTCAGTCGAGCAATCATCCACGTCCTCACTTTTCCATTTCGCCTACAATTGCTGGAACGAATCGAGGTGCGTAAAAATATCATTATCTGCTTGATCCAATCCCCTTCCCTTGCAATTTGAATTCAATCACAAGACTAGGAGAGAAACTCATCCATGGCCTACAAACCACACCTCGAGGTACGATGCTAACCCACGCCCCCAGACCCTCTACATCTACCTTGGGACCGCCAGCTTGATAGGATGCATGACCGGCGCCGTCCTATTCATCCTGTTCAAGGTCATCTCGTCAAGTCTCAATCTCGACGCTCCCAAGCCACGTGAGCAGGGACGAACAACCGCCGAGTACCGGGCTGCCCGTCGCGAGAGAGCCCATGCTTCAGAGCCAGAGACCCCGGTAGTCGTGAAGAGGATTCCTACATCCCGCAAGCGAGGACTGTTGTCCCAGGCTATTGTTGAAGAGGCGGAGGATTCGGACTTTTGATTGCTCCATGAACGGGCGATGGTGATGTGGGCGCGGTTTGGAAGACGAATTCATCAGAGCTCTGCCAATGTGAATCCTGAAACTCCACATCTGGTCTGCGAATCCAACGTGTTGATGTGTCGCGTGATAGAGTTGACGTACCGCTTGACTCGTCCGGGGGGAGACGTTCCATGTTCTTTCGGGAGTCGCGCGAGTCTAACGATGACAGTTCCAGGCAGAGAACCGACAGCCTGGACGAGGGGCGCCGCACTGGGCAAGGCAAGCGTTCACAGTTTGGTTTGCACAACCTTGACGCTGGTTAACTTGGAGTAAATCACGTGCTCACGGTGTATGTCTGAAGAATATATCGTGTGTGGAGGCAGAGTCCAGAACTAACGTGTTCGAAGTCCTCTCTTCCGACTCGTGTGAACCCAAAGTTAGCCAGTGGAATATACAGACAGTCCAGGTGACTACAACGCTTTCGTTAGTAACGTAATCCACATTAATCAACTGCTGGCACATACCGTCAATAGTACACACCGTCAGACAAACCCATCCGAGCTCTCGGCCCTTGAGCATAGTCAATGATGCCATGTTGGCCACGGTCGGGCCGAGTACCGCACACGTTCCGATGAACGTCTTCCACAGTAGGTGTTCGATCTTGTTAACCATGAGTTGGTTCCCTTGGTGTAAGTTCACGCTGTCCCTCGCCCTTCCTCCGCCGCAGAATCTTCCAAAGTATTGTGTGAATCGGCTTGCAGTCAACGTCGGACGACTGCCTGAACGGATGAGAGGACCGAGGAGGTAAACAAAGACAAGAGTGAGAAGAACGTTGACAACCACGTCGAAGGAGAGTAGCGGAATGGTGATGAACTGTGGCAAACCAATCCGACAACGGCCATCCACTTCGGAGATTGTTGATAATGGCCAGATGAAACCACATACGGAAATGGTGCCGAAGCCTCCAAAGATAGTTAGCACTCCCACCATCCAGAGCCAGTCGTGAGTCCTGTGCATATAGGGCGCCCGCAGTGCATGAGCTCTCTCCACCAGAAACAAATACCTGAAAGATCGAAGTCAGTCTTTCGCAACCCCAGTCATTGCACTGAGGAACGAGGAAGACATTCCCGACTCACATGATGCATTTACTGCCAACATAGAAAGCGAGACATAAGATGATAGCTCCCCGGCAGATGGAATGAGTTTGTAGACTGAGGCCGCTCTCGACGACAGCAGCCGACAGAACAAATGCCATGGAAACAAAGTACAGAAGCAGAATGAGAATCTGGGTTAGACATAGGTTTTTGAAGTGACGCAGGCTCATCTGACGCAAACGATGTCCTACGTTTGTTAGTTCTTATGTCTCAAATAGCTATAACAACCCCCTCACCAATCATGCCGGTCAAGAGGGACATGCAGAACAAAGAAACGACCGTATACGCCGTTCGGGATGCCGGCGTCTCGCCATAGGTAGTAACCTCCCTTGAGCGGAGGTTCGTCATTTGGGCCGTGTCGACTGAGCGCAATGCGTGGGGAACCGGTGTTGAGGATATTGTGACCATGAGAGTGGCCAACACCCATCCTCTGATCACTAGATTTTGCATGTAGTCGGTTTCGTGTATACGTCGAGTAAGGTTAGTCGGTAACAGTCTTGAAAGGAGGCATAGTGCTAGGTTGCTTGATGTTGTAGGTGAAAGATCGTGGAGATCAATCGATGTGCCATATGCTTGCCATGTTCCGTGTGGCTCGCAGCTGATCAATGCTGTGTGCTGGAAGGAGCAAATTGAAACCCTCAAGAGGCGAGAGCAACGCTTGCTTTTTTCGCAACTGAACTGGACCGAAGTGCGCCGGTGGCAGGATCATAATTTCGGTCAAGTCCGTTCTTTCCTATCTTGCATCGTTCACCCTTATGCATAGAAGTTTGTACGCATCCATGACACTGATGAAGAGGTTGTACAAAATGGAGAATTGAATGAGAAGTATTGCCATGGCAATAGAAATGTTCATTCGCCACCAGGACCAGCTTCATGTTGTGTTACCATGAATTGTCACACATGCCGTAATTCTTTGGACAGCAGCGGTTTGGAGGCGAAAGAAATAGCTGCTAAGGCTATTGCAGCCTTTCATCGCCGGAAGGACAGTAGAAGATCTTCATCGATTTAGCGACAGTCCCATTGGCGTTGAGACCTGGCTGTAGGATCATTCAAGACCCGAAAAACGCCTGCAGTGCAAAAGAATGACATGAAATAAGTAGCTGATCTGGGTGTGACAAGATACCGTGGCTGGTAAAAAGAAAGAGTACCTGGTGCAGTCAGGTCAAGAGTAAGGTTCTAACGAGTACTGCCAGACACAATGTCGACTCTAGGAGAGTAGCTTCTCGACAGTAGGTATAACAAATTGCGTTTTCTAAGAGTAGGACGAGCAGAAGTGTCGCGCGATTGTAGTGATCCATGCTCGGCATTTCGCGAGATCGGGTGTTCCCTCCACGGCCAGACCAAATGACGAGACACAGTGAAATGCCGAGATTTCTGTTTCTTCACAGATGACCTACTGGTGGTAACTGGTACGTCATAGTGCTTGCTCGAAGCGGCGCCAATACCGAAGGATTAGACTCGAACCATGCAGCCACAATCTCTATCGTGAACGCAGCTACCGGGATAAAACTCCGGAAATGACCTTTCAGTCGTGCTCTGTGCCGCCAAACGCGCGTAGACGTTGTCGCGCCTGGAGGGATAAATTGCCGGTCGCAGGTGTTGCTTGGGTCGATACGAAGGCGCTGTGATTTCACTTGGCACCTGATCACTGTGCATCTTGATCGATTCCGATAACACTGGTGGAGTGCTAAAAACCGCTTGGCTTCCGAGGACGAGGTGTGGATAACTGCAGGTGCAAGGCGTCATCGGCTAGCGAGTGTGCCCTACACAGCCCTACTTGCGACGCGGCCCCGCATCAGGTCAGGCTGGGGCTGACGAGTCGACAGAATGTGAGAGAGCAGAGGATGAAGATGGCACGCTCTACAAATCTGCAACAGCAAGGACAAGCAGGTTATCGCAGTGCGAGAGACATGCGAACAGGCGTTGAGAGACTAAACATGTGAAAGGTGGGATTCGGCGGGGTTGTTAGTGTGCGCTAGTCAATTCGCCCCTGCCGTTCTGGACCAGGGTATCGGAGCTAAGCGAGATTTGCTTTCCCAACTTGCACTGCCACGGCCCGGCGACAAACAGCGTCCTCCACGCTGCTGCTCTTGTTTTTTCTTCTGCTCGAACCGCCAAGCTACTCACGAGCCGACTTCTTCACAAGCATCTGGAGTCTTTCGCCGCACCGAATCCTGTATCACTAGAACGTGTGTGCGACAAGACCCAACCAGTCGACACCCCTGGCCCCAGTACGGAGCTGAGAAACGCGACCAGAAAGGAGACAGAGCACAGCAGTCGCCATGCGGAGGGGCATCACCATATTTCTTCTCGTCACTGTCGTCGTCCTTGGCTTCGCAGTGCACAGCGTCTGGACACTATTGGGTCTGCTGCTCGCTACCGGTCGCGAAGATGCCATCGTGCGCGGTGAACTCCCGGCGCCAAACTCGGGCACCATCAACGACAGGACGCAATTAATCCCCAAGATCATCCACCAGACATATATCAACGAGAGCATACCGGATCACTGGAAGGGGCCGCAGCAAACCTGCATCGACCTGCACCCCGACTACGAGTACAAGGTATGGCGCGCAAACTGGATGCCATGGCAACGAGTAGCTGACAAGACGTAGCTCTGGACCGACAAGAAGTCTCGCGAGTTCATTGCCACCGAGTACCCATGGTTCCTCGAGACCTTCGATGGCTACCCGTACCCCATCCAACGCGCCGATGCAATTCGATACTTTGTGTTACACCACTTTGGCGGAATTTACATCGACCTTGACGATGTACGTACCATGTGCGCAACTCAATCACTGATACTAACACTACCCAGGGATGCAACCGTAGCCTCGACCCTCTCCTCGCCTATCCTGCCTGGGTCCGCCGCACTCTCCCCACCGGCATTTCCAACGACGCCATGGGCGCAGTCCCTCACCATCCGTTCTTCCTCAAGGCCATCGACTCCCTGACGGACTACAATCGCCGCTGGCCGCTCCCGTACATCACCGTGATGGCTTCCACTGGTCCATTGTACCTCAGCCTTGTCTGGCGCCACTACAGCAACACCAATCCTGAGGGCAACGATCGCCTGCGCATTCTGTTTCCCGAGGAGTACAACAACCACCCGTGGAGCTTCTTCACCCACCACGTTGGAAACAGCTGGCACAGGACCGATGTTAAGGTCATCTTCTGGCTAGGGAGACACTGGCTGCTGGTGACCTTCCTTGGATTCACTGCCGGATTTGCTCTGCTAGGCATAATATACAAGTTTTTCTTCTTGAACAAGCAGCAGAGACAGCCTGGGTCGCCAAAAGTCCGGTCCTCGTACTCGAGGGTGCCATTTTACCGCCGCATAAGCCAGAAAGACGTCGAACTTGACGACCGCCATCAGGTCTGAACGCTGTTTCGACTTGCGGTTACTTTCCTGTTTACATGTTGTTGATTAAGCGCATTTCGTTCGCGCCACGAGTCCTGCATTTTCTGGTGTCATGTTTTAATGGTTGCTTGCATTTTTTTTCTTACTCATTTAACTCACCTTCTTCGTTTCGCACATTAGCCTATTGAATGGGGCTATTCAACCTCGTAGTATTGTTTAACTTGATTTGAGAATTGCGATCTGGAACGCAAAGCGAATTGGTGGCCTTGTTGCATATAGAGCGACCCTCGGGTGCTATTACTATCGCTATAGACGATTTATTGGGCGGATGGGTTTAGAGCTGGGAACTCTGGCTTGTTGCTGGGCTTGTTATGGCCTTTGATTGTTATGGGACGGGCATTAGATAGTTGGGTCAGATGGGGCTGACGGTACGATATCAATACCATATTCTACATCATGTTTTGATGTAGTCGACACTTGCTCGGGTTTTGTTCTTCCGTTCTCTATCTCTTCTCTACCATTTGAAAGGTAGCAAGTGCGCAAGTACCTTGAACCGCCAGGGCCAGAAACATGGAACTGAGCTCTCTCCTACCCTGAGTCAAGTACGCATTCAATCTCACACATCACATCACAGACCTTTTCCATACTCCCCAGCTCTACACTGCATCGAGTAACTGGGAGCGAGGCAGATCGTTGGTGAAGATGTGGTTTGGCTACACAAGGATGATATGCCCCATCGAGTCCAGAGATCCCTTTGCGTCTGGGAACACTGTGGATGGAGGGGATAAGTCCGTATTGCGAGGCGGGAGTTAATGGATCCAGGGGCTTTCGAAGGGATGTTTTCTTCGCGATCTCAGAGAAGCTGGGTGGTAGTGTGGTAATTAATATGAATTCATCCAGCCGGCGCGCAGGAAGGCAAATGAGGTACGTATGACCTTCTCATAACAGAACCAGCCAAGACCAATAACACGTGGGGAGAATGGGTGGAGTATAAGAGTCCACCTTCTCGCTCTTCTCTGCTTCTCATCACTTCTTCAATCTTCTATGCTTCTTCCGAAAATGAATATACGGATATACATGATTTCTGTTTCGGCTTTCCAAAATCCAAGAAGACACCGGGCATGGGGCGGACAACTCGAGCGAGGCCTACAAACCATTGTCTGCGTTTCCATCTATGTATATCTTGCGGTTAACCGCTTCTCGAAAATCACTCATCGATGAGACAATGGGTCTTTTGTGCGCGTTGAAGTTGCAATGCGGACACATACTCTTCATGCGGTGAGGCGGTACTCAAAACCAAGACGTACCTCTCTTTTTCATGAATGTTTTACACCAGAACATGACTATTTCGAAAGAGTTGGGAGGTGTGTATCTCTGTTAAAAAGCCTGATCATCGTGTGTCATGGAGTTTTGGACTTTTCAAAAATATGAACATAACCCTGGCCGGTGTGTTTGTCCAAGCTACTCGGGAAAGAAAACAGAGTGCCTCGATTGCGATGATCTGAAATACCAATCACATTCAACCATGCGGTTTTGTGTTGTGAAGTAGCACTCATGTTGATTCGGGAGGACGACGCATGTCTCGACAGTGTGCACAAGCGAGGCTAGGGGAGATGGGGGTATAAAATCTATCCTCTGCTCTTCTAATCTCTCTGTGTTACATCTACATCTATTCTAATTTACTAAAATCCACCCATGCAATATGTATGGTTTTGTGTTCTGCGCACCAACTCTATCACCACCCCGTTTATGTGGAATCCCACTTTCTGCTCTCGAATTCGAAGCCTGGCGTACTTCCGGTATCACTATCTTACCTGGCTGGTGTCAAAACCTTATAAGACGTCCTCTTATGTGGAATGCTCTTTTCTGTTAAAAAAAACTGGCCGACACGGATATCATGAGAGGCTTGTCGTTTCCAAAACACTGAACCATTTACGATATGGAGTGTCGGTTCCTGTCCAAAAAGTATGATTTGGGAGAGGATGGAGAAGTCTTGGTGGGAAAAAACACACAAACATCTGGACATGCGGAGGTGTGTGTGCTGCGGCATAAACACTTCGTCGTTGTCCTCAACACTCCTTCATCATTTTTCATTCGTGTATCCCAAAAAGAAGAAAAACGGTGAATGATGACGAGATATGTGGAGTCCCGGTCTCAGAAGATAACAGTATTCCACCTGTGGACTTGTCTGTTTGTGCGAGTCGCAACTAAAATACCTCTTTCTTCCTAAACTTTACCTTTCTATCTACCGCGGGGGTTTGGAATCATCAGAAACAAAAATCATACCCCGCCATGGAACTCCGGACATTCCAAAAACATTACTCAATCTTGGCGATATGGAAGACTCTTGTACTTGGTACATCGACCTCTATCCTATATTTCTCCACTCACCACGTTGTCTCTTTTGAATCCTCCATTCGGATTTCACCCTCTCAAGAAGAGCAATTCCGACAGGAGTATGTGTTCTCTCCCTATCAAATCTGATACAAAACACAACTTCTGTTGTTGTGGGGAACTCAAGTTCCTTCTAAAATGCTCACTATACGAACTACGCGGTCGAAGTGGAAACCTTTCCTCTCTATCATTGGTCGTCTGTTTTTCTCCTCGAAACAAGGGGAAAAAATCCAAAATGAAAAAGACAAGCTCTAAGCATTCACGAGCTGGTTTCTCCGCTTCTCTTAAATTCGAGAACATCTGTAACATGGATCGGCGTGAAGTCCTTAGAATAGCTCATCCTCGCCTTCTCCCGACGACGCTTCAAAACGATACAGTTATCTATATGCGTGATTTATACGCATATTTTGTACGCACCATGGCGTGAAGTAAAGTCGATTTACATTACGAGACGTCTGATGGGATATGTGCGTGATCTCAGTCATAAAGTTCGCTGAAGTTGCCATTGACCTCACAGACAATGATAATTCATGTTACTGTCTTCTGTGGAGGTGCTGGAACTCGGCTCATTGAAGTAGGTTGCACTGCGGAAACATGGGGGGCAGGATGGTGTGGTGTGTTGACGAAATAAAATCCCAAGAAAGAACGAGATATGTAGAATTTGATCGCTAGACTCCCATAAGACCATGTCGTACCGCAGCAAGACGACGATGCATGCATATAAACATGCCCACCTCCCATCTCCAAAGGTATCATGCACTCTAATCTGAAACCCATCCAAACCACCAGCCCCCCCAACCCCTAAACCTCCTCCCCCTCATCATCAACCTCCCTCTTCACAGCCCCATCCATATCAAACTGCATCTCCAACTCCATCTCCTCATCCCCATCACTCATCTTCACCTCCTCCTGCACCTTCTTCCCCCGCTTCACCCCACCGCTTTTCTTCGCCGGCGTCCCACCCTCACCATCACTCCCCTTCCCCTTCTTAACCCTAGCCTTCTTCGTCGGCGTACCCTCCTCCGCACCAGAGAGCTCGCGCTTCTTCTTCTTCGCCGAGTGGCCCGCGCCGCCTTCGGGTAGCTCCCATTTGAGATCATCGTATAGAGTGCGCTGCTTGACGCGGAGTGCGGAGATGCGGTTGCGGATTGAGCCGGCGGTTGTTCCTGGGAGGGGGAGTTAGCTGGCTTGTTGGAAGAGTGGATGCTGGGCAGGCATGCGACGTACCGGGGAACGCTGTGGAGAGAGTCTCGTACTCTTCGGGCTTGACGTAGCGGCCTTGGATCAGTAGGAGGAGCTGGTGTGTGTGTTAGTCATGTGGTTGGTGAGGAGTGAGTGGGGAGACAAACCTTGCTGTCGTTGGGACCCTCCCATGTGAATTTCTGTGTTTGGTGTTAGTTGGATGGATCTCGTGTGAGTGGATCGTGGGATATGCGTACGCCGCCTGCCTCGCTGGTATCGCCGTTGGCTGCTGCTTTCTTGGGTGGCATGTTGGTGTTGGTGTGATGTGTGTTTGGGTTTTGGATTGTTTGTGAGTGCGGAAGTGTTGCTGTAGGGAGTGATATTGTTCAGATTGCGAGAGAGAAAGATATTAGATGAGTAATGGTGGGGAGCAGGATACTTATGCGTCTCTGGCGCGAATGATGGTGAAGTGAGGCCAAGTGATATTGAGCAGCGAGACTCACCTTCACTTCATCACTCTGGTGGCGGCTGGAAACACATGGCTAGATGATCTGCGCTCATCAATTCTATGTATGAACTTGAAGCAGGTAGTAGAATGTTCTCAGGCAAGATGTCAATTTCATAGTCTGTCTTCTCAAGATACTTGCCAATCATGTCACAAAACCACACATTTTCTGTGGCGCATATCAAGCAAGATGCCCACACTATCCTCAAGAACCCCATGTAGTTTCTTCGACACTCAAATCTCATCCACCTCATCCTTGACCATCTCCTCCTTAACCTCCTCCTCTTTGACCGCACCCTCCATTGCCGACACCTCATGTTCAACGTCAGCCTCCTGCTCCGGCTCCACCTTCTTAGTCTTCTTCGCCCTAGGCTTCTTCTTAGGAGTCTCCGCCCCATCGTCCCCGCCAGCTACTTCACTAGCATCCCGCTTCTTGCGTGGCGTCGCCGGCTCCTTCTTGCGCGGCGTAGCAGGCGCCTTCACACCCTCGGGCATCTCCCAGCCCAGCTCATCGAAGCGTTTACGCTGCTCGACGCGATACTTGGACACGCGGATGCGAACGCCGTTGTAGTTTGAGCCAGCTGCGATACAGTTAGCTGGCGTTCATACTGTATCAAGAACCAAGTATGATGTGATCAGGAACGTGATTTGTGATACGTACGCAAGGCTTCGACAAGCTTGTGGTAGTCATCCGGCCCTAGGGTGCGACCGAGCGTGAGGATAAGGAGCTGTGGGTGGTCAGTGATGCGTCGGCTGATGCATGTGTGAGGAACATACAGTACGGTCGTTTTCGGCTGTCCATCGGAATGTCTGCATGGCGTGTTAGTGGGCGATTGTGTTTTCGATGAGTGGAGGCGGATACGTACTGAGTCGTTGCTGTCGCCGTTCTCTGCACCTTCGCTGGTAGCAGCGACCTTCTTCTTGGGAGGCATTCTGTCAGATAGAGCGGTGTTGATAGTGTTTGGGGCAGAGTTAGGAGAGATCGTGCGTATGTTATAGATGTGCGAGCGTGTGAAGATGTTGGTGGGGATGAGGCTGGGAAGCGGTGATTTATATAAAACGGTAGGCTTATGTGCGGGCTGAGCAGTGAAAGTAAAACTGGGCAGTATGGGTGTGTCCGTGAATGAGTTACCTTTACTTCGACGTCAGATCATGAATTCGTCTCAATATCGGTGTTCGAGATTCCGAATCTGACGATATAGGACGTATAATTTCATTTGATTTCTAGTTACCATTCACGTGTGCTGCCATACCGTGTAGATACAACATACACGCTAAGAGCCACATGCATGTTAGCGATACTGCGAATATTGACACAATCACAAGATTTCATGGAGAGATACACATATGGAAGCATTGGTGGCTTAAGCTGCTTGGTACGAGCGGTGTACCAGAAAGCGCCAAACGCCATGTCCGTCCGCCCAGTTCTTGATTTAGCGCCGTGAAATGCTCCGCATGTGTCCATGTCAGAAGTCAAATTGCTCCTTCCGTGTCCGTTTGTTTGCCAACCCCATCTATTTGTCTCCCTTTTTCTTTCGCAACGTCTGGCCCGCGCCGTCAAAATGTTTCGACTCCTTCTGCTCGCTCTCCTCCTCCTTGCCCTTGACTGGCTTGATCTCATAGCCGAAGAAGAGCTTTCCTGGGGGCAACCTGAGCGGTTGAGGACCATTAGTCCGCCGCACAGTCGGTGGAGGGTTGGTGGATTGTCCGGCGATGGGTGTCGAAGCTTGTGGAGTTGGCGTTTTGCTACCCTTCTTGGCGTTTAGCTTGTGACCCGAAGAGAGGAAATGGGAGGACGTCGCCCTGGCACCAGCGGCGGCACTTGTTGACGAGGGCGCAATGGCTTCGTAGTTGATGGCCTGCGCCATAGTGCCATGAGAGTGCAGCGTTCCGCCTTTGCCTGCCATGACACCTTTCCCGCTCCGTGGCGTGCTTGTCCCGCTTGCCCTCTTGGGCTCCTCATACCCTACTGGTGCCGCGAAGTCGACTGACAGATCGGTCTCGATGGTGCAGATGGCCTTGCTGGGGTTTTCTGGCCTTGTCTCTAGCACGGCGATGCTGTAGATATTGTCGTTGTATGCAAAAGTGAATATGTCGCCCGTGGTCAGACAGGAGAAGTTTCGGAACGCGTTCTCGAGGACGGCTTTGGGATCTGAGATCTCCAGGAAGGACGTATCTTGTGGTTGCAGCTTGATGAAAGTGCCAAGAGGAATGTCAGTCGATTTGACTTGTAGGAGATCTCCGGGCTCGAGCAGTAGCGTCTGCATCAACTGTGGAAAACATCGTCAGTACTCCGTCCTACAGCTCAGCGATAATGACGTACCCAGTACGGCAGGTAGATCTTGCCCTCTTCCGCTATAAACTCCAGCACACCCGCATGCGTCTTCTTGCCGTCTTGAGCGCCGTTTATAAGCTCAAAGAGCATGGGGTATGTGATGTGCAGCCGGGTGAGCTTGTCGAGCGCGCTGGGTGGGAGGAACACTTTGCCGCCGTTGTTCGCATCTTCGCGCTCTGGACCAGGAAGCATGGCGATAGGATAGCAACGGAAGTACTCGTCGAACCGTCGTGGGGCGCCACCACGGCGCAGTGACTGGTACATGGCCATCGGATCGTCTTCGTTGTAGTAGGTTGGGTTGAACTGGCTGCAGTCAGCGGACATGTGCGAGAAGTGGTGGGGTCGCTCCTACCATGGTGGATCGCTGTCAGGTAGGGAAGGTGCGAGGGTGGTTGTGAGTGAGGGCGAGAGGTTGGGGTACACTCTCAGGCAGCAGGTGGGCGAAAAAGGTGTGTTTGGTGGAAGAACGATGAGTGTGAATGTAGATGACGACCCATGGTCGAGGTGCTGCTACGGTATGCTGGAAAGACCGTTTGCGCATACGCGTCGGCGCTTTGAACGCCGCGCCTCCAAGCCTCGTCGACGTCACTGCACTGCGCGTATTTGTAGCATTCTTACTCTCACGAAGCACCCAACTTGCATTGTATCTGACATGGCTGGCCCCAGTGGTACCTTCAACCCCGCACGACCAAAGCGCGCCGGCGAGCAGTTCACACGCACTCACCACTTGGACAACGACGAGCTCTCTTCAAAGAAACCACGATTCGACCCACGCAACCCTTCCACGCTCGCTCCAGACGCCGAAGAGGAAGAAGACCCTGTGCTGGAAGCAGACGTGATTGGAAAAGGCGCGGGAATCAAACGAAATGCAGTCAATATCGACGGCTACGATTCGGACAGCTCTACAGAAAACTTCAATGCACGTGCCGCGGCGAAGATCAAGATCGACACAGCACAGAAAAAAGACGATGACGATGATGACGACGACATGTTTGGTGGTGAAGACCAAGACGACGACGAGGACGAGGAAACAGTCAGAGACCAGACGGCAAAGAAGAAGCTACGATTCTTAGATAATGATGAAATTGAGGGGCAAGAATCCACAAGCAAGTCTGGAGGGCATGTTGCAGTCGACTTCACCAAAGGCAAAGACACAGTAACAGAAGATGTTGAGAGCAGCAGTGAAAGCGGCGATGATGGAGAGCGTGACCGCGTAGAGTCAGACATGGACGAGGAGCTAGGGGCTGGTAGCAAGAAGAAGCACGCTCCGAAGCTAGACGCCTTCAACATGCGCTCAGAGCAGGAGGAGGGTCGATTCGACGAGGCCGGCAATTTCGTGCGCAAAGCATACGACCCAGAAGCCGCTCAAGACTCGTGGCTCGAGGGCATATCCAAAAAGGATATTAAGCGTGCGCAAGAAGCAAAAGATATGCGAGATGCAGAACAGAAGGCTCGTGAACGCGCGGAAGACTCAATAATCACCAGCGACGTTCTGTCTACTCTAATCACGCACTTGGATGTAGGAGAGACTCCCTTGGAGGCCCTCGTACGATACGGCAAGGCAGCCCCGAAGAAGCAGACCAACACCTGGAGCAAGAAGAAAAAGGTCCAAGCTATGGAGGTCGATACTGACCCTGCGAAAGAAGCTGCAGAAGCAAAAGCAAAAGCAGCTATCGACTCTATTACTGAATGCGCAAGTCGACTGTCTGACAGAGGTGTCGAAGATATCTACGAAATGCCCCGCGAAACAATTATGCGACAATACAAGCGCGACACAGGAGAGGATTGGAGGAACCCAAATCCAGAACCAGTGCAGTGGGAGTTCCATTGGCTCACTGCACCAGAAGGGGAAAACAATGGTCCCTACGACACGGAGACGATGCGTGCTTGGGAGGCAAGCGGGCAATTCGCTGCTGGTGCTGAATTTCGCCACGTCGGCGAAACGGAGTGGTCGCGACTGTTGGACTTTGACGACGATTGATCGAGCGCTTGATAAACTGATGCCTTCAATAGTATGGTACATTTGCTGCACGACATATCAATGAGCGCTCCACTGCAGTTCACGCTATCGGGTATCTAAAGATACCGACAAGCTGGACGCTCACATGACTTCTCATGCAATGCAGGCTCCTGTGGCTAAGATCCTACGATAAATGTTCGACCAGTCGGATAAAACAGAGATGCGGGAAGCCGTAGCGATCGGTTGGAGCGCCTGCGATAACAGCCCATCGAGCGCAGCTACGTCGAATCATATACAGAGTTTGATGTGTGCATGTCGTGTCACGTTGATGTCGCTTGCTGTGACCGTTTCGTGTCTGTGTGCAGATGTTGAGGTGTCAGGAATGCAGACTTGTGCAGTGCGGCTATGTGCATAACTTCCTTCTGGATGAAAGGAAAAGTGAAGTCCGTGTTGGATGATGAAGGGTCCGTAGATCGTAGTGGCGATGCGATACGAAGCACAGATTGGGCAGCTGGGTGGCCTCGTGTACAATATCCGAGCAGAGCATCCTCCCAACATTCGGTTAGAGTTACAGAAGTAAGACAAAGTATAAACTCTGAAAACCTGCTGCGTAAGAAGCTTCGCCTTCGCCCCCGATGACTTCATCACGCATCTCGTCTTTTTTTTTCTATCACAAAGTCCGAGATGTGTACCCATGTACAACTGAATTAGCACCGATGCAAGCGTCCTGCCTCTCATAAAACGACGCCCCAAGCGTTTCCGCAGCGACGGGAGTCGCCACATTCAGGGGATGCTGTAATTGGACACCACGTTTTGAGAGCAAGCTACAGCCAGCGGCGCGCGAACGGCCACGGGCCGCCAAAATTCCAGAAGCTTGGAGTTTGGGCCTCGTTCAACTCCCTGAAGCCGTTCCGAAGGGTCCGGTCCATGTTATTAAATATTGCGAGTAAGGTCACCGCCACATGACAGGCGACTCGGCTGCATCTCGTCTGCCATGGTCGTTGGGAACAGGACTGTGTAGAATATTCGATAGCACGTGTACGACGCGCATGAGCTTGTACGCGGTGCTTTTGAGGAACACCTGCATCGTTTCAATCGAGGCGTATATTGGAGCTGGGCGAGGGCAGCCAATGAAGTGGACCATCTGCCCCCCTCGCCGCTGCCGCTGCCCCCGTCCTAGATTGAAACCTTGACTCAGCCTGCACGTCGCGTTCACACTCTCCCTGTGCTTCGCCGTTCGGTCGTCTGGCGACAGCGTGCGTTACGTCTCGGATTCCAAGCTGCCTGTTCCCCGCGGGCTAGTGTGGCTTCTCAACCTATTTTCGCGCACCACCCACCGTCCGTCTCTGCTTCTCCTTCCAGACACCCGTACTTGATCACGCCCCTTTACGACGACGCGTGAGTTCAGGCCTCTGACGTCTGCTAGCTCGTTGCTCGACGACCCACAAAGTTCGGTCGCCCAGTCAAAAGGAGAGAGGAGCTGGACTTATTAACCCTGTCTCAAACATCACCGGCCACCCTCGACATGCCTATCGGCGCTGCGTGCTGAAAGCTTCATCTTCCCCCTTTTCCGTCGCCGCTGACCCGTTTTGGTTCATTTGCTACGATACCCAACCTCATTTCGCGGCATCTGGCACTTTGATCTTTAATCTTCCGCGCGCTTGGTCTTGGCGCAGACGTACTAAACCTCGACCCTGTCCTTCTGCACCTGATTTTCCCCTTCACACGCAACAGCTCAGCCTTCAACACACCAACACATCATGTATGCCCAATACGAACAGGGGCAGTCGGCGCGGTCGCCTGGTACCCACAGGAACCAGTCCCAGAATGGAACTTTGCATCGCATGCCGTCTCGTCAATTTGACGCCTACCAGCAGTTTAACCAAAACAATCTTTACCAGCAAGACGATCAGGCCAGGGGCTACGATCAGTCACAGCCGCGTAATCACGAACGCCTCCATCAGACCGTCGGCTACGGCTACGATATGGGCGCGCCTGCAGGCTGGAATACGAACGCCTTCTCACAAAATGGCTTGGGTTCTTTGGGAGGCGCTGCCAGTGCTCGCATGCGATCGCAACAGCGGGGACGCAGTGCGATTCCTACAGTAAGCAGATTGAGCCAGGTTATTGTAGATTATTGACTGACACGTACCGCTTTAGGCATGGATGAACCAGACAGGACCAGCGGCAGGGCCTCCTGGCCACACCCTCTCGGGTCTCGGGAATGGAAGTCCCAATCTCATGTTTGCCTCTGGCTTTGGACAAGATGACGAGGATGATTCTGAAAAGCTGATTCCCACGGCCATGGTCATCAAGAACATCCCCTTCGCGGTCCGGAAGGAGCAGTTGGTTCAGCTGATGACGGACTTGCGACTACCTCTTCCGTACGCTTTCAACTACCACTTCGACAACGGTGTATTCAGAGGCTTGGCCTTCTGCAACTACACCACACACGAAGAAACAGCTACTAGCATCGAGGCGTTGAACCACTTCGAGCTCAATGGCAGGAAACTTCGCGTCGAGTACAAAAAATTGTTGCCTGTTGAGGAACGTGAGCGAATCGAACGTGAGAAGCGTGAGCGCCGCGGCCAGCTTGAGGAACAACACCGTCCGTCAGGAGGGCAGCTCCACTCCCAGGCGTCGTATGGTTCTCTTGCCTCTCACATGCCCGCTACATCTCCCTCGCCAGTGTCTGGTACAAGGGGCCAGCCGAGGGCTGGTATGTTCTCCAATATCACATTTGGCCGTTTCAGCTGCTAACTATCTATAGATGTAGACATGAACGACCCTCAAGTCCTGCAATTCTACTCTCAGATGCTTTTGTTCAAGCAGGCGGAAGAGCGCGACAGCATGGTATTCCCGTCAACCCTGACACCCACACAGCGTCGCATCGTTCACACTCTGGCTCATCAATTGGGTCTCATGCATGTTTCTAGGGGCACCGGCGAGCAGCGACAGGTCCACGTCATAAAAGTACAGGACACTCCAGGCCTGAGTCCACCTCTTTCGCAGATGCCTACAAGCCACCCGTCCGACCAACCCCGTCGTACTCTTAATCGCGCCGCAACGACCGACTTCAGCGACGTTCGGGACGGTTTCTACAACAATGCCTTCGGCGGAAGACAAGCTTCAGGCCTTTTGGGTTTCCCTGATTCACCGGGTGGGTTGAATGCCGTTCCCAACCTACGAGGTGCTAGGTCGTATGCGGATCTCCGCTCCTACACTCCTTCGCCAGCACCTTCCACCGCCAGCCATCCTGCGGGACGTCCGAACGGAATCTCCCTCGAAGGGCTTGGATTTAATGGCAGTTTGACGAACCCCAACGGTACTCCCACGACCGGCTCTATGTCGCAACGCGACGAAGGCTTGCTTGAAACAGCAATGGGACGTATGCAGCTTGGTGGAGGCTTCGGACAGAGCAGCAGCCCGCGTGCTCTTCGACAGATGACCTCGTGGGATGCTCCTGGACCAATCGGCGGTCATCGAACTTTCGGTAACGGCTACGAAGATCGCCCTTCGAGGCAGCCTCGCGGGCCACTTCCAGAACGTGGACACGGTTTCGGCCGTCCTCGCCAGAATGGTCATCAGAACCGTGGTAGCGATGAGCTCTCGTCGCAGTCCAACGCCGAACTCGTTGCAGGACAGTAAGCTCCTCGCTATTCACTGATGACACAGCACACCCACCCAACATGTTCCCGCTCCTTGAACAACGATGTGCGACGAAATTCTTTGAATGAACAATGACGATATTACGGCTCACGACGTATACGAAGAATGAGACTACGACGGTAGAAACTACATACCCACCAGGGGCTCGCGCTCCCCATCTCGAATCCCAATTTGGGCAATGAAAAGCATATATGGACATATTAAGTTGTTGATTGTTGTTGTTATTGAATTGGTTTTTTTGTTTTCTTTTCGGCTTCAGGTAGGTGTACCGCTTCTACAGGCAATAGTTTGTGTTAGGCATTGATTTGGATACTCTTTTTTTCTCCCCTTATTAATTGCCACACTAGTCTGGTTTCAACAAATTCCATCCACAAGAATTGAAGACTTCGTCCAAGATCACAACTACGATGAGAAGATACCTCTCAAGAATATCGTCGGCGCCACGTAATCCTCAGTACACCCATCACCGCAATAGGACTTTGGCGAGGCGTTTGTTTGACAAGATACGAAAATGAGAAGGCAGACCTAGTATCAGCTATATCGGACTGGATGAACAAATTCGCGTCACTGTCGTCAGTACTTTGTCCCACCACGGTCAAAAATAAGTGCTCTTGGATAGGCAATTTTAATACCACCGTATACGGGACTCATCATCTAACTCGATCATTTTCTTGCCATATTCTGTCCGTGTTAGCGGGTTGGTGTCTTGTTGCACAAGAACTCTTGAGGCTAGGTTGTGAAGAGGCTGAAATTCTAGATGGAGAATATGATGTTCGGAAATCTGTATTGTAATATGCGCTTAATATATTTTGTTCGGTATATCTTCGCTCCTACATTTTTCTTGTTTGATACTTGTGTGTGACGTCTTTGACTCGCTTTTTGAGAATCACGTTTCTTGTCGACAGCGGAGAAGTTTTGATATGGCGTTAATGAGCAGCTCCTGTTCCGCACCCATCCGTGAATTCTTGGTGATGGTTAGCAACGGGTTTAGGTATGCACAATCGATGGTAGAGGATGACATATCGCGGCGAAACTGAATCCCCGGCGGCCCGGTTGATGAACTCATCGCTGGAGCATCGATGCGCAACATTGACTAAATGTTGCATATTGCCAGCTTGACACCATCATCAACCATTGAGACCGTGAGCTAATTTCTCGCGCAAAACAGCTAATCCGTAGAGTTTTGCTATCTTGTCGATTAACTTGCTGCCTTGGGATCCGCGTCAGAGAGCACAATCGCGATTCCTCCCACCGTCCTCGACTCACCAAACTTCTACCACCGCCCTTCCCCAACCAACCGCCGCCTTCCAGAACCGCCTTCCAGTACGACCCTATTTGCGCATTTCGCACGCCCCATCGCCTTCCTTTGTGCGCGTCAACGACTGTTTGAAAACAATCACATCACGGTTTTACTGCAACCAGGAACAACAACACAACAAGCTGGAACACAGACGTACATAACTGCGACTTATTCGCGCTGTCTGACATTTCCCTTGTGCACGTTAACACTTCCGTGAACTGTCCTTGACTTCGTGATTGAGACAGTACGTCGCAAGGCTGCACAGGTCGCAAGCGATCGCGAGGCACTCCAGCACCTAGGCACTGGCATACCGATACGCGCAGCGGCCCAAAGCTCAGCTTTCCACACACTGGCCGGTCTTACATCACAAGTGAGCGCCGCGCCCATGTCGAGCCGCAAGCGCCGCGCTCCAGGCGCTGAGCCGCAAGCCCAGGTTCAGACATACCAGCAAGACGCCAACATGTCGTCTGACCAGTTCATGAACTGGAGCGACCCCACCATGAGCGCGGACATGAACTTCAACGACCCACAGCTCTTCGACAGCTATGCCGCGAACACAGCAGGGGGAGGACACAACCGAGTCGTATCGCTGGACGACGGCGCAGACATGAATCTGGGGCAGTTGGTCAGAAGAAATCCGAATCAACAGCTTGCTCCCGCGCCAAGACAAGGCCAGTGGGAGGGCTATCCTAGCCCGGGGCAGCAGTGGGAGCACATGGATAACGATGAGGAACTCGACCAGAAGGCTGCGGTTGCGAAGAAGGATGCGCAGGCGAAGCGGAAGCAGATCCCGCCGTTTGTGCAGAAGTTGAGCAGGTGAGTGACTTGATGTTCCTCTCTCCATTGGTTCTGACTTTCGTGTGTCTGTCTAGCAGACACAGACTGGCTGGGATGGGGAATCGTGCATGTGGATGTTGGGTCTGATTGCGGGGATTTAGCTAACGTCTTCCAGTTTTCTCGACAATAACAAAAACGAAAACCTCATCCGATGGTCAGACGATGGCAACTCCTTCATAGTCCTAGATGAAGATGAGTTCGCGCGGACACTTATTCCGGAGCTGTTTAAACACAACAACTACGCTTCGTTTGTGCGACAACTAAACATGTATGGCTTCCACAAGAAGGTTGGGTTGTCAGACAACTCCATGAAGGCGAGCGAAACCAAGGCGAAGGCACCCAGCGAGTACTACAACAAGTACTTCAAGCGTGGTCGCCCCGAGTTGTTGTGGCTGATTCAAAAGCCTAAGAATCCTCCATCTGGCCCAAAGCGGAAGCGAGACGAGGAGAACAAAGGCGACAGTGACGAAGAGCGCAAGTACGTGCAAGACACTGGCGGCGGTGGCTATGTAGAAGACATGACTGTGCGAGGCACCGAGCAGATGGCCATGATACCGCGATCAGAGTACAACAGCTTACGAGTCGAAGTCCAGCAACTTCAACAGCAGCAGAAGCTTATCTCGAACGTTCTGAGTCAGATCAAGCGTCAGAACGACGACCTGTATTCGCGAGCGACCTCATTCCAAGCGCTGCACGACCGCCATGAGAACTCGATCAACGCCATTCTGACTTTCTTGGCTACTTTCTACAATCGCAGCCTGGAAGGCAACACGAATGGCTTGAATCTCGCTGACATGTTCCCCCCTGCCATGCAACGGCAACAATCGCACGGTAACGTCGTCGATGTTGATGACTATCCAACAAAAGATATGAACAAGTCTCCACAGCTACAACGGACCCGAAGACCTCTTGCTCTCCTTCCTGCCCCAGCTCCTGCTCCACAAGACTTGCTCTCACCATCAAATCGTGCGACAACTATGAGTCCAACTACTAGGCCAATTCCAAGTCCGATCACCAGACCCGGGAGCAGACAGTCAGTTTTCAAATCTGCAATGCCGCACTCAAGACCGCAATCCACTCTCTCCGCTTCGCAAGGACGAGACAGCTCATCTGCCGCCCCTCCCAAAGCCGAAACGCCACAGACTCATCTTCCCCTTCCCGAAACCAACGACATCATGTCCGCGATTCAAAATGCAAACGCAAATGCTAGCGTCTCGCAACCAGCAAACCAGGCTTCACAATTCGACTTTCCCTCCGCCCTCTCAAACTACCAAACACAAGACGGTCACGTACCGCTCACGCCACAGCAGCGCAACGACGTCCTCTCTCTCATCGCCACCACCTCCGCCGCGCAAAACAACAACAATGCGCTCACCAACCCCCTCCCACCCCCGGAAATGTCGAACCTACTGAACGACCTGAGTCAATTCCAAGCCACACAGCAACAACTCGAGCTCCTGCAGAAGATGAGCGACGAGCAAAACTCACGCGTGCAAAGCCTACAAGAGCGTCTACAGCCACTCAGCCCAAGCGGCCAGATCCCCGGCATAAACGTCAACGTCAACGACGGGGGCTACTTCTCCGGCACCGGCCTAGGCGACCCCGGAGCCTACGATCTTGATCTCGACGCTTTCGTCCAGGACCAGGACTACTTCACCGAGAACAACGGGCCGACGCAGGGCAACGCCGACGCGAATACGCTGCCGGACTTCAACTTCCCCACGCCCGACCTGAGTGCGGGGGGGTTCGGCGCGTCGGCTGCTGATGCGTTCCAGTTCAATGGCAGTCCGGATGATGGCATGCTGCATGCTGGTGGTGGTGGGGCGGCGGGAGATGGCGTCGCACATCAGAATGGGAACCGTATTGAGAATCTGAGCTCGAATGAGCCGTCTCCTGTCGCGACTGTGGAGGAGGTTGAGGATGAGACGAGGATGAGACCGAGTCCTAAGCGGAGGAGGAAGTGAGTGGGAGTGGTTGGGAAAGTGCAGAACGTGTGGTGTGGTGTCTTTGAAGTCGGAGATGGAGATGGGATACAGTAGAATACATTGGAGAGTACGCTGACGTACGGCGTTGGAATAAACTTAGCATAGACTTGGGCATAGCGTTGGCGTATCTTGTATGGGCGGAATATAGTTCACGAAATCATGATTCAGAGAGATAGAGAGTAGGTAGAAGGAAAGATATACTTAGTTCTATAGGCATGTGCACTTTTCTGTGCTGTTTTTGTGATTGGTACCATGTTTGGGATATGTCAGGCTTGTCCTGCTTTGTACGAGCATTGGAGGGCCATTGCAGCTTGGTCATTGTTGGTCAACACTTACTAGGAGAGATTTGCATATGAGTGAGAAAGTCTTGTACACGAATGGTAATGAGAAGAAGCACTGAATCGCAGACATCGCACTGCTCGCAATCTTGCTTCCTCGCGTGAGTGATGGAAGTTTGATGTCTTGCCCATGCTTGGAAAGACGGAGAGAATAAGTATGGATGATATGAGGAAAACATGAGAATAGTTGACGTAGTCACTTGCGAGCCGCAGCAGGAGGAACGGACTATAGTATGGCGGGGAGTAATATGATGGGAAAAGAAACGATAAGAGTCGTATGTCAATTTCGTAAATCAAGGGGAGAGGTTTGGGGGGTGTAGTAAGCTGGACATTTCTTCAACTGTGAAGGATGTAGAGATTTTTGCTGTAGGAGAATGTCGGTTGAGGGAGAAAGGGAACGATTTATGCAGAAATCAAGAGTATAGATACATTAGATGTGGTACGCGTTTGTTTGGTTCGCCTGGATATATTTGGGTAGTATGTAGCTACATAATGCTAACATAGAGGCACTCCAGGGCACTCAGCTTCACATGAGATCCTCATATATCTAACATATGCACCACGGGATATTTGAACAACATGATTAGCGCTGCGAATTAGTCGTAGATCAACGATGGTAATGGGTAAGCCTCCTCCGCTTTCCACACTCCTGCACACCAGACTCTACATCAGCCTGTCTGACTTCAGACTCTTGGTCGAACCACTGGTCATAGCCAAGATTCTCATCCTGTAGGGACCGGGCCTGTTTCTTGCTGTTACGAATCGGTGTCTCACAGACCAGGATAGAATCTTGTTCCACAACAGGAGTGCGTGCCCGTCGAAACTCCTCTGCGAACTGGGTTTGTTGATAGCTCTCGTCTGTCAGTTGGCCCTGGTCGACATCACATTCTTCACGCCCCTCTTTGACCCCGTAAGAAAACTCTGGCACCTGAGCCGGAAATTGCGATGCTTGAGATTCTGGTGGTGGGGGTAGGTGCACATAGTAGTCGCCTTGCGTGAAGGTCTCATTCATCGCCCTGTTCAAGCTTTCGCCCGACCGGTAGGATTCGTCGTGCTCAGAAGCTTGTGTAATGGAATACTTATCGGGCGCTTCGGTGGTGTTAAATGAGAGCTGGGTTGTGGGACACTCCACTGGAATCTGCTGCCCGCTGGAGTCAGGAAGCTGTTCGTGATCAGTGAGGAATGAATTGTAAAGTTGCTGCTCGCATGGAACCGCGCCACTCGCGTTGTATGTCTGTTGCTCGTATGAATCTTGATTGACTAGATCGTACTGTTGTTGGTTCTCGTCGTAAACCTCGTCGTGGCTGGTCTCGTACGATGAAGGGATCACTTGGCTTGCGAATTGAGTGTCCTCATAGTCTTTCCTGATGGATGGCAGGGGTGTGTTTGCACGCCAGCATTGAGAAGACGATAGACTCCGAAGAATGTCATGTGTGGGATCTGGCTGAGATTGAGAAAAGAATCGAGACACCGATTCCTGTTGCAACTTGTGATCAGGAATACCGGTTGTCGAGATGGCTTCAACAAGCTGATGGTCCTTGTGGCGTGGGTGCCAGTCTTTGATACAACGCTCATATAAAGCCTCAAAATCTGCGGCATAGACTGCACGACAGAACCAGGGATGAGCCAGGGCCTGTGATGCGGTCATGCGCTGCTCCTCTTCAAGAACCAGCAAACGTTTGATGAAGTCTTTTGGGTCGTTCTTGATCGAACTCCATGTGGGATGATACTCACTATCCAGAACACTGAGATCGCACCGTGCAGCGTGATCCATGATGGCGTTACGAGAAACTGACCTGTATTCAGCACGAGCATTGCTGCTGAAGATGTTTTCGCCAGAGAGTATGGCTGCCGTGATAGTACCCACGGACCACATGTCAACACCTTTGGAATACCCTTGCTCGGCTGGGATAGTTGGGTTCGCTCGGTGAATCTCTGGCGCCGCAAATTCCAGGGTACCGGCCACTGAGAACATCCGCTGCAACTTGGTTGCTTGGACGTCGCGCGATTTCTTTGCATTGGGCAGAAACCTCGCGCTGCCAAAATCGGTGATCACAACCCGCGCACCATCGTCGAGAGAGGTCATCAATATGTTGTCAGGCTTGAGGTCTCTGTGCACGATATCCTGGGCGTGTAGATACTCGACACCGATAAGTATCTGCCGAATGATGACTGAGGCACAGACGCTGTTGATTCGACCACCTTTGTATTCGATGAAGGAGAAGAGATCACCACCAGTGACAAGTTCTTGGAACATATAAATCGTATGCTGACTCCAGAAGACCTTTTGGACCGTCGCTATGTTTGGATGGCTGATATCCTTGAGGATGTCAAACTCGCGGAAGTTGTTGGCAATCCTGGTTGGCCAACGCTTCCAGGTGTCACTTGCTTCCCGTCCTCTCTCACCACTGGGCTGTCGCAAGCTCGCACCAGACAGGCGACTGAAAAGATGATCGAGTCGTACCATCTTGCAAGCAAGTTGCCGTTGGGTCTCTTGTTGCACTCCGATTAATACCTTTCCATAACCACCTTCTCCAAGTAAACGGCCAGTGATGAGATAACGAGAGGCAAAGAGGCTCTTCTCTTGCTCTTGAATACGGGTCAGTCGAGTTACCTGAACAGGGTTATCCGAATAATAAACGAGCGTCACTGATTCTGACAGGCGAAGTTCATCTCCATGATCGAGAAGGAAGGTGCTGTTGCGGCCCATGAGAATACCCATTCCTGGTGAGCCGATATGATCGGAATCATGCTTCTTCAAGTGAGTACCATTGACCGACAAATCAGTTGCATAGACGAAGGGTGCAATATCAGCGATAGGATCTTGCTCGTACAAGATACAATGAACACGGAGATGCCGTCTGGAGATAGTAATGTCAGACCAGTAATAGCGGTAGCTGTCACTAGAAGTCAGAACATGCTCGCACCACAGCGAGGGTCGCATTGCTCTCACCAAAGCTCTGGATCCCTCCCGAGGTGGAACTGCTCATTCCCGCGTATATCAATGGTATCAGGTATTTCTGCACGTGTAAGCTCGATGTCGATTTACGGTTTCGATTCCACTCACCATACGAGTCCTGCCCGGCGGCACGGACCTCAAACCATGCCACTCGCTCACCTGCCATCTTCGTTCACTTCCCCCTCTTCGTAGACATGACCGACACGTAAAGATGCGTGCGTAGATTGTGAAGGCAACAACGCGACGCGTAAACGCGTGACTTGTTGCCAAGCTCTTTGCACCGTCTAAGTCTAGCGTTCCATACACGTGACGGCTAAGCGAGCCCCACGCACATAACGACTTCACGCAGCTCCCAGCTCAGCTTCTCTTCTGCACCCACGACACTCATCTCGAAAGCAATGTAAGTTGATCTCACCCCCGGGCTGGCTTTGAGACACTCAATTGGGCACCTCCGGGTGGCTGTTGAGCTTCCTCATTGCTACAGTTCACCCCCGCACAGCTCCAATAGCAGTCGCTGACCAGCCTAGCCCGCCGACAAGATGAGAGCGAAATGGAGGAAGAAGCGCGTGCGCAGGCTCAAGCGTAAGAGAAGAAAGACGCGTGCCCGCTCGTAAGTCCCTCAGCATTCCGTTGTTGCAAGTTCTCAGTCTAACAACCCCTCAGCAAGTAAACGACTCGCCCCCAATCTCAGCTCCCACCACCTCAGTTCTGAACAATCACGATGAATGAACGATACGATTCGCACGCACACCTTCACGGCCAGCTCGCTTCACCTGTTTACTGCATCTCGGCACTCGAACTTCGGGTTACGTCATACGGCACACACGCGACACTCGAGCTTCAACTATTATCACGGGAGGTTCTGCATGTGCTGGATTGAGGAATGTCTCTGGGAGACTGGTCAACACACCATTGAGGATCTTGAGAGTTTCTTGACATGATGGTCGCTCTAACACCGGCTTGCTTCTCTTGTGGAGGCTTGTCTTTGATCGATACATCCGACACATCTCCGTGTGGAGTTAACGATAACGGAATCAAAAAATGCTTCACGACATTTCTGTCTTTTTGACTGTGCTTGCGTGATTTGTGACGATGACTACCGAGAGCCGGACAAGCTACCCCGCATGCTGCCCCTCCTGCTTTGCTATGACGTGACCGTTCGTTATGGTTTGTTTTGAGCCCTAGTCAAGTGGTTTGTTAACTGTCTTTCACTCATCTCACAGCTTGCTATGAAGTCTATATATGAAGCCTACGGTCAAGATGTTAAAGTAGTTGACAACGGAGAAGAAACCTGGACAATCATTTCCGTAGCAATTCAAATCTGCCCTAAATCCCCATCTTTGCCTTAACAAATGCTTCTGTATCATCAAGCCCTTCCTGTGTACTCTTGATCAACCCCGGTGGATTCCCAATAAACCCATGCGGCGCGCCATTATACACCTTAACAACCGCCTCCCCACCCCACATCCCCCACTTCGCACCCATAAACACCGTATCATCAATCAGCGGGTCCTCACTCCCACACGTGAACAGCGCAGGCGGCAGCTTCCAGCCCCTGATATCCGCGAAGAAAGGCGAGATAGAAGGGTCGCGGCGCTGCTCTGGCGTAGTGTCCGGGAGGAGAGCAGCGATGTACTTTGACATGACGTCGTGGTCGATGACGAGGTGAGTTTCGTGGTTCGCGACGTGCGGGAGGAAGGACGACAGGTCGAAGCAGCCGAAGTGGAGGAGGAGGCCGCGGAACGCGAAGGCGGGCTGGTGGGTGAGTAGGTGGAAGGCTACGAGGCAGGCGAGGTGGGCGCCTGCGGACTGTGGGGGGTGGTGTTAGCTGCTACTCTCTCTCTCTCTGTCTGTGTGATGTGATGTGGAAGGGAGGGGGAGACGTTACTTCGCCGCCTGTGAACATGAGGGCCCCGCCGAACGCCTTCTGGCCGTTCTTTATCAGCCAGTCTGCTGTGTCGTAGCAGTCTTCCACGCCAGCGGGCCAGGGGTCTTCGGGCGCGAGGCGATACCCAACGGAGAAGACGGTGAGCTCGAAGTGGTCGGCCATGTACTTTAGGTATGTGTCTTGGTAGTGCTCGGACTGGAGGACCCATCCGCCGCCATGGATGTGTAGGTGGATGCCCTTGCTCACTCCACTCGCAGGTTTGAACACGCGGTACGGGATCTCTCGGTCAGTGTCGCGCGACGGGATGGTGCCGTTGATGCCTTCAGGGAGCACTACGGGTTTCGGGAGGGGAGTTTTGCCTTCCCATCTTAGCTTGCGGTATTCTGCTGCGCCGACCTAAGAGGAGCTTCAGCTTGCTGTTAAGAGGAATGGTGGGGAGTTTGGTACCTCGTACCACCGTGGCCCGTCAGCCCATATTTTGATCAGCTTCTCGTTGAATTGTTTGGTCTGTTCGTCGGCTAGTTTGCGGTCGAACTTGGACGGGTCGATGGTGAGGTCTGAAGTTAAGCTCATGGTGGAGGATTGGGTGGAACGTGGAGTTGGAAATGAGGAAGTGGTAATAAGAAAGAGAACGAGATAATGGATAAAAGACGCGAAGGATTCCCGATAGCCTCACGGGTAGCCAATATGGTGGGGGAGTGGGGTAGCTTCGAATGCTACCTTGTACTCTGGTTTATCTCCGAAGGTGTCCGTCAGTGTGGATCTGTCCGGCTTACTCGATTGGCGAATTCCGAGAGCGATCGCGCTGGTGTTTTGCGTAGGATGAACCGAGGAGACAATGGCTGCGTTCTGGAACAGGTTTCGGAAGTTGACGACCAGAGACGCGACCCATAGCCGAGAAAGATGTTGTACGCTTAATTTTCCATCTTTGGAATAGACATGCAAGCGATAAGCTATACGTCAGTCAATGAGAACGACATAACGACGATGGTAGATCAAGACGCATAATGAAGAGGCTGAAGAATGATATTAGGATTGGCATTGATAAAAGCATGAGGAATGGAAGTTTGTTATCGTCCGCTTTTTGACTGCATTCTCGGCGTGGATATCGACGACGAGTATCCATTAAGTTGTCCCTTTTCGCGCTTTCGTGGTTGACGCCCGCTGACGGTAGACTTGATTGATGTGATCATCGAAATCGCCGTCCGCGGAGGATACATGGCGAGATCCCATGTCGTTTGCATGCCGAAATTAACAGCGCTCGCAATCCAGCTTATGGCAGTGGCGACAAGGCCTGGTCTCTGTCCTGTTCGTGCAGCGGCTGCAGCTAATGAAAGGGTATCTTTCAGTCGCACATCGATTTCCTGGAAACGCGCTTCAATCTGCAACGACTGTGCCATATGACGCTTCTCGTACCGTCGAACCGCACGATTGAGGGCGTCTAATTGTGGCTGCATGCTTTGACGAACCTCTGCACTGATTGTCATGATGTCTACGTCGCTGCTTTTAGCTGGCCCGTTGGATTTTGCTTCCAGTTCAGCCAGACGCTGCGAGATAGCCTGTGCATCGGCAGGCTTCCACTCGTCCCTAGGATCTGATCTGACGATGCGCTGGAGACGCAGCGTCCGCTCTTCAATCATTTTGATGAGACGGCCAACTGGGCGGATTTCTGCCATGAGGATGAAAATGGTAAGGTTATAGTCCGAGATGAGGGAGTCGGCGCGCGTGAGCTGTGCACGGATGGTGTGCATCAGGTAGGCTCCAACCAACGGGCCAACAAAGCACGCAACGAAAGACACGAGCTCCTGCCGCTTCAGTTCCTCGCAAGCATCCTTCTGCGCATCCGTCACAGGCGGCGCGCCAGTCGACTCATCGACTTCTGGTTCACCTGACACCTTTGCAGCAGGCTCGGTTCGCTCATCGAAACCTCCAGTGCTGTCTTCGTCTTCTTCGGGAATGCTATCGTTGTATTGCACTCCACTCGAGTCAATGTAATGCCTCTGCTGAGCTGCGTGGTACCAGTTCCTATCGACTCATCAGCCGCGCCACCTCAGCATTGTGCGTAGCGTCTTACCATGGCGATCTCACACACCAATTGAGAAACCATCCCGCCAAGAGCAGCGTCAACAGGTCCGTCAAGATGGGGCCGCCGCCCTGGTACAACAGTCCGCCTACTGCCGGGAGTACTGCAAACACGACTGGGGCCGAACTCCAGTGTGTGGGCTCGTCCGACGACGTGAACTTGTCCATGTCATTGTTTCCGCGGAACTTTAGGTCTTCGGTCGAGGATCGGAACGAGTGTCGCGTGTCTGAGAAATTGGAGAGCAAGGAGCTTCGGCGGGCAGAGGGGGCTGAAGGCGAGTGTTGCACGCCCTCGGCGAAGGTCGCTGGGCGGTTCAACATCCTTTGGCGCAGCAGAGGGCTGATGTCGGAGGCGCTTGCGTGGCCGTGGGAAGGCGCGTCCATTGTGACTAGGACAGTTTGGTAGGAGAGCGTCAGGAAGGCGCGAGTATCGAAGCAAACAAACCACGGTGCTGTACCTGCTTCTGCCGTCGACAACGCATAGTGGCTGATCGAGTGACGTTTGCAATGGTACCAAGTTGTTGCCTCGGAACTAGAAGACAAATGATGGCGTCACGGGCCGCCACTATACCATCTTGAGACAATTGTATAGTGTTGCGATTTCCCGAGCTTCTTCACTTCTTTCCTCTCACACTCCTCGCGCATCTACAGTTGAAAAATAACAGGTACCTCAGCTTTCATGGCGACGTCACGCCTACCCGATTGCACGACAATCGGCAGGCTTTGGGAGACGAACCAATCATCCATCGACACGGTAGTACTGACGAGTAAGTCTTGACAAGCAACACAAAATTATCCCAGAGCCAAATTTTACAAGATCTTGATTTCTGGCTTTGCTAGCCGGTGCTGTAAGATGTGTTTCATTTTCGTTCGTTGCTCTTCCTATTCACTTCTCGCTTCCCTGTTTGCGATTTCTATTCAAACCCAAATGCGGACAGGATGGGATGGTCTCACACATCACCACCCACGGTAACAGACATCATCAAATCAGACCGCTGATTGGGAGAGCTTGTAAGAAGAGACGGGAGAACTCGTATTTTGGGGTGGCCGTAGTTCTTGGAGACGGGAAGCATTACCACCGATTTCACGATTTCGAGTTTTCGGTCTCACTTTCACCTAACAGCGTAACTCCAGTCAAACAGAAGTCGCTATTGAGCGTTATTGAGGACTGAGACACCTATTCGGAAAAGATGATTGCAATCGAACTCCAGCGTGCGGAGGCCTCGAGGGCAGGTACTCTTTACTTGCTTTCAAGTCCTTCTCTTCTGTCTCCATCATCTGTTTTAATTCTCCATCTTCACTTTTCGGTTTCTATCGTCGGAGACAGCATCCTCGAGATACACAACACGGTACACCAGAAATCTTAGACAACTCCACAACCACTGTCTACATCAGGATCATTCTCATGCTCCATTCAACATGTCGGCCGACCAAGCTCCTCTCTACCCGGTAGCCGTCATCCTCCCAATTCTCGCCTTCGGCTCATGGATACTCTGCATACCACCCCTGATATGGCACTTTTCACAGCGCAACATCGCAGCTGGCTCACTCATCCTCTGGATCATCATGACAAACTTCTTTGATTCGGTCAACCCGCTCATTTGGCCCCGTGACAATATTACAGAATGGTGGGACGGTAAGATATGGTGCGATATCAACGTCCGCATTCAGATCGGGGGAACGGTGGGTATGGCAGCGTCTGTTACCATGATTGTGAGGAAGCTGGCCCGGGTTATGGATACGCGAAACATCACAATGTCGACCAGCAGAAACAACAAGAAGAAAGAGATGATACTGGACATGCTGGTTTGCTGGGGATACCCTTTGGTGTTGATCATAGTGTACTACGCCGTCCAACCCATGCGGTACTTGATCTACGGCATCGTAGGTTGTTGGTCAGCGTACCATACGAGTTGGCCAAGTGTGGTCTTGAGCTATATGTGGGGACCCATCACCATGTGTGTTGCTGCATACTATGCTGGTGAGCTCTCTCTCTTTCTCTTCCATCACAGAATCCAAAGTTGACAAGATACAGGCCTCCTGCTCTACCGTCTCTACCGCTACCGCCGCGAGTTTAACCGCCTAGTCGCCGCTCGCAACACTACCAAGTCCCGCTTTGTTCGTCTCTTCGTCATCTGCATCGTAATCATCCTCTTCTACCTGCCCTACACCTTCTACCTCCTCTCCATCTTGATCCCGGAAATCACAGACCCATACGATTGGAAGTCTGTCCACGGCCCGAACTTCAACTCCATTATCATGATCCCCGTTTTCGGGCAGGTGTTCCTGGACAAATGGGGACAAGTCGCCAGTGGATACGTAATATTTCTCGTCTTCGGCACGGGAACCGATGCGCACAACACATACAGGAAGATGCTACTCGCCGTCGGGCTCGGCAGGATCTTCCCAAGTCTACACCACATGCGCGAGAGCGGCGCGTCGACACCCTCAAGTTTCATCGCCGCCCGTACGTGGAGCTCCGCGATGGGTAACAAAGCAAAGAGCTACTTTGTCAGACCCGGCTCCATCACAGAAACCTACGACGGGAGTACACGCAATGACTCGATTGCCATGCCTAGCCTCGCCTCCGTGTCCACTGAGACGCCCATCCTCCAACGAAGAACCAACCGTGCTTCGTCCATGTCCTTTTTCAAACGCATCATCTGCCGTCGCGGTAGCAATGGTCCGATCCTCCCGTTGTTCAGCGATCATTCTACAGCAAAGACCATTCATGTGGAGACGGAGATGGAGAAGTCGAGACCCGAATCTATCTCTCCGGGAGTGTATGCACACGCCTGGGCTTCTGATAGTCGACGACCCCTCAGCGAGCCGGTCGGCGTGCATGTTGTCCGGGAGATTCACCAGGCGCGTCATGAGAGGAGTGAGAGCGGTCAAGTGAGAAATTCAGCGGATGCTTGGACTTGAGTGGAAGACTGTGGTGGTATTACGGCATACTCGGTTAGGGAGGTAGGGTAATATTGGGTAGCAGGCTGACTGTAAGGGATGCTTTATGGCGTTAAGGATGAAGGATCGGGATGGTCATTTTATACCCTTGAGCTGCCGGCGAGCGGTCGACGGACGCTTTTCTTTCTTTGCTTCTCACGCTCGTTGACTTCTTTTAATATAATCTTGAGAATAATGCGGTTTGATCTTTCTCTTCTCCAAAACACAACACCTACATAACCACATGATTAGTGACCCAATCCAATCCAAACCCCACGACTCCAGAAAACATACACACACATCCCCCAGCAGTCTCCAACAAAAACCAAAGACGCAAACCTCGGCAGCTCCCACCCCTGCAAGCGCAGCCCAGTCCCAGCCTCACACCGCATCCAGCTAGCCCGCTCACACCCCTACCAACCTATGACGCAGCAAGCATCAAAGCTTATCGTCTCATCTCGCGCCAATGCGCGCAAAACCTCACGTCTCCAAAAACCCAACACATCACACCACACCACACGACGACCATGTGCTGACACCCCGCGACAAGCTCAATTGCAAACACAGAATTGGTGTATTAGTTTGAAGTGAGCGCTATGCCGGGAAACCAGAGCCCCGAGCGGCGCAGGCGGTCGATGGGGATGTATCGCAGGGGGTCGAATATGAGCGAGTACGTGTTTTGAAGTCTTGGGTGGGGAAGAGATAGGCAGGAAGGGGATATATGGGGGATGCATGGAGGGCAATGATGGGGCAGGGCTGACGGTGCGACGCAGAGCAGCGAGTTTCATGGAAGACGTCGAGATGGCGCAGGACGAGGTATGGGAATTGCGTGACATGAGACGGCGGCGCGGTGGATTCAGGCGTGCGCGACAACATGGTCGAGACGAATCTGAGCGAAAGCTACGGGATGAATCTGCGCGACACGAATCTCCACACGCGCCGCAAGACACCACCACCGCATCTGGACCTCCGCTGACGCCACGCATTCAGATCTTCGCCGGCCCCATGTCTGAGAGCATGCCCACGAGCGTGTCGGCCTTTTCGCACCGTCGCCAGCGCGCAGGCTCCACGGCGAGTTATACTAGTTTTGCCTACTATGATGAGGAGCAGGAGTCGGATTCGCAGGCCACCGAGGGGGATAGTGAGGAGGCGATTGAGGAAGAGGAGGAAGAGTATGATGGGTATACTGTGGAGGAGCTGGAGGATCTCGAGGCGGGTGTGTCGCGCACGCCGTCGTCGACGTCGCCTTCTCGCTCGTCGGTCGGGCGACGCAAGTCGAGTGGGAGCAGGAGCAGGAGGTCGGTTGATCGCCCGTTGCTGAGGCGGCAGTCTTCGACCGAGAGCTCGCGGTCCGCGGCGAATTGGAAGGGCAGGCGGTCGAACCAGAAGATCTACATCATGACTGAGGATCTGACGATTGTGGTCGCGGGCTTCAAGACGTCGCCAGTCGGGTTCGTCGTCTATACGCTGCTGTGTATTGCGACCCTTGGCCTGGGCTGGCTTCTTTTCAGGTGGCTGCCGCGCTGGAGGGTCAGGCTGACGGGAAGGACCACACCGTTGAGAGACTGCGATTGGGTCGTCATTGAGAACCAGTGGGGAGAGTTTGCCGTCCAAGACGTGAGCTCCCAGACGTACGGTCGCTCGCTTTCCACCGTCTTCGGCGACCCGGAGAAAGGACGCGGGGAGTGGGACGAAGACGAGGACCCGCTGATCAAAGAACTGCGCTGCCTGGACTACCGATACATCCGCTTTGTGTACCACCCCATCAAGGACAAGTTCGTCCTCGCAAACACCTGGAAAGATCCCGCCTGGACGGACGTCACGGCTCTCCGCGAAGGTCTCGACAACGATGAGCGAGACTACCGCGAGCTTGTCTTTGGAAAGAACACGATTGATATTGCTGAGAAGACTCTTGGGCAGCTGCTTGTTGACGAGGTCTTCCATCCCTTCTACGTCTTCCAGATTGCTAGTCTGTTCTTGTGGTCTGTCGATGAGTACTACTACTACGCCGCGGCCATCTTCATCATCTCGGTCGTCAGTATCGCCACGACGTTGATCGAGACGAAAGCCTCGATGAAGCGACTACGCGAGGTGTCGCGCTTCGAATGCGAGGTCCGAGTGCTGCGAAGTGGTTTCTGGACGCACGTCGATTCGGGAGAACTGGTGCCTGGAGATGTCTACGAGGTCACGGATCCAGCGCTTGCCCAGTTCCCTTGCGACAGTCTCTTGCTCTCTGGCGACTGCATTGTTAATGAGAGTATGCTGACGGGCGAGTCTATTCCTGTTTCAAAGCTCCCCGTAACAGACTCGTCGCTGGATTTGCTGGACCTCAGTGCTACAACGCTCCATCCTGAGATTGCACGACACATGCTGTTTTCTGGAACTAAGATCATCCGCGCCCGGAGGCCTCATGAGGATCATGTCGACGATGAAGCAGCTGCGTTGGCGATGGTTGTTCGCACCGGCTTCAACACTACAAAGGGCGCGTTGGTACGATCGATGCTCTTCCCTAAACCATCTGGGTTCAAGTTCTACCGCGACTCTTTCCGATACATTTCCGTTATGGCCATGATCGCCATGATTGGTTTTGTCGCGTCCTTCATCAACTTTGTCCATCTCGGCCTCGCGTGGCATCTGATCGTCGTGCGAGCGCTCGATCTCATCACGATTGTCGTTCCGCCTGCGCTGCCTGCCACCCTCACCATCGGAACTAGCTTCGCTTTGTCACGCCTGAAGCAGAAGCAGATTTTCTGCATCAGTCCGCAGCGTGTTAATGTGGGTGGTAAGCTCGACGTAGTCTGCTTCGACAAGACTGGAACACTTACTGAAGAGGGTCTCGATGTTTTGGGTGTGCGCGTAGTTGAGCGGCCCAGAGGGAGGTTTAGCGAACTCCTGTCAGACCCATTTGATATTCTTCCCGGGTCGCAATATGACCGTGATCCGACGGTGGAGTATGCGGCGCACAAGGCGATTCTTTACACCATGGCTACTTGCCACTCATTGCGCAAAATTGACGAGGAGCTGCTGGGCGACCCGCTTGATGTCAAGATGTTCGATTTCACTGAATGGAGCTACGAGGAGGGAGAGCAGAGATCTAGCAACAATGATGACGATCCGGAGCAGAAGCTTTCACCATCTGTTGCTCGACCGCCTGCAGGACGGGAATACGATATTGACGACCAGGACGATGCGAGCAGGAAGCCCGTGGAGCTTGGCGTGCTGAAGTCATTCGAATTCGTGTCCCAGCTCAGGAGAGCAAGTGTTATCGTACGGCAGTTCGGGTCGAAGAGTGGCCAGGTCTACGTCAAGGGCGCACCCGAGGTCATGAAGGAGATCTGCCGACCAGAGAGCTTCCCGTCCGACTACGAGGAACTGCTGTCTTTCTACACCCACCGCGGCTTCCGTGTCATTGCATGCGCTACCAAGACAATCTTCAAGCTCAACTGGCTCAAGGTGCAGAAGATGAAGCGGGAGGATGCGGAAAGCAGCCTTGACTTCGTCGGCTTCATCATCTTCGAGAACAAGCTCAAGCCCAGCACCGCACCAGTTATCGAAGAGTTGGAACGCGCAAACATTCGCAAGACAATGTGCACAGGCGACAACATCCTCACTGCCATCAGCGTCGCCCGAGAATGCGGCCTCATCAATAAAACGGCACACTGCTTCGTCCCGCACTTCGTGGAAGGCGACTCCCGCACCGCGCTTAGCAAACTCAGCTGGGAATCCGTCGACGACTCCGTCTTCAAGCTCGACGAAAACACGCTCAAACCCCTTCCCCCGCCGCCAGAAGCAGACGTCTCCCTCCCCTACGACATCTCGAACCTGCGAAACTACTCCCTCGCCGTCAGCGGCGACGTATTCCGCTGGATCGTCGACTTCGCCTCTGAAAACGTGCTGCGAGAAATGCTCGTCTGCGGACAAGTCTTCGCGCGCATGTCCCCGGACGAAAAGCACGAGCTAGTCGAAAAGCTACAAAGCATAGACTACTGCGTGGGCTTCTGCGGCGACGGCGCAAACGACTGCGGCGCGCTAAAAGCCGCCGACGTGGGCATCTCGCTCTCAGAAGCAGAAGCCTCGGTCGCCGCACCCTTCACAAGCCGCCAATTCGACATCTCCTGCGTCCCACAAGTCATCAAAGAAGGCCGCGCCGCCCTCGTCACAAGCTTCAGCTGCTTCAAGTACATGTCCCTCTACTCCGCCATCCAATTCACATCCGTATCCTTCCTATACGCCTCCGCTTCCAACCTCGGCGACTTCCAGTTCCTATTCATCGACCTGCTGCTCATCCTGCCCATTGCAATCTTCATGGGCTGGTCGGGCGCCTACCCTACGCTCTCGCGCAAGCGCCCCACTGCTAATCTCGTCAGCCGCAAGGTCCTCACCCCGCTGCTCGGCCAGATGGTGCTCTGCATCCTCATCCAGCTCATCGCCTGGACTTATGTGCAGAAACAGCCCTGGTACTTGCCCCCTGTCCTCGACCCAAATCACTCCAATTCCCTCAACTCGCAGAACACGGCGCTGTTTCTGGTTAGCTGTTTCCAGTATATTCTGTCTGCGGTGGTGCTTAGTGTGGGGAAACCGTATCGTGAGCCAATGGCGAGGAATTTGCCGTTTATTACGACGATTTTTGTTACGCTGGCGATTTCGTTTTATATGCTGTTTGACCCCGCGAGGTGGGTGAGTGAGTGGATGGAGTTGACGGGGTTGGATGTCCAGTTTAAGGTCTTTTTGATGGTGTTGGGGTTGGGCAACTTTGCGCTTGCGTGGGTGGGGGAGAGGTTGTTGTTTCCGGGGTTGAGTAAGTGGTTGGGGGTGTTGAGGAAGAGGGTTGGTGAGGAGAAGAAGAGGAAGGCGTATAAGGTTATTGCGGAGGGGATGCGGATGTAGAGTTTCTGAAGTGGGTTGGGGGGAGGGGTTGGGATGGAGGTTGAGGGGGAAGAGTGGAAGGGTTAGATGGATAGATTGTATGATATGCATTTCTCGTCTTGATTTTCTTGATTGGAATCATCCGCGGTGCTTTTCAATTCGTCAAAGTATTCCCTATTTCCATTCCTCCACAGCACCATGGTTCCTACAAGCGCCAAAATACAAACATTCGCATAACGCCATATCCTAAGTTGGCAAACACCGCACCCAAAACACCGCAAAAAGTTAACAAAAAGAAGCAGCAAGGACGTATTCAACTCCTCTTACATCATCAAACCGCCGTCGTAACGTCCAGCCTGAAGCCATTCACGCACCCCAACACACTCAAAGCCACCTACCCACCCTCCTCAGCCTCGGGACACGCCAAACGGAGCAGCTCTTCCTCCAAGCTCATCTCCGCACTCGACTGCTCAACAGCAGGTTTGGAGACTTCAGCCCCCGCATCTGCCGTCGAAGCGTCTTCTACCGAGGGCGCGGACGTAGCAACGTCAGCAGCAAGACTCTTGCCTGACTCCTCTTGTGTAGACGCGGAGGTCGTCGGGGTGTTCTGCGGGGGCGGGAGGGGGCCCTTCACAGGGGCTTGACGGCGTCGGCGGAGGGGCTTGATGGGCCGGTTGTGCAGGCGAGCGGGGCGGGGGGCTGGGGACTCTGGTGGGTAGACGTCGGAGGATGTGCGTTTATGCTGTGTGGCTGTCACCGAGCCGTTTTTGGTGTGAACTTCGGGGGCAGGGAGAGATGGCTCGGCCTGCTGGGGTGTAGACGACGAGGCTACGTCGACGGGCACTTCTTGTGACAGCGAGGTACCCTGGAGGTCTTCACTGGCCTCGGGAATTGTGGCCTCAGTTACTGCTTCACTGATGGCGTTGTGGGGCTCGAGGAGCCGCGGGTCCAGGCACTCCTCTTGGAATCCGGACGTGTCCATCTGGTCTGCCCCAGTGTGAAGTACCAAGGCAGTGCTTGATGAGCCGCAGGGGGGAGCCGGTGGTGGCATCAATGCAGCCTGATGCTCTTGGTCGAGTTGGGCGTTGGCGGTAACCAGCTGATCGAACATGAATTGCTGATCGAAGTCGTCCAGCGTTGGATCGAGGGCCAGTGTTGGTTGGGTAGGCTGTGGATCCCATGGTGGTGCTTGTGAAGTGCTAGTTGAAGTGGCATCAGGCGGGCCAGCACTTGAAGCAGGGGGTGGCATTGAGGAATCCTGCTGCACCTCATCGGGAAATGCGTTGCCATTGGTAAACTGGTCGAATATGTCCTCTTGGTCGAAATCAGTCACCATCAGATCAGGGATCGATGTTGGCTGAGCAGGCAGTGGGTGCCATGTTAACGCATGCGAGGTATTCTCTGGCACCATCTGCATGTTATCGATATACTCGATACCAGCCATGTCCTCCAGAGTGAGCTGCTGGAGGTTCTCAGGCTCTTGGGGGTAAAGGAATGGTGGTAGAGCGGGTTGTGAGTGCCATAATGATGCGTCCGCATTGCCCGCCAGTGCTGTCTGCAAACTGGGGAGGAATCCAGAACTTGTCTGGTTCTCCGACATGTAAGGCTGGAGGTTCTCGACCCCTTGGAGATCGTAGAATGGTGCTGGTGAGGCGCCTTGTAGCTGCCACGGCGCTACATCGAGAGGGTCAGCTAGTGCCGCCGGAGCGGTCTGTGGCTGCCAGGCCCATGTATTCGAGGCAGGGTTGTTCACAGTCTGCTCAAGACCTGCCACCTTCTCGTGAAGCTCAGACGAAACCTTGGTCAGGTTCTGCTCCGTGGTCGACATGCAGGTCGTGAGACCCGTTACCAGGGTTGGCAGTCCCTCGACTTTCTTGGAAGCTTCTTGAAGAAGGACGATGTCCTTCTTCTGCCCACCAAGTACGTCGGCCTGTTCGGCGACCGTGGCCAGAAGAGGGTTGAGCTGCTCGAGGGAAGCGGCATGGCCTTCGACCATCGTCATGACATTGGAGAGTGTTTCAAGCTGCACGCTCATTCCAACTATCTTCTTGTTGACCTGGTGAAGAAGAAAAGAGTCCTTGGCCAAACTGCTCTTCGTCTCAGCAATCGCTTTTGGAAGAGACTCGAGTAGCTTGATCGAGACAGCATGGCCAGCCACTTGAGCTCGCAGATCAGTGAGCGTCTTCGACAAGATGCTCGATTTGTCAGACTTCTTGATCGCCTCTCGGACAGCGGTAATGTCTGTCTTCTGCTCTTGGGCGGACGATCTCAGATCCTGAATCTGGGCCTTGAAATCGGCTTCAACTCGCGTGGCCGCGTCTACAACTCTGTCTACCTTCCTCTCCTGTTTCTGATGTTCTTGATGCAGCATCTCGAGCTGATCACGAATGATCTTGATATCTGGAGCTGTCACACTAGCTTTCGAGTGAGCTCTCTGGGCAGCACGACGAGTAGAGCGCTCAAAGTTGGCAAGCCTTTTGGTGAGGTGGTGAATAGCGGAGCGCGCCTTACGGTCGCGACTGGCCTTGGTGCTTTGCAGCTGGGGAAGATACTGTGGGGCAGTATTTTCAAAGGCCTCGTGGAGCGCTGCCTCGATTTCTGTCCCGATCTTCTCACGAACCTCCGGATGAAGGTCTCCGCTAAGGTCTTTGCGCATGTTGAGGTATTCTGCCTCCAAGAGTTTGACGGCTGCCTCAGTCTGGTAAACCGTCTCGATGGCCTCATTCGCTTTGTCAAGGCGTGCTCCAACGTTCTTGTCAACTTGTGCGCTGATGACAGGGCCCGCTACTTTCTGGACGTGTGACTCAGCGCTTTCTTGGAAGAACGCATGCAGGCTTTGGTGGAGAGGGTGACCTGAGTCTGCAAGGGCTGTCTTGAAGAGGTCTTGGACATCGGCTGTCATTGTGTTAGTTTCAACCATGTCAGATGCGGTTGTGCTTCTTACCATCGCGCCTCTTGAACAACTTGTATGCGAGTACGGAGCCCACAGTCGTTGTGAACAAAAGGAGGAGCAGGAGGGCAATCAACGCCACAACAGCGAGGAACGTGTAATCGGCTGGCTCATGATACAGCGGGGCATGATATGGCTCCATTGCAATGCGTGGCGGGCTCTGTGGCCAGTGAATTGATAAAGGAAAGGGGTGTGCAAGCAGTGAGCTTCTGCAGTAGAAAAGACTTGAGTGGACGTGAACTGATGTCAAAGACGAAAAGTTCAGTGGGTGAGGATCTCGAGTTGAGGTTGACAAGAAAAATCTCTATTGTGTGGGCGTAAACACAAGAGTACAATCGGAAGGTGCAGTGCTTGGCGATCCGTTTGCCTCGACGACAGTGAAAGCGTAGAACCCCACATCGGACAACAACATCCAGTCTTTTCGACCAACAGGAAAGCACTTGTCTTTACTGCTATCTCGATGCATACTTTCCCCCTTGTTCAACGTGCCTAGAGAACACATGCCCCCCCGCTCGTCTCTTCTTGTGAAAAGCCTTCACATCCTCAATACTTTCCCTGAAAAAGCGTTTCTTCTTCTCGACACTGCGTCACTGACTGATCAAGAAATGACACACGATGATCACGCTTATAGACAGCGATTGATATTGTCATACTCGCTCAGTCAGGGGAATTGACAATGGGAACTTGTCCGGCCCACGCCGAGCTGCCCGGCATCGAGATTGGTGGATTGAATATTCGCAGTCATTCATAGTGCGGTTGCCCTGGTATTGTGTCGATTGAAGCCCGGTATCGGCAGTCACGCTGTACTTTCACTTTGAGCGACATGGAATCAACATCGACATCGTATCATCGGCGATTGCAGCTTACCTCATCCGAGTCATCGGGTTCATTCCCAGTAAATATGGTCTCTCCTTGAGTCGAATTCTTGCACTAAACTCGTTCAGTTTCACCTGCTACAAACACAAGGTCTCTTCAGGAGAAGCAGTATACTTCTCAGCTTGGAAACCAATTCTCTGGGCAGCGTATTGAGAGGAAACATATAAAGTTGAGATGATGCACTCGTTGTGATCGTCGCTAGTTGAAGATAAAGGATGAAGTGTGAAATAGTCTGCGGGATGTTGGTGAAATCTAAGGGCGGGAAACGCTCTCACCCGCTTGGATCTATCTGGAGTGTTATGTCTCTTGTTAGAAACCCGCTTTGTCTAGTAGTCTGTAGGTAGGGATAACACAACGGTAGGCATGATTTAGATCTAAACGATGTCGAGACAACGTATCAGGAGAGAAGACACTGGACGGAAACAGAGGAAGGTACAGCTGCTCTGGGAAGTGCTCCTGGACAGCAACGTGCTGACAAAGAGATGTTACTCTCAGGAGCTAAGCCCTATGTCGCATGCATGCACTGGAGACCGATCTGAACCGTCACCAATCCTAGGCTTCTCCAACAGCATTATCTAGCCCAACGACATGCTCAGGGCTGATGCATAGGTCAAAAATCGTAGTCGACACTGGACAACTTGAGGTAGTTGGATATCATTCGACTCTGTAGTCGCCCTTGCTCCGTGAAGCAGGGTATACAATACACAGCCGCCTCATCCGCTCAAAGACCACGCATCGTTGTTTCTAAATGCTGCATCCGAAACGCTACTCAATATCTGCCCAGAACGCCACGCTATGCAAAACTTCAATCGTCAATTACTCAACCCAGCTTCGGCTCTTGCTGAGATAGCTCCGGGCCCCAGAAAGCATCGGCTTCCTTCTCATAAGACTCTCGTTCCAATTTCCTTCTCTTCGCCTTATTTTCGTCTAGAGTCTCCCCTTGGATGGCGTCGCGCTTTTGTGCCTGGTTGAGCTTGACCAAGTCGACTTTGTCTGGATCTCGACACATTTTTAGCTTCTCGATTAGGGACTTGACGTGTGCTTTGTGTTTTACGTCTCGAGCGTCTTTCTCCTCTTTTGGTAAGGTGCCAGCAGTGAAGGAGCGGTGGCTGGAAAGGAGTGATGCGCAGGCCCGGATGGTGGAGAGCAGCTTGGCGTAGAGAGGTGAGGATCGCGGGAGTTTGAGAGAGAGATAGAAGATGGTGAGGGGTTCGTCGGCGAGTAGATGCGCTGACAGCCAGAGTTGTGCAGGCGTGTAGAGAAAGTATGCGTCCGTGAGGAGAGCAGCATTTTTGAGGATGTGCGAGGCAAACCCGTATGCTGCTGTGATACGTTCCTCCATGTCTTTGACCGTCATTCTCGATACAGGACCGTTTACTTTGCGCGGCAGCGAAAGCATAGCGGATTGTGTGTCTGCGCTAGTCGTATTCCCATCCCCACCATCGCCTGCACTGTGGTTTGGGCCATCGTAGTTTCCGCGTGCCATTTCCATCAACTCCAGATGACCACCCTTCAACCCTCGAAACGGATGTTTGATCTCGAAGTTGAAGCGTAGCGCTTGCACGATCAGGTACTCGGGCGCGAGGATTTGCTCAGCCGTCACCTTCTTAAAGTTGCCGGCGAAGTTCTCGACGCTTTGATGTGAGTTTTCTGTCTTGCATGCAAGGAACATGGCAGTTCGGGAGATGTTTTGGCCGTGATATGTCATGGGCGAATTGAAGAGGTAGAAGCGGCGGAGAAATTGTATACATGTTGCCTTTTCACACATGTCAGCCTATTTTCACTCTTTCTCAAGGGAAATACACGTACAGTGACTTCGATAGGAAACTGGCAATGCGCGCCCAACTGCACCGCGCGCTCGCAGAACTCATCCACGATAGTCATCTCCTCCGCGACCGTCAGACAATCCACATCCCTGTCTGACGTCACCGCGTTTGGCGTGTTTGCTCCACTGCCACTCTCCACACCCTCACTTGCGCTTCCATTCTCGGCTTGTTGGGCGCGCTGAGCGCGTTGTCGCGCGACGTTGGCCTTGACGCGTTCGGTAGCCTGGAGGTTGGTCTTCTGGCGTTGCGCAGCGAGCTGTTGTAGGGTGAATGACCAATGCGTGAATTGCGTCGAAGACCGGTAGAGATCGTCCTCTGTGAGTTTCATCGTGGATGGCGTCGCGATATGTGCAAGTCGGCGGGTTGGCGTGCGTTCGACGTCGAGAGTCTGGAGGCAGGTGCAGCCGAGAAAAGAAGATCCCTGAGAGGCGAGCTTTTCAACTCTCACATCTTGCTACGAATGATCATGTCTAGGTTTCACATATCGTCGGTTACTGTGGCATCTAGACAAATCTCTTCGGTGTGTATTTTCCTTGTCACATGCATTGCTTCCAGAAGGCATCGTATGTTGGCAGCGCGTTCCCAGCTGTCCGGTACGGGCTCCAGCACCAGCATGCGACCCCACACCCCACACGACTCTCCGCCTTGGTATACCGGCACTCCGCTACCGTATTAACCTCAATCTTGCTCAATTCGTCCGCCAGAACAGGCAAGTTTAGAGAGGTCCAGGAGGAATATTCAAACACTTAAAGTACACTGCCTCTCTCTGTCTTCCTGGACAGTTCGTCACCCATCTTTCGACCACGACAATTCCATCCCGCCATTGCAGTTTACTATTAACAATACGACACTCGCTCACGCCAAGATATACCCAGGATATCCTCTCTTTTCTAGCCTACGGGTACTGACTCTGCCATAACAAAGATACCGGTCTCTACGGACAAACATGTAGTCTTACCGAAATTGCCACCGCTCGACCTGGAGCTTCATATTGCCCCAGCCGTGCGATAACCAGTGTTCCATACTTGCAAATCCGCATTTTTCGACGTGCATACAGCTTCCGAAGACAGTTTCGATGTCCGACGTTCTCGACAATGTGGCATCGCTTAGAGCTTACTCTACCCTCCCACTGATAGGATCTTCTTCCAACATTGGCGACATTCATGGTGCTTCCGCGGTCGAGTAGTCGCCTTGGCACCTTCTTCTTTTGGCTAAGATGCCCATCAACGTTGTAGCCGGCTTAACAGAGGCTCATTCGCGAAGCCCCGCCTTGTCCACCCTTGGTCTCATAAGCCGCAGCTTTTCTCCAACGTAGAACGCTTGCCAAGCCTCTTGAGCAAATGAGCATCCGTCGTCGATAATGTCCAAGAAACTTCCAAGAAATTGCCCAGCAAACTGTTCATCATCTCACTGGTACCGGTCTACCTGCGATAGGAAGGTACGCGGACTATGCTCATCTTTAGTCTATCTATCGCAAGCCACAGTATGACAAGTAACTGTAATGAGGAACGGCGAAGAACGGGAACAAAAGATATAAGATGGATGCTCCTACGTTCATCTCCCGCGGTCATCCACTACTGCCAAACGTCAACCTGCAGTCCTGTTTCCAACCATGAAGTGGGCGACTTTCGCAGCAGCTCTGCTGCCTCTGGCCTCGGCCTTTTCCAGCGGACAATACCGATCTGGTGAAATCATGTCGAAGATGATGGAGTCCAAGGAGGTGAGCTTGCCTATATACTCACGATGATTTCTCTTTCTAACGATCTAAGGCTGCATGGGCGAAGCACCGCGCTGCTGGTGATTACGACAACAAAAAGTGGAATGGCTTCCAGAAGAAGCGTACCAACAAGGATATAATTGAGTGCAAGAATGGCAGGGCCGAAGCCATCAAGGGCGATCCAGATCAAACCTACAAGTGCAAGGGCATTGTGAGTTCAACCCTTATACTGCAAGACGACTAGTATTAATATATTTTCAGGATATGTACGATTTCAAGACGCACGAGGAACTTGGTGACGCCGTTGGCGAAGGTTCCGGCTCTTGGGGCTGGACTCACCATGGCCGCGAGTTCATTGCTATCGGCCAGACGTACGGCGCTGCCTTTGCGGAGATCACCTCCAAGGGTCAGCTCGAGTACCTTGGTCGTCTGCCAGCTCAAAACGATTCCGTTATCTGGCGTGAAATCAAGAAGCAGGGGGACTACCTTATTGTCGGATCTGAGGGTCGGGGTCACGGTATCCAGATCTTCGACATGAAGAAGCTCCTCAAACTCAGCCCGAAGAACCCCAAGATCTTTGACACCAAAACGGACCTCACTGCTTGGATTCCCCTCACACAGGACGTCACAGTTGGCATCCCTGGACGTTCGCACAACGTTGTTGTCAATGAAGAGTTGGGTTACGTCGTTGCTGTCGGCGCTCACGGACGTGCGGGCCGAAACGACACCTGCGGTGGTGGACTGATCTTCTTCAACACCGACGACATCACAAAGCCAGTCCAGACAGGTTGCGCGCCTCAGGACGGCTATGTCCACGATGCCCAGTGCATCGTCTACCGCGGTCCCCACAAGAAGTACTACGGACGAGACATCTGCTACGGCTACAACGAGGACACCGTCACAATCTACGACGTCACAAACAAAATTGGAAACAAGGCTGCTACGATCCTCTCGCGCACCCCATACGTCGGTGCCTCCTACACCCACCAAGGCTGGGTCACCGATCCTTACTGGCAGACGCACATCGTCGTAGACGACGAACTCGACGAGGGCGAACTTGAAAACGGCACAGAGACCAACCCCGCCTCCCTCGCCAAGGACGGCTACCCAGTCACATACATCTTCGACATCACCAACCTCGAGAAGCCCTTCATGTCCGGCTACTACAAGTCGTCCACCCGCGCCGTCGACCACAACCAGTACGTCCACGACGGTCTCTCCTACCAGTCAAACTACCAGGCCGGTCTCCGCATCCTCGATGTCAGCTCCATCCGCAAGTTCCCCGATGGCAGCCGCGTTGAGGAGATTGCGTACTTTGACGTCTTCCCTGGCGACGATGATGTTCCTGGTGGCGGCTCGGCGGTCTGGGACTCGGGGACTTGGTCCCACTACACGTTTCCCAGCGGCTACACCGTTGTCAACACGATTGATCGGGGTGCGTTTGTTGTTAAGAAGAGGGGCGGCCGTGGGAAGGGCAAGTACTGGGGCCAGTCTGACTACTAGACGGTCGATCAGATAGATGAGAAAATGATAATTCTAATTCATAAAATAGAATTTTAAACAATTGTTCAGAATTTTGTTCGCGGTTCAAACTATGCTGATGTTCATCGCGCTGTCGTATCCCCTGCCTTGTTGTATTTGCATAGCATAGCCAAAAGTCTCTGGTTTCGAGCTCCGGATCCGTTAAGCAAAGAATCGTCCAAAACGTACTAGAACGACAAAAACATAAGCCGCAGTTCATATGAAAGAGACACTGACTGACGTTTATACGCGTGCATGTATCAGCGGTTGCAGAGTATTGAAACACATTTAAGATAAATTAGGCGTTGATATTTCCCTGTACAAGAACACAGCTCACGCGAACGAAACGGCTAAGCCGAGCTATGGCGGCATGCAATGCAATGTACACGCCTCAATCCTTGTTGGCGGGGATATACCCTGTTAAATTTGATCGAGGTCCTCCAAACTTATGAACCGTCAGCCTGGACACTGCACTGCAATCTCTAGCGTAGATGAGCTGGCGTTTCTTAGCACCCGCGTATCTGCCTGGTTTTGTGCACTGCAATTTCTAGCGCCAACGAGCAGTGTTGCCAGGCAGGAATTACATTTGCGCCTCAATTGAGGGGTGGCTGCCGCACGCTTGTGTTACTAGATAACATAGTAGCAATAGAAATAGTATGAGTAGGTGTAGGGTGTATGAAAACGAGTTGCTACTCTAGGAGTAGCGCTTCCTTGAGCAATATAACTGATCTTATTGTCACTTGCCTTCGCTATGTGGCTTAGCTCTCTTCATTCAAAGCAGGTTAGCTAATTAGGCCCTAGCCTACATATGTTGGTAACTACTTGCATACGCTAAAGATTGCAGTACAGAAGGTGCATGTTGTTGGAATTGCACAGCCTTACTCCGTGCACTGCAATCTCTAGCGCCGACGAGCAGTGTTTAGTGTCGTTATGCAGGCGTGCTAATTACGCAGTCTCCAGAAAAACATAGAGAAGATTCCAACGATACGTTAATATTGGCAGCTTCTTCTTTGTTCTTGACAAGATTAGTAGAGCTTAATCGTTTGTTTTTGTTGTGTGTCGTCGCTTCAAGCAGGTAAGATTTTGTTGTTTATCGAGATTTGGATATTGACTTGTACGGCAATCTTTAGCGTGGATGGGCAGCTCACCATGACGCACTCCAGATTACGTGAAAAGATGCTTGTAGGCTCGGGCAACTTCAACGCAGAGAAGGAGAAGCGGGGAAGATAGTGTATGTGCTTTTGGGGTAAGATGCAGCTATGTCTCGAGAGCTGTACTAGAATAAAACGGCTGGTATGGAAAGATGACTGGTTATCGTTTCTGCTAACGATGACTAGACTGCTCGTCGACGCTAGAAATTGCAGTGCAGACGTGTTCACGAATGAGAGATGTTCCATGATTTGTACCAACTTTCTCGCCAATGTTTGCACTGCAATTTCTAGCGCCCTGCAGCGGTTCTATCTATGTCATGTGGTTTTCGCACAAACTTACAGATACTCATAGCTGATACTTAGCTGGCGATGGACCGACTATACCAAAGGTTCAGGGCCTCAATACAGCAGTATACCTTGTATTTTCAGGCTGATTTGTAGAACGTTTCGCTGCGAGGTTATGGCCTTTAGTAGGCCATGGAGGCCGTGCAATAGTTTGCATGTACTTCTTTGTAAGCTCGTACAAAATTAGAGAGTTTGATGTAAAAAGGTTATGCACTGCTGAACTACAATTTCTAGTACGAACCGGGGGTAATAAGTTTACTGTTAATTAGTTGCGAGATTATTCAAGTTACACATCAAAGGCGCCTTGTCACGTCCTGACTTAATGTTGCTTGAACCTAGTACAGCAAGAACAACCAATGTATTGCGAAACTATCATTCCAACAAAAATTCAACCCCTACTAAGTGCAAATGCTCAAACTAAGAGAAGAATTCATATCATTTTAGAGGTGCCCTGTAACAACTCCACAAGCCAAACAATCAAACACCGCGGAATGGTACTGGGCTGCTCATATCTGACAATTCAGCATTTGCTGGGCTTCTGATACCTGGCAGCTCTACAGTCGTTGTGGGCGGATTATGGCCGCTAGAAGACTGTGAAGGATCCGGAGGGGGAGGATAATACGTTTGTTGATTGGCATACTGCACCGGCACTTGCCCATTCGCGTATACTTGCCTGCTCTGCTGGATCCAATCTGCCTCTGAGTGCTGGTTCTGCAATGGCGAGCCTTGGTAGTAGGTGCTTGAAACGTGATGGTCGGATGGAGGGATCGGTGAGCCCTGAGGTGAGTATGTGGGCGTGAGTACACTCGGGGAATGCATTGTAGTGCCCTGAGAAACGGAGACACCCACACCAGGTTTCTCTGTCATGCTGGGATTATGCTGATAAGGCGGCTGTGTTGAATTTTGGTTTCGCTTCCGGCGCCTAGAACGGAGACAACAAATGACGAGGACAATAACACCGACGAGTCCTGCTACACCACCAACAACACCGCCTGCTATAGCACCGACGTTTGTATGGCTAGGTCGAGCGGAGTGTTGATTGCCCGAAGTTGGGGCCGCCGAGCTTTCTGGTATAAATCTCATCGCTGTCCTTGATGTGGCGGAATAGCTTGTTCTGAAGTATATGGACAAGTCGCTTGTTGTCCAGCCGGCAGCCGGCGCTGTTGCAGTGGCACTGCCATTGATTCTGTTCTAAGTTTTAGTATCAAGGTAGAAAAGTTTGACTGATCTTAGGACTGACCCGCCACCAACAACTGCGGTAATGACCTTCGGAACTCTGTAAGACGAGATATTGGCCATAAGACCATGCCACTGATTGTTCTGTTCTGTGCTTTCTTCTCCAAGCAACAAGCCATGCTGCCCACCCGTTTTATAAACATCGCAATCGGTTTTAGACACGTTGGTGTAGTACCCGCCTATGATGACCATCTGAGATTCACTGATCACATTGCAGGACGACCATCCCTTGCCGTTTGGGAATGTGGACATCTGAGGGTCAGGGTACCACTGAGCGTGTTAGCACCTTTCTAAAAGAGGAGAAATAGAACCACCATACCGATATCCACTTGAAAGAGGGTAGAGAGAGTATGTAGACATCTCCGAGTGCTGTCTCATCACTGCCAATGCCACCCCAGACGTATCTTTGACATGTTAGTACAGCTCTTTCTCTCTTGCACATCGGGCTTGTCTTCACATGTTGTATGAGGAATGGTCTGCTGCCCAGGTTACGCCTGCACAAAAGGCCCGCCTTGGTTGAGGTATATCTCCTGTAGCGGTTTGTGTGTACCATGTGCTGGAGGCAATGTCGTGAAGATGAATTTGCTTGTACCAATGTCATTTAACAGTTCACTAGTCGGGATAAGGATAACGCTTACGCTCATATTTACCTATAGACTGTCAGATTCAACGTCACTGGGGCTTTCTCAAGAAGACTTACGTAGCTGTCGTGGCCATTTGACAATCTTTCGACTCCACCGATATGAACCAGCATCCCTCTGTCCGAAGCAGGAATGTAATGAAGTGTCCCTTCCGCTCGTGGTGGGACACCGCTGGTAATATTGGACCATCTCTTGTCATCCATGTTGTACGACAAAAGACTATTGAGCATAAGAGCATCACCTTCCCATCCAGAGACGGTCTTGTTATTCAGGTAGCCGCCATAATAATATGCAACTCCCTCATCATCAACCGTCCCCGCACCGAATGATGGCCATGAAACTTGCGACTGTGACCCATCGGGGAGTGAACGATTCCATGTGTTATAGATAGTGTCGTAGAACCATAGAGCAGTGAAGTCTTGCGCACTGGCATTGTTGTATTCGCCACCGAAAAGGTAGAAGAGCTTGTTAGTCTGATCAGGCCATAGCACGCCGCCGCTGACTGAAGGGACTTCTGAGCCCTATCATACGTCAGATCTCTTCTTATGACTATAACTTACATCATTTGTAGAAAGAGTATGCACACACCTTGGTCAAGTTGCTATTCTGGGGAGGAAAACCTGTTGAGAGATCGGTCAAATCCTCTGATATTAACCATGTGTCTGGACAGGTTAGCTAAGATACTTAATCTTGCCATGATGACCCCACTTTTCTGCGGAATATTCTCATCGGTGACACCTCCACCATAGTACACAAGCCCTCCATCGATGTAGAGCTTGGAATCAATAACACAGGTCTGATGTTGGTGACGCCGGCAGAAGTTTTCGATCGGATCCTGTATGTTTTGTTGCGCGGTGACTAGACTCAAGAGGGTACTGTAAATAGCCAGACGCATTTTGGAACCCAGGGAGAATACAACAAAGACAAGAAAGATTGAATAAGCAAAAATGGCCAGGTGGCAAGGCTTTTGTTCACATGCTGACCACACGGTCCTTATCGAGAGACCAGACAGCCCCTAGATAGATGCAGTAATCATTCTGCTCAGCCGGATCTGGCCCCAAGAATCCACCTTAAAACGCCTTGTTGAATAGCCATCCGAGTTATTGATACGATACTATTGGTCAGCCTTGTCGCTCAACCATGTGGATGCACTGAAGTGCAGATAGTGGTCATCAGGCTGAGAAAATGGCTTTTGCAGGACAACGAAACGAAATGACTATACGCATCTATAAAGGACTAATCATCGAAAACTTTCGTGATGGACATGGTGTCTTAGTCAATATAAGGTTTTCGTAGCTGCACCACTGTGGTGATTGAATAACTTCCTGAGATGTACTTGGGAAATCGAAAACCATCTTGCCAAGACCAAGCAATAGTGGGTTGCAGGCTTGGCTGAGTCTCAGGTATTACAAAAATACAATTGGCAAGCCACAAAGCCTTGTGACTCTTTGTTTGGGGCTGAGACCGTCGTTTGGCGGCATGATAGAGGCGACTGATCGGTCAGTGATGCAGAATACGATATGCACTAATGCCATGATGTCTTTATGAGCAGTGGAAGTTTCGATGAACCTTGTTACAACGCTGTGATTACTATATGCCAAGTCGTGCAAATGGATCAGGCAGTCCATGCAAATCATCATTACCTAGATCTCACAGCTACCCTTGCAGCAAGCACAGTGCTAGACACAACACCACATGACAGGTTTGAGAACCATTAAGAAGAGGGTTGACTCTAGGCCAGCATGAACTTTGGAAAGCATGCATACATGGCTAGATATAGCGAAGCGAAGAGTTACTCTTATCATTTGTAGCCTTCGAGAACGAGACGTTGACAAGTGCGGACGTTTGTCGGTCTCAGCGTCTCAACCCATGCAAAAGAAGATGCACTATATCATGTGATGTATGAGCTGGCAGTCCTCTTATTCTTTGCACCCTAAAGGCGTGTACTTTCATACTTATTGCCTACGACGACCGTGCGGTACATAACCCATGGGCAAGCTCGTTAACATGAGTAGTAATGGAGGGTACCACGGTCTTGAGGGCCCAGCATGGCGGATTAGAGCTGATCATTTTCCACATATAATAGCTGTAATCTTTGGTATTCGCTGCAACCCGCAGAGTACGCGACAAGCTGCACCGACGGAATGTTGCAGTCAACCTCCTGATCTACCAATTGATTCGCAAATAACCCCGTATAACAACATCGATAGTTTGATAGATTGAAATTCTCGGTGCGAACGCCTGGTGGTGTCATGAGTGTTTGTCTGAAGACGACGAAGGATAATGGCTACATGCGATGTTGCTACTTCGGTGCTGTAACGATAATGTCGATTAGGTTATATAAGGAGCATGTGGTGTGTTTCATGAATCATTTCGCTAGTATTCGCCCTCAAACTAATCTAGCTCCGGTCGTGCAATTTTCGATGTCGTTTGCAGTCGTTCAGTCGAGTAAACGCTCTTCCGCATTCGGGGCACTCGTGTGGTTTTAGCCCACGATGGCTCAACTCGTGATTTTTGAGATGAAAGTTACGAGTAAACGTCTGTCCACAGATCGAACAAGCATGGCTCGTCGCATGTTTGACAGTTGCAGTGTGAAACTTCTCCGCGAGATCACTCAATTCGGGATGAAAAGCTCGAGTGTGTTTTTCCAGGTCCTTAGGATTCGCAAAGCCCTCTGCTCCTAGGCAATCTGAAACCTCACATTGGAATGGACGCTCGTGGATGTTGACATGTCGTTTCCTGGCCTTCTCATCTTTGAAACCTTCGGAGAAGTATCTACAGGTGATCTTAGTACACTTGTATCTCCTCTCCTCGTCGTAGAATTGGCGATAGAGAACGAGTTCGCTGGTGCTGAGCTGCTTGGGAAGATCCTCGAGAACCTTACGATTACGTTGGAGTGCTGAATCTAAGCCTTTGATGCTGACCTTGTGTCTCGCTTCGAAACCTTTCTTTTGGAAGGCGTAGATGTGGCTTGATAGAAGAAGTAAGTTTTCGTAGAGTGGAAGCGCTTGGAACACCATACAACTCGTTTTACATTCTTCTACGAGACCGTCGTCCCAATCCACTTCATCATACCTGGCCATGAAATCATCGAGGGCGTGTGACAGGGCTTCGAGACGAGTGTCTAGATCATTCGCTTCACCTAGAAGTCGTTGGCCAGTATTCACGAAAGCATTCACGTGGTGGAACCATTTTGCAACCGCGTAGTCTTGGAATCCAAAGTGGCCCTCCAATGTCAGCTGTCGAAGCTCGTGTTGGTCGTTGCATTGCTCGGTGTCGAAGCATGGGAATGTCAAATACTGGAGACATAGAATTGCGAATTCGCACTCAATGGATGGTTCGTGAATTTCTTTTGTGACATTCGTGATGTAACTGCGGGATATAAGTTGCTGACTCAAGGAGCCGTTTCCGAGACAAACTTACGTTCTTGCTGTGCTATGTACAAGGGAGACATGGTCTCCACAAAGCAGTACTAGGGCTCCGCAAATGTCGTGTATGTGTGTCCGTAGATGTCGGTCGTTGTATTCGATCGTCTGATTGTCTGTGTTGAGTGAAAGAGCAACCTGAATTTCCTTCCATGTGAGCCGGCGTTTCGCACACACCATCCACCCAAGAAGCTTCTTAGCCGTCTCCCATTCTTTTGGATGGGACGTCTGTTTGATGCGCCTCAGGATACGTTCGTATCTTGGAACAAGTCAGCATATTGTCACAAAGTAGGTGGAGCAGTCAGGCACCCACGCTTCTTCCAACCCATTCGGGAAATTGGTCGTCTTGATGGCATCGATCAAACCATTTCGTGTAGGCTGCGCGTATAGGTTGCACATGACCAATTTAGCGTATAGAAACATTCCTAATATGACATAAGTAACCCTTTGTCAACAAATAGGCGATCCTTACCTTTTGCGTTCGCCACTGTGAGGTTTCGGACATATTCTTTCATGTCGTCAGTGATGGGAGAGTGTTTTGAAGCTATGCGATCCACCTCAAACCGCACGTATGCGCGGATGTCGCTCTCATTGTCTGTATCAGAGATCTGAACAATCCTTGGCGTCAGCCTTGTCACCGCAGAGCTGTGAAGTGCCCTTCGAATGTCTGAGTAGTCTTGACTGACTAAAAGCATGCGTAGCTTTCCTGGCTCATGCGTATCGCATACACCCACGATGTTCACCAAAATATCCAACAGCTGTTTTCTCTCAACTGGTTCACATTCGTCGAGTCCATCGACAACAACAAACGTCTTCACGTCAGTGAAGCAAAAGTCTTCCACGAGTCTCTTAGCCTGACTAAGAGAACGAAGTGACGGCTCGCCACTGGAACTGTATCTTGCGTAACATGCAGGAAGAAGCTGCGGATGCTGATCGAGGAGTTGTTCCACGATCCCTTTCAGGATTCCGACGGCGGAGTTGCTTGTATGATCTTCTTCGCGGCAGTAGAAAAAGCTAGTGTTGAAATCAGTCTTCTGCTTGCATTCGTCGATGATGGCAGAAGCCAAGATCGTTTTGCCTGCTAATCATGAGCACCGCAGTGAAAACATGCGTAATCACAAGCTCACCTGCGCCTGGTATGCCATTTATCCATAAAACCGGGGTAGGTGGCACATCGGCACCCATCCAGTCTTTCACGAACTCATGTTTCAAAATCCATCTCGCGGTTGAGGAGTACTGTTTCCTAATGTCACAGAAGCTGACATGGTCTTGGTGTATTTGCTGTCCAACTGCAAGCCATTCTTTGACCGCTCTCAATTTCTTTTGTTGCTCCTCCGAGATCGTCTTGTTCAGTTTCGATTTGAGATCTGCTATATCTTCTTGATATCTTCGATATTGAGCGATACTTGCACGGCATTCTACTAAATCCTTGTGCCGACCAAGACTCTTTAGAATCCCACTGAATTTTGTGTCAGAGTCTTTCCACATGGATCGAAAGAATCGTTTCCAATCTGCGGTGTCTACTGTTAGCAAGTCCGGATGCTGAAATTACGGATCACTTACTGCTGCCCGAAAACGAAAGCATCGCGTGTTGATGAAAATCCAGGATATCGATGTACATCAACTCCAGAGCGTTGATCATGTGTGGACTTTGGTGAAACAACGATTCGTATTCAGAAAGAAGAGGCATCTGCTCACCGATCTGCTCATAGGCTCCTAGTAAGGCCTCGAATGAGTCTGTGAATTCACTAGCAGTCTATCAAGGTTATTAGGTGCGTGACGGCCTTTGCAAACAAACATACCATCAACAAAAGTTTCATAGGTCCCCAGACAAAAGCAACAGCTGTTGAGACATTCAAAAAAACTTCGATGACTTTCCCAAACTGATTCATTGCTTCCAGGCAAGACTGCATTCGAGCAAGATTCATCATCTCCCTGCGAGTATCTTGTTCATTTTGAATGCGCACTATTTCGCGACACAAATCGTCGTAAGTGGTGATTTGGAACGCAGCCAGGTCTTTTCCCGTGAGTCGCGCGCGAAACTTCTTGAGAGCAGTCTTGAATGCTTCCCCTGGTGGTGGCAGGGTAGGGGTAGACGTTGTTACCAACGTTGGTTGCTGAGATAGTGTCGGCGCTGTTGAATGACTGCTTCCTTGAGGAGATGAATGATTCGCCATAGTGATTTACAAGAGGGGAGGTCTTTTGAGTAGCTCGCAAAGATTGTCCAGCTATGATATCGTATCTTCATGTATCCGGGGCGAGTTGGCGCAACCTCAGGCAAGCAAGACAGGCTGATGCGGTAAAGTCATTGATGGCAGGGGCAACAAGTAAAACATGAGACGATATGTTGTTAGTCTCAACACACAAATGATATTCAGCAAGAGAAACGAAGGGGAAAGTGAAAGGGGAATGGATGTACGTGGCGGAGTAAGGCTGAAGTATGGCTTATGCAGACGCATGCACAGCCTTTCGCAAGGCACTGTCGCGCCTACGTTTGACGCGCAGCAAGGCAGAGACCATGACATCCTAAGGACTCGGAAGTTCACACTTCATACACACAGTATCATCGCCGTTTTGTGGGTTAGAACAAGACAACAACTGCGCGGTCGACTTTGGTTCGGGCGCTGCCAAGCCACTTATCGAATTGGTCCAAAACCGCGTGTCGCGCGTCACACATCCGAGATGTCTCTAAAACATCTCTTGAACGATGAGGACATCGACAGCACATATTCCTCAACCCGGGCGGCGTTGAGCTCGAACGATTCCGAAGTCTACAATGAGTATGTCGAGTTTGGAGAGTGGACAAATAGACGCTAAGCTGCCTAAGATTTGCTCCCTGCTATCCCAGTCAGACTTGGGATCCATACTTCGGCCAACTTTGGGGCTCGGACACTCTACAGGGCGAACTTACTCAACAACCCAATGAGTTCGACATCGATCCGGAGTTGTTAAAAGACGTGCAGAGTCAAATTCATCAGTGGGCGGCTGGTGATTTCTTACAGCATCATGTAGAGGAAAAGGCTCCCATCGAGTCGCGTCACATATGTTATGGAACAGTAGGTCCACCGATCCCAAGCCATTCATATTGTAGCTTCGAGTTCATCAATGATTGCTTCTGAGTCTTCCAACCGGGGTACAAGAAGGCGTGAAGGGTGAAACATTATGCCTAGCAGTTGGTACAATAGTGATTGACCTTTTAGTAGATCTTTCGGGTAGCAGTCAGGCTTCGTGGTCTTATGGCAGAACTCGACAACAGGTTGAAGATAGGAACCCCGAGCCCTATTCAAGGCCACCTACAGATGAAACTCATCCAATTCGAGTCACAATTTCTTGTTACTTTTGTCGATGGATCCACGCTTGGGGAAGTGAATGTGCAACTACAAAAAGCACTGACCAGAATCATCGAACAGCGATATGAACTGGACTTCGAGGTATTTGCTCCCGTCAGAGCTATTCGGGAAACGATCAGCAGGACAACAAAGGCCAAGGACGCCATAGTTCGCGTTCAGATCAATATTTATGGGCCTCAAGTCTGTTCTCAAGGAGTGGGGCAAGAGCTATCTCAGCAAAAAGTCTACCTACAACGCCCCGATTACATTCGAACAGGTGCCATATACGACAATCCCCATGTCTTGAAGCTCGCAGACTTCCAGCTGTCGAATGTGCAAGCTGATTGGCCAGCCGAAGGGAAGATAACAGGAGAATATGTTCCGGAAACGCTAAAAGAGACCATGATGGATGTTTATTCATTACTTACTCGTAGTCAATGCATCAAAGGGTTGGAAGGAGATAAGTGTCTAAGAACTCATCTGTTACCACATCAGGAGAAAGCGCTCGAATTCATGATCCAACGTGAAGATGGGCCAATACCAGATGACTTCCGACTTTGGATGCCGACTGAGTTAGATGGACACCCCTGTTATCGACACGCTGTTACAAACACAACATCTACACTTGACCAGCCTGAGACTGGGGGTGGGATCCTTGCTGATGAGATGGGCATGGGCAAATCTCTCTCTATCCTGGCTTTGACCATGCGAACACTTGACGCCGCCCACAAATGGGCCATACAACCCGATGCGCAAGTTCAGGAGATTTCAACGGACTGGGGGCGTAGATGCCGGTCAAAATCGACCCTCATCGTAGCCTCCTCAGATCTCATGATCAATGAGTGGTTTAAAGAAATCCACGAGCACTTTCATCCTGATACCATGGACCGGCTCAAGACTATTAAGTACCATGGTCAGGATCGGAAAGATCTCTTGACGAAGCTTCACGATACCGATATAATCATCACCACATATCACACGCTTGCGTCCGAATTTTCGGGATCGAAGAATCCGTTGAATGAGATCGAGTGGTTCAGATTGGTGTTGGATGAAGCCCACATAATTCGTCGACAGTCCACAGTTTTCTATCGAACTGTTGCTGAACTCACTGCAAGGTCACGATGGTGTTTGACCGGCACCCCAATACAAAATCGACTGGAGGATATTGGCTCATTATTCGCCTTCTTAAGAGTCAATCCATTCCACAATATTTCTACTTTCCGGAAATACGTCGCCCTTCCCTTTGAGGAACGCGGCAAACGTCGACAGCTTGCAATTGAGCGCTTCACAAAACTTTTGGACTCTCTATGCCTTCGCCGCACCAAAGAGTTGCTTCATTTACCTGACCAACAGCATCGCATTCGCAATGTAGAGCTTTCGCCGGAAGAACGAGTCCAATATGACCAAACAAAGAGTATCATGTTTCGAGCGGTGCGAAATCAAGTTGGTGTGTTCGATCAGAAAAGTACTCTGGGGATGTTCCAGATTCAACTTCAGCTACGCATTCTTTGCAATCATGGAACATGGCAACAGCCATTCTCATGGAATCGTCACAAGTTACACCTTCTGGACGAACGAGAAGCTATGGAAGCTTCACTGGGCAGGGAAGGTGAAGTGACTTGCTCCGCATGTCGGCAAACGATGCCACTACTCGGGGTTGGATTAATGTACAAGCGATACAGCGAGCATTGTCGACACATTCTGTGTCTCGAATGTATCGAGCAAAGTATGCCACCAGGTCAAGAAAGCTTACCAGCACACTGCCCGTTGTGCTCTCCGCTGTGGGCGACACCAACACAGATGCAACCCGCGAAGCATGCATCGCAGGAGGATCTCTACTTTCGCTCAGATGGGCAATCCTCCAAAATGGATGCTCTCATGGCTGATGTGTTGGCCGATGTTTGGACGAGCAAGAGGTAAGAGCTGCACTCCATTACATCAACTAAACTAAAACACCTAGCATCATCTTCACCTGCTGGACACGAACCATCGATCTCGTCCAACTCTACCTCCGCAAAGCATCTCTTGGACCGCAAAACTCCAAGCGCATCGACGGGGAATGTTCAACAGGCAAACGTCAGAGTATCCTGGATGAATTTGCCAACGATCCTCAACTGCGAGTTCTAGTGATGACGACAGGTACTGGAGCTGTTGGGTGAGATGAATAAGACTCTACTTACAATCACTAAATCTGATTAATGTTCAGGCTGAACCTTGCAACTGCAAATCGTGTCTTCATTGTAGAGCCTCAGTGGAACCCTTCCGTAGAAAATCAAGCCATAGCTCGCGCCTTGCGTATTGGTCAAAAGCAGCCTGTATTGGTTACTCGATACGTCGTGGAGAAGACTGTTGAACAAGTGAGTCCGTAACGTCACGTTGAACTATATTGTTGTTGACTTCGATAGGAAATGCGCACATTGCAAGATACCAAGATGGAAAGAGCCAATCTGGTCAAGAGTGGATAAGCACCTTACGAGAAACATTCGCCTCGCACAGTGCTCTGGTTTTCTCATCCATAGCGTTGGTGTTTTCTTTGATCAGTGGTGTTCAAATTGTAAAAAAACAGAAAGATAGAAATATTACAACACCCTAGGAATGCTACTCTTGAACATCCAAGCCGCACAGGGAACGAGGCTTGGGGATATACCGATTAATGCCATGTTCTAATAGGAAACCACGAGGTCCCTACTATTGTCGATTCAGCCTTGCTGCGTCATCCTCGCAGGCGTTTAGGCTGTGTCTAACTTGCGGAAGAGCGTTGGTCAGGTCCTCCATCGTAGGCTGATTCTGTGGCGAACTCGCATGCTCAAACTGTTCTATGATTCGTCAAACACCCCCAGCGTCAGGCTGGAACCAACCCTTGACCGGTGCACAGAATCGGTCTTTGACTTCTCGTGCGCGCTAAGATTGCAGTGCAATCGATGCTCGATCGTCTTTATTATCTCTGACTTGCTGATCTCGCCCACACTACCACCGGGTCGCGCGACGATTTTCCCAATCACGTGCAACCTCATCCCCAATTCTGCTGTAAACGTTGATTTTTTGTGTTAAAGATATAACGTGACAGTAGGCAGAAGCTGTACACTAAATTGATCGCTATATAAAAACTTTTCACTGTGTTGTCTACCTATTTCAGAGTTCTGGTGTTCTAAGCATTAACCATCTGCACGCGATTGGAAAACATTTCGCGCGACCCGGTGGTATGAATTGCACTGCAATCTTTAGCGGGGACGAGCCCATTCGTCACCTGCAGATAGACCGATCACATGAACCTGGTCAAAGGACCATATGACACCGACCGTCTGCTGCACTGCAAGAGTTGATCCCGGTAACGCGAGCGGCAACAGCCTTGAAAGCAAAGATCATATGATTTCTACTTCGCCTGCATTCATTTAGTCATACAGAGTGTGTGCTGGTCATATCTTCGCGAATCACACGTGCATCAAGACGCTCAAAAGAACGAGTAGGTGAGATAGTCATTCGTAAAACTCCCACTACATGCCCAGCTTCTCAATGCTCCCCCTCTGCAAAACCCTCATGATCGAACTACCCCAATAAACTCCAGAGCGAGTACTGAGCTGCGCAACGTATAGCCCAAAGAGCCCCACGGTGACATCGTCATGTACCGCCAAAATGCATAGGATCAGACCTAGAGCTCTTCGCATATTTTCTACCGTCCTCCCAAATATTCATTCATCAAACTAGAAGCCCTCAAATGACTGCCAGCCAAAGCACCTCAAACCTCCTCCTTCACTTCATTATCGATGATGTTCGTAAAGTCATCAGCATCTTGCTGTTCCTGTTTGACTTTCTTTGCGAGCGGGACGTACTCCTCCTCAACATCGTCGTCAGATGCACCCGACTCGGCGTAGTTGGCGGGTTTCTGTGCGCTCCTGCCACGCTTGCGATTCACTGTCGGAGACAGGATCTCATCTTCGTCGTCATCGTCGTTGTGGAGAAGGTCTTGTTCGGCCTGGATCTTCTTCTTGGTAGCGGCTTTGGCGCGGCCACGACTCGAAGCAGGTGTCTTGGGGGTTGCAGGCTTGGACGGCGTGTTGGGCGTGCTGCCGTTGATAGTGCCGCCGACGTTCTTCTTTTTCCAGCTGTACAGGCGGTTCTCGACGGCTTTGGGAGTGCACTCTGTCGAATCGTTAGTATTTTTAGGTGACAAGTGTAGCGTGATGGGTAGGTTAGTCCTTTCGCGAAGCCATGCGACTTGGCGACTGACGTGGTAAAACGAGCATGTTGTCTGGATATACAAACTTACCAATACCGGCCGCGCCCACTCGCTCGGCGATCTTGGAGCAGAGAGCTTTGGAGAAACTGATGTTGCATTCCTCGAAGACACCGTGCAAGAGCTAAAGTGTAAAGGTCAGCTAAAGGAGTGTTATAAGGCAGGCTAGACACTGGTAGACTTACGATCGAGTCGAGCTCTGGCGTCCACTTGAGTGGCATTGCGACGGTTGTGATAGTGAGTGCTTCAGACGTGTCAGTGAACAGGACGAGTTGAAAGAGCTAAAGTAACTGACCTTGATGAATTGGAGATGGTTGGTGGTTTGCAAGATGATGCAGACAAAAGCTGGAAGTAGGTGATTTGTGTTGTGAGGAGGAAGAGCTGGAAGACCGAAGAGTATGTCAGCTGGACAGTCGAGGAGGTAAAGAAAGAAGGATCAAGGAAAGTAAGAGGAGGTCGTGCCTTTATACCCCGCAGTGGCTGGCAAGGGCAGAGACAGGCTCATAGTTCCTGGTGAAGGTGAGGGCACTATACAGTGACGGTAGATCTAGCCTGTCTCCACCCTTATCTCACTCTCACCTCACCCTTTGTCTACCCTGTAAGATTACCGAGATTGCATTATAGAGAATAATGCGTCAGCGAAAAGATATTGTGTTGAAGGTAATATGCAGTACTTTTGGTTTTTGAAGGCAAACATTGGCAATGTACTCTGGAAATAAACCGCCAAAGCATAGGGAAAGAGAGAAAGAGAAAGAGAAAGAGTAAGCTTTTGGTGTGATCGTTGCCATGGTCTTATGACCTTTGCATCCCGGTCTAGTTCTCGACATTTCTGATATCATGAGCAACCCAGGCGTAACATCAAGATAAAGATTTTTCGTGTTCCAGAAGAAACGACATAGATACCCGGGAAGAGCCCAGAGAAGACAAACATCAGCATTTCTAGGCTGTGCATACTTAGGTGTCGATAGAAACTAGTAGTAAAAGTGACAAAGGGAACACCTAGAATTGTAGCTGGCATGATTTGTTTCCTCGTCCCAGATTTGTCACACGTATATGGATTCTGATGAAAACACCACGCAAGATATTGAAGCAAGAAGAAGGACATGGAGGTTGAAAGAGTTGAGGAAAGAAAACAGTGTTCACACGATGCGAAATGCCGGAGGTACGATAAGTGTACTTGAACGTGCACACGACTAACAACAAGCATAGAAACTAGACTTCACAAATTGTGAGGCGGAAATCAATCAGTCATTTGACCAACTAAATCGAGAGAGAAACTGCGAAGAGAGTGGCTGTGTTGTTGTCTGGAGAGGCAAAGGCTACGTCTGCCGATGCTCGAAACATATCCACTACACAGCGACGACTCGTATGTGCATGTCAACATCTTCAAATCCCATGAAAGCTCGCAATTTTCTGGTCAACATCGAGTGAGCAGTGCATAATTGAAGCTGTGGATAGATGATCTCAAATCAGATTGCCCAGAACCACGTCTTGACTTGCCTCCTCTAACTCGTCTTACTCAGTTCTACAACGCCTTGCCCATAAACTTCCTCTTGGTATAGCTCAACCACCACTTGCTTGGCGAAGCTGTGCCATCCGCGTATACCCTGTTCAGCAGCCTCGTCGCCAGCTCTTGTCGCATCTGCATAATGTACTGTCGCAGGACTTCTGCCGAGTTCCTGTCGGGCGGAGCCTCGAAGGCCTGGTTCAGGGGGAACCCAGCGTCGCCTGGGATTGCGAAGTTGGTGTCCAGCGCAATGTTCATGACGGCCTATAGCGGTCAGCCTCTCCTCTCGTGTGCATTGTCTGGTACTCGATGCATCCAAACAATCCCTACGAAATCACTGGTTCATACCTTTTCAGCTTCCCTCCTCCCCATGTTCGCCCTGATCTTGCCCAATGCCTCGCTCACAAACAGGATCCCATAGATCATGACCCGGTCCGCAGGACCCTTAATCTCGAAGTTGCGGAAGAAGGTATTCGCACGGAACAGAGCAAGAATCTCATCCAGGGGATCGTAGGACGCATGTGCGGCATCGATGGTGAGCTCTGTCACATCGGAGGGGAGGGCGGGTAGTTGGACAGCGGGCCCACGGGTGCGTGTGCGGAGCGGGAGGAGGGCAAAGTTGCCTGATTGAGGATATGAGTATTTCGTTTTGCAGGATGGAGTTGGTAGAGAGTACCAATTAGGTGTTGGTTTGGCTCCTCGAGAAAGACGGAGTGGTAGGCCTGGTGGGAATTAGCTTGGGCTGTCTGTTGAAGGGCGTATTGAATCTATCAAAGCTTTGGGCGATGAGAACAAACGTACAGGCATCTTGACGATATATGTGTCGGCTTCCTGGATACGTCGTGTGGAAGATTCGTGGAGTTCGACGGAGGTGATGCCAGCTCCGCTGACGAGGGAGGTTGTTCGTAGGGCTGATTTGGCGGGGGTGACTAAGCTGTAGCTTCCCAATCAACGCGTCTGCAGGTGCGAACGCGTCGACCTCGTTTTGCTGCTCTAAAGGCTCACAATCTACGACTCTGTTACACACTACCTTGGACCATCTTCCCAGCATCAGACCGTCAATCCAGAACTTCTTTTGACGAACTAACAAGCACAATGTCCGACTACGAAGATGAGATGGATGTCGATGCACCCGTCGCAGACAGCTCGATATCTTTTGGCGGAGACACTAAGAAGGGCAAGAGAAGCGCTGCAAACTTGCCTGTGGAGGCTGAAGACTCCCTGCCATGGTACGTCTGCTTGTTGACAACTTCATTATGCACTCGCTGATGCTTGTCAAGGGTAGAAAAGTACAGACCTAGCAGCCTCGAAGATGTTGAAGGCCACAAGGACATCATAGCTACCATCAACAAGTTCGTTGACTCGAATGTATAGTCATGAAGCTTCATTCGATCACCACATACTCACCAGTTCCAGCGGTTACCACATCTCCTCCTCTACGGCCCCCCGGGAACCGGCAAAACATCGACTGTCCTCGCACTCGCACGACGCATATACGGGAACAAGAACATGCGACAAATGGTGCTCGAGCTGAACGCTTCGGATGACAGAGGTATCGACGTTGTGCGAGAGCAGATCAAGACGTTCAGCAGCACGAAACAGATCTTCTCTGCAGCGCCAAAGGCGGACGGCTCTGCGCTCGCGACGTTCAAGCTCATCATCCTAGACGAGGCAGATGCTATGACTGCGACCGCGCAGATGGCTCTCAGAAGAATTATGGAGAAGTACACGGCGAACACACGGTTCTGCATCATTGCCAACTACACTCACAAACTGTCGCCCGCGCTGCTCTCTCGATGTACAAGGTTTCGCTTCTCACCACTGAAGGAAGTCGACATAAGAAACCTGGTAGACAAAGTCATTGAGGAAGAGAAGGTCAACATCACACACGACGCCACCGACTCATTGGTCACTTTGAGCAAGGGGGACATGAGGCGGGCGCTCAACGTGCTCCAAGCCTGTCACGCATCCAGCACACCATTACAACCACCAGGAAAGCCAGCGCCAGATCCAAGCACTATTGTTCGAGATGAAATCACCCAAACCACCATCTATGACTGTATTGCAGCGCCACACCCATCGGACGTCGAGTACATCCTAGACACATTACTTTCGACAGGCGACATGACCCAGTGTTTACGAACTGTCAACAATTTGAAGACGATGAAAGGCCTTGCGCTTGCAGACATACTCACAACTATTAGTGAAGAGCTGGTCAAGAACGACGTTCCACCTCAAGTCATGGTGACTTGGATGGCAGGGCTGGCGGACATCGAGTACAGGTTGAGCGGTGGCGGAAGCGAGGCGATACAGACAGGTGCCGCGATCGGGATAGTGCGAACGGGAGTCGAGCTGATGGAGAACGGCAAGAAGTAGGATGCGCAGCCTTGCGACATTTGGCATATCCGATGATTTTGAGAACAGGATGTATCCCAACGGTGGACGCGATCCGATGTATGATAAAATCTCATGCCAGATTGTTTGGAGCGTCAGAAAAGCCACCTTCATCTTCTGGACCTTCTTTCCATTTCCTTCTATTGTGTCTTTGTTCTGCTGCTGACCTGGTGGTACCACCATGTGCCATCGTCTTCAAGCGCGCAGACCAGAATTAACGACAAAACCCAGTAGCAATCAATTTCCAGCAGACATACAACAAAATATAAAACGCGCTGTATCAAGATTAGTTGTTCTCAGCGCGACTTTCCACGGACTCGTTGCTGACGTAAACACCAGGCAGATCGCTCTAAGTCACGAAAACAACGCGCTTTCATCCACGCGTAAATTCGCGACCAACTCAACATACTCTTCTCAGCTACTATTATCAGTGAACACTGTTTCCTATAGTTCGATTTCAAGTATCATCAGCGATGGATTCCAAAAAGAGAAAGTCGACCGCGTCACCCTCCACAGCAAGTTGGCCTTGGCAGCTTTGACGCGTGGATGAACTGACCTCGATCAGAGCAAAGCTCCATCGAAGAGGCGACAGAACGCGCATCGTCAAGGCAAAGCAGTTCCTACATCGGCCTCTACCAACTTGCCGGTCGCGCAGGCCGTTGAACCGGCAAAGCACTCTTCCCAAACGCGTGTTATTGTATGTAAACAAAGAAATCCTATTCTCGAATATCACTTGCTAACATGCACTAGAAGCAACCAAAATCCAGGAAGAAGCCTCAGAAAGTTAAAGAACCAGTTGCGACACAGGCTATCAATGTGTTCCGACGAGGTCGAGGTCGAGATCCAAGGTTCAACAGCCGCCCAACGAGTCGTCAGGATGTCCAGTTGCGGTTCTCATTCAGCAACTCTCCCTCCAATGATAAACATGCTATGAAACCATTGAAGACTCATCACCGTACACCATCCAAGCGAAAAGTCCCCACAGATCCCGCCGGTTCCTCTTTGCCTCCCAAAAAGTCACCAGCACGGCCTCATGGAACAGTAGCGCCAGATGCAGCGCTAACCTCCACTTTCACCGGACTTCTCGTCACAGCCGACAAAGATAATATTACCAAGCACACGCAACAAGTACCCCTCAAAGCACCCCACGACTCACCCCCCACCACCACGGAAACACATGGCATCCCCGACCCCTCCGTCTTCACCAGACCGTCTAAAAGCCGCGAGGGCTACGGCTTCAGCTACTCCGAATCTCTCTGGTGCGACTCGGACGAGTACCCCGACACGGAATGCGACTGGGACGCTTCGGACACGGAATCCGACGACATGGACCCTGATTCCGGACCCCCCATCTTCATTGAGCCAAACAGCTCTTTCGACGACATGGTCGTGATGCGCGACGTGGGCTCCTTCCACATCGCCAAGCCCCAGAAAGCACTGCCCTGCACCCAAGCCACACGCGAGGACACGATCCGCTTGAAGATGCAGGCCAAGGTTCTGTTCAAGTGGCGCGAGAGCGGGGACGTGTATGCGCAACTCACCAGCAGGTTGGAACGCATGATTTACGGGGAGATGGAGAAGCTGGAGCGTGGTGTGGAGGGTAGTGGAGAGAGCTTAGCTAGCGGGAAGACGTACCAGATGCCCAGTATGACGGACTGTGCGGTTAGGTTGCGCGACTTCTTGCTGCGGATTAGGGATGAGCGTGTGGAGACTGGGGAGAGTCGACGGTTTGTCGAGCATGAGATTGAGTGGGTTGGGTGGCTGGTTGAGGCGAGTCGCGTGGGGGTCATGCATTTGAAGACTGTGGGGTGTAGGTGTCGGCCGGATTGGGAGGAGGAGTAGCGGTAGAGATGGGGATGTAGGTCTTTAGTGGACTTTGGTGGGGTGGTAGAAATGAGTGTATTCACTACGGCTGTTTTGAGGGTCCGGAATGACGGCTGGCTGCATATGCGAAAGACTAGTGAACGGGGTATGCAGATCTCCCGCCTGCTATAACCCTCTTCTATCATTGGTCGGCGATGGTCTTGATATCAATCGAAGTGCACTTACATGCTTCTACTCCAAATCTGAATCTCACCTCATCGCGTCTGTCCCTTGCCATCCAAGTTCTCCAGCCGTCAATGCAATACATAAGCCGTGACGTCATTCCACAGCAGCATCCCAGAAAGTTAACAGCGCATCCCAACAGCCTTGATAACAACACCCATTCTCTCTTCTAGTCCTATTCTTATTTCTATCTCTACTCCTAGTCCTATTCCTATTCCTATTCTCATTTCCATCATCCCTCATAATCTCTCACCAAAAACCACAACACCCCATCCGTAATCACGCCATCTCAGGAAATGAACTACATATCAAGTACCCCAGCCCCCCCAAACCTATAAACAAACCCACCCAGACCAAACACCCTAACACACTCCATCCAGCGCTCCTCACCCCAAAAGAAACCCTAACCTCCCTCCTCGCCCCAGAAAAAACCCTCACCTCCCTCCTCGAAACAGGCTACCTCCCACACGCCGTAATCCGGCCATACATCCGCCGCCAACTAACCGAGCGCCTATCCCTCATCGCATCCTCATCGCTGGAAGATGCATATGCGACGAAGATGCGGTGTGTGGAGATGTTGAGGCGTGGTGGTGGTGAGGAAAAGAAAGAAGAGCTAGTGGTAGGGCGTGGAAATGCAGGGGACTGTGATGGGGAGGAAATATACGAGATAGGATCCGACATACTAACATATATTCTGGGCCCGCGGATGAAGTTCTCAGCTTGTTTTTATGAGAAGGGCGGGGAGACGCTGGCGCAGGCTGAGATTGGCATGTTGAGGTTGTGTGGTGTGAGGGGGGAGGTTGGGGGCGGGATGGCGGTTTTGGATTTGGGGTATGTTTTCCTTCATTTACTTCTGACTTCATCGCGTACAGTGCATGGTCGACTGACTGAATGGCTGGCTAACACACCACACCAAAAAGCTGCGGCTGGGGTTCCACAACCCTCTACCTCGCAGAAATCCACCCCACCGCACACATCACCGGGCTCGCCTCGTCCCCCGCACAGAAAACCCACATCGAAACCGTCGCGCGGCGGAAGGGCTTGTCCAACGTGACTATCCTAACCGGCGACATCCTGACATACGACTTCGCGCCTTCGTCTTTCGACCGCGTCCTCGCCATCGAAATCCTCCAACACACAACACACTACACCACCCTCCTCTCCCGCATCGCCCTCTGCCTAAAACCCACGGGAAAACTCTTCCTCCAAACGCTCGCCCACCGCGACACACCCTACATGCTAGACGCCGGCTGGCTAACAACGCACTTCTTCCGCGGCGGGCTGATGCCGAGCGCGGACCTGCTTTTGTACTTCCAGGAGGGCGGGTTGAGGGTGCGGAAGCAGTGGTGGGTTGGCGGAAGGCATTATGCGCGGACGTGTGAGGATTGGTTGGGGAATATGGGGAGGGATCGTGAGGGGGTTTGGCCCGGGTTGCTGGAGGCGTATGGGCATGAGGGGACGGTTAGGTGGTGGAATCGGTGGCAGGTTTTCTTTTTGGTGGGGGCGGAGATGGGGGGGTGGGGAGGGGGGGATGTTTGGGGGGTTTGTCAGTATTTGTTTGAGAGGGGGGGTGGGTAGGCTTTGTTGGTGGGGGGAGTGTGGGGGTTGAGTAAGGAGTGTGTTGGATATGCGAAGGTGGTTGGTTACTCTTGTAGCGCGTTGATTGGGATATATCTGTTTCTAATGGAGTGTTGGGGTAGAGGAGGGACTTGGGTGTTGTTGGGGGGGCGTTGATGTGAGAATATGTCTTGACGGTGGTTGGAGTGGGCTGAGTAGTAGCATCCTTGAGAGAAAGGAACACCACTAGGAACTGGGAGGCGAATGGATATTTGACGTTGTTTGATTTAATGTCTTGGCGCTGTCATTGCTTGAGCCATACAGTGACTGCATGTCTGGACTCGATTCTCAATTCACCCCAACACCTTCCGTTCTGATTTCTTCTCTCACCATCCTTCAGTGCTCCCATGGGTGCTTCCAGCCAAGCAGGGCCGGGCCGTCCTTCTTTGCGCGGTACATCAACTGCTGTCGTCAGCGCATAGTCACGTCAAGTGTATGTATTGACATACGAAGAACCACATGGAGGCGCCGAGGCCAGTGGCCATGAAGCGGTAAAAGGGCCTGGGCGGGTGGATGTGGATGGGGTGTTTGGGCATCTCGGCGTACTTGGGCGGGCCCATCCAGGCTCGGGAAGGCTGCATGGTGGACGTGGAGCCTGTATGGGGATTAGCGACACGAGAATTGTACCAAGTGAGCAGCGGAGTGGCTACCTGCGGCGTGTGCGGTGCAATGGCTCGGTGTGGTCGCGGGAGAGTGCTGTGAGGTCGCAGTCGATCGGCGGAGCTCGTCTTAGTAAGCAAGAAACATGGCTCTACATACATTCTCTCTCCTTCACCTGCACCGCGTCGCTGCTATCGCCTCGCCCGCACAATAGCACGGCGTCCAGCAGCCACTCCATGGCAGCGTGTGCCGCCGCGACCACCACCGACTCGCAGCTGCATTCTTCCATGCTCGACGAACCGCGCGTCAGATCAACCGCGCAACGGACGCTGTAACGCGGACCGAGCCATCTCCCACTCGACGCACACACACCATCGCCAACATGGCAAGCGCGACGCCGCGACCCGGGCTGCAGCACCCGATGAAGGGCTGCTCCAAGATCGGCGAGTACGAGATGATGCAGAAGCTCGGCGAGGGCACGTTCGGCGAGGTGCACAAGGCGCGTCACCGCAAGACGGGCAGCGTGTACGCGCTGAAGAAGATCCTGATGCACAACGAGAAGGACGGCTTCCCCATCACGGCGCTGCGCGAGATCAAGCTGCTGAAGATGCTGTCGCACGACAACGTCCTCAAGCTGGAGGAGATGGCAGTGGAGCGCCCCAAGGCCGAGGGCAGGAAGCGCGCCATCCTCTACATGGTCACGCCGTACATGGATCACGACCTGTCGGGTCTGCTCGACAACCCGGACGTCAAGTTCTCGGAGCCGCAGATCAAGTGCTACATGCTGCAGCTGTTCAAGGGCCTGCGCTATCTGCACGACAACCACATCCTGCACCGCGACATGAAGGCCGCCAACCTGCTCATCAACAACCGCGGCCGCCTCCAGATTGCTGATTTTGGTCTGGCGCGCCATTACGATGAGACTCCGCCACAGCGCGGGAAAGGCAACGGCACCGCGACAAGAGAGTACACGACACTGGTGGTGACGAGGTGGTATCGCCCGCCCGAGCTGCTTCTCCAGCTGCGGCGATACACACCAGCCATCGACATGTGGGGTGCAGGCTGCGTCTTTGGCGAGATGTTCAAGCGCAAGCCCATCCTCGCCGGCAACAGCGACATCCACCAAGCAACAATCATATTCGACCTGGTCGGCACGCCCAACGACCAGACCATGCCTGGATGGGATGAGCTTCCTGGCGCCGAGGCCGTCGTCAAGGGCTATCCCAAAGGCACTGGCAACATTGCCCAAGTGTTCCGCGAGCTCTCTCCGACTGGACTGTCCCTGATCAAAGAGCTTATGAAACTCAACTGGCGCACGCGAATCAACGCCATTGACGCAATTGACCACCCATACTTCAAAGAAAGCCCAAAACCCATGCGCGAAGAAGACATCCCCCACTTCGCCGACTCGCACGAACTCGACCGCAGAACCGCGCGCGGCAAACAACAAGCACTCCCCCCAGCACCCGCAGGCGGCACCGTTGGCGGCGGACCAAACGGCGAATGGACAGGCCAAGGCCCACCGCCGCACGCCTGGCAGAACGGCGACCGACGATACGGCGGCCCACAAGACCGTGGACCACCCGGCGTCGATCGCCCACCAAGAGGTTACGACCGTCGCCCAGGCCCCTACGACCACAGACCACCTCCACCCCCACCTCCAGAAGGCCGACGACCAAACTGGGGCAACGGCGCACCGCCCGCCGGCGACGGCAGAAACTCCCTCCAACCTCCCCGCTACGCGCAGGATCGCAGACCACAGCAACCAGGCGGTGACGTATATATACCCACATACAACGAGAACGGCCCGCGACGATCGAGGGAACCGGATGAGAGGCCGAGGCGGGGGTCGCGGGATAGCGGCAATTCGCGCGAGGGACCTCAGGATGGGGGGAGAGCGTATCGGGACCGAGACCGCCAGTCTGAGAATCGAAATTTGGGGAGAAGGGATGGTAGGACGAGGAGTAGGAGTCCTGAGCGGAGGGATAGGAGGGATCGCGATGCGGATATTTATCGCAGGCGGTGATGAGGGTTGGGCGAGGGGGGTGTGCATGGCGTCACGGACGGTGCAGTATATGGAATGAAGGAATGGAATGGATGGAGGGATGTGAGACTGTGGTTTAGACACTGGTCTTCTTCTTCTTCTTTTTTTTTATCGCGTGGAGTAGAGTGGGTGCAGCATTTTCTGGCGTTTTGTTCTTGATACCACACACCATATCATACTATACTATACCAGCTTTACTAGAAGCAACGCTTTCTTCATGTCTTTCACTTGATCTTGCTGGGGCTTCGTGATTGTGTTGTCATTGTTACATTATCTACTACAATGTACCAACATGCATGCACGTGCAAGTGAGCCGACTACATCATACATGATACACGGTAGGTAAACTTTCCACAAAGCGGGAACCTGCAGCATCGCAGCGTGCCCTGACATGCGATCGGCACGGCAACAAAATATCTGCCCTGAATCACGGCATTCGTTTGCAACGCACCATTCAGCATATCAGTCGTCGTTTGTTTGTCTGCGCCGAGATACAGATTACCCAGACGCAGCTGTCATATCACATCATGTCACACCCGTCCGTCAGTGTCGAACGATGTACACGTCGGCAGCCGATTGCCGGACGCGCAATTCTTTTTCGGGGCGGTATTTGACTCAATAGCGCCCCACTGCCGTCCGCCGACGCCGGTATGTGCTCCGTTTTTGCGAAAATCACTCACCAAACGAACGGACGACTCACACTTGATTTAAGACTCACAACGTAACACAACCAACGTAACACACACACCACGCAAAGTACACGTACACGCTACGACACACCACGATATACACAGACTACCAAATACGCCAATCTTGCTATACCTCACTACGTACCCTTGAAGAATTGAAGAATTAAAGAGAATTGGAGCAGAAGAAAGAACATAGCAAAGATGTCGATTATCGCCAATGGATACAAGCATTTGTCTGAGCGGATAGCGGGCCACACCGAGGAGAAGCATCTGCCGGGTGGGTGGGTGGTGCTCAAGTTTGGGGGAACGAGTGTGGGCAAGTTTGCGGAGGGGATTGCGGGGATTGTTGAGTGAGTCTACTCCTCATGAATGTTGGATGACTACTGTGGATGAGTGAGAGATGACTGACTAACAACCCCTTCAGAGCAGGCAATAGAGACAACCGCGCCGCCATTGTCTGCTCGGCCCGCAGCAACAACACCAAGCTCGAGGGTACCACCAACCGCCTGCTGCGCGCCGCCCGCGCCGCCGAGAAACCAGACCACCGTGGCTACGACGACATTGTCGAGGCAGTGCGCGCCGACCACGTGCAGGCCGGCAGGGACACGCTGAGGAACGCCGACGTGCTTGCGGCCTACATCGAGGACGTCAATGCCGAGTGCGAGAATCTGACTAAGATCCTCGAGTCGGCCCAGCATCTGGAGGAGGTGACGAACCGCGTCGAGGACAAGATCGTGAGCAAGGGCGAGAAACTGAGCTGTCGGTACATGGCTGCCCTGCTGAACGACCGCGGCACGCCCGCCCAGTTCGTCGACCTGTGCGATGTCATCAAGTTCCATGCGCCGACCAAGGGCCTGAACGAGAAGTTCTACATGGACTTGGCTGATGCGCTGGCCAGGGAGGTCGAGGCCTGTGGGGACAAGGTCCCTGTTATTACGGGCTTCTTTGGCAATGTGCCCGGCGGCATCCTGAACTCCATTGGTCGCGGCTACACGGATTTGTGCGCTGCTCTCGTTGCTGTGGGCATCAAGGCGAAGGAGCTCCAGGTCTGGAAGGAGGTCGACGGCATCTTCACAGCCGACCCGCGCAAAGTCCCCACAGCCGCTCTCCTCCCCTCAGTCACGCCCTCCGAGGCCGCAGAACTGACCTTCTACGGCTCAGAAGTCATCCACCCCTTCACCATGGAGCAAGTCATCCGCGCCCGCATCCCCATCCGCATCAAGAACGTCATGAACCCACGCAACCCCGGCACCATCATCTTCCCCGACAACATCACCGACATCAACAACCGCGCCCCACTCAAAGACTCAAACCTCTTCCGCACCCGCTCCTCCAGCCTGCTCACCCACCTCGCCGGCCCTAAGCGCCCCACCGCCGTAACCATAAAACACAACATCGTCGTCCTCAACGTCCACAGCAATAAGCGCACCCGCGCCCACGGCTTCCTGATGAACATCTTCAGCATCTTGGATCGATGGCACCTCTCCGTCGACCTCATCTCGTCGTCCGAGGTCCACGTCTCCATGGCCCTGCACTCTGAATCCGCCCTGCTTAGCGGCGGCGGCGAAGATGAATATAAAATCCAGGATAAAGACCTCCAGGGCGCGGTCAACGATCTGGGCCAGCTCGGCACGATTGATATCGTTCCTGATATGGCGATTGTGAGCCTTGTTGGTAAGCAGCTTAAGAATATGATTGGTATTAGTGGCAAGTTCTTTAGTGTGTTGGGTGATAATAATATCAATATCGAGATGATCTCGCAGGGTATGTTTTGCTTTTTCTTCTTCTTTACGAGTGGATTGATGGGTTTGGAGGTTTTTGCTAATGTGTGGTGTTAGGTGCGAGTGAGATTAATATCTCGTGCGTTATTGAGGAGCGCGAGGCGGATCGGGCGCTGAATGTTGTGCATACGAGTCTTTTTACGTTTTTGGAGTAGTTGCGTGGGGAGGGGAATACCTTATAGACGGTTGGTTAAGAGAAGTTCGTTGACTGGACTTGACTTGGACTCTTCGAGATGAGTACGTGTGTGTGAGTATGTCATGGAGGAGGTGTGGGACCAAAAAAAGGATTTCTATATCTTGTCTTGTCATGTCATATCATATTCTTGCAATTTCGATGCCAATCTCAATCGATTTTGTCACGTTCAGTTCACATTCAGTTCACTTTCGTCTCGATATCTTCTTCTCATCAATCTCATTATTTTCTCCGTCACTTGGAATTCTGTGGGCAAAAGGCAGGTGAATGTGCTGGGGTGGCCCGTTTAGCGGCTTCACCGTGTTGACTGACTGACTGCGTTTGCTGTTACTGTTGTGCCTCGAGGTCTTTCACGCTCCCTCGCTCCCTCGCTCCCTCGGACACTGCGCGATCGATCGGTCGGTCGGTCAGTGAAACGAAAACAGGAACGGAAACGAAAAGGCAAACGCACAGTCTCGACTGTCTATCTGCTTATGCGTACTGGTAGGCTCCCAAGCACTTTTCCGTCACTCAACTCAACATATCTCAACGCACACTCACCAACCTCTACACCAACACCACCATCAACCTCAACCTCACCTCCCACACCCAAACCACAAAAATGCACACGCACATGCAAATGCACATGCAAATACAGACGCACACACGAACCCGCCGACCCCGCACCAATACCACCAATACCACCACAACCATCTCCAGCATCACCACCACCGCCACACAACATGCCTTCCAAGCCAAACACTTCGTCTGCACAGGCCTCAAGGGCATGAACGCCGAGCAGCAAGCGAGAGCCCTCCAGGTCGCGGCGAAGTATAAAAGAAAGTTTGAGGGAGGGGAGTGGAAGGGGGTTATGGTGAGGATGCGGAAGAGCGTGCGTGATGGTTGTAGAGATACTCCTAAGAACAGTCTCGCTTCGACCACCTCCACTGGACGGCCGTTACCGAAGTCCAGTGCTAAGCTCACCTCCCCACCCCGCACCCGCTGGGACATCCTCCCCCCCGGCGCCCCGCCCCCCCTCTCCCAAACCCCAACCTACAACGCCTTCACCCCCACCGGCTTCTGGTCCTCCCTAACCCGCACCCCCACTCCCATCACGAAACCCAACCCACACACCCCCCAAACAGCCATCCACCACCCCCCCGTCATCCCCCGCGACACACGCTCAAACGCAACATACCACGCCCTCCTCGCCGACGTCGAGCACCTCGCCCGCGGCGCCTGCGCACAACGCCTCGGCTTCTCCGCGCGCACGGGCAGTGACAGAATCTTCCGCACCGCGATCGTCAGCGCGGAAGATCGCGTGCGGGGCGCTGAGCGCGCGCTGGAAGGATGCCGTGCGCCGGGCGTGCAGGAGGATGTTATGGTGCGGTGGGGCGAGATTGTCGAGCAGGAGGATCGTGCTGTGAGGCGGTGGGAGAGGGGGTGCTTTGGTCGCGCGAAGGGAAAGAATGAGGAGGTGGTGGAGGAGGAGTTGCCGCAAGCGAAGTTCAGACGCGGGGGGATTATTACGGGCGCGGATTCTAGGGCTAGGGCGCTGGAGGGGTCGAGGGTGGGGATGGGGGGGCTGCTTAAGTTGCCGCAGGGTGCGTTGAGGGTTGTGTGGGCGACGAGGATATTGGAGGATATGCTTAGGTTAGCTGAGGAGGAGAGGTTGGCTGAGGCGGAGGGGGATGATGAGGACGAGGGGTATGAGTATGGGAATTTTGTGCGGAGTATAAGGCGGGAGGCGAGTTTGGCGGAGACGGTGCGGAGTGAGAGTACCAGCGAGACTGCGACTGAGCGTGGGAGTGTGGATGGAGATGTGAGGTTGAGCGGCACGACGTATACGAGTACTACGCGACACTCACAGTACTACCCCCACCACCACCACTACTCACAACAAGAAGCGACCCCCGAGCCTCGTAACACAAGGAACGACCTCCCCCTCCGATCAATCCATTCCAGCCATTCCAGTCTCACCCACCACCGCAGCACAAGCACCGACACAATCAAGACATCGATTTATATCCCCGAACATAACGACAACACCGACGACGGCGCAGAAATAACACCCGGACCCAGCCCAGAGGAGAAAGGCTTCCGCCATCGTGCGCCGGGTTTCTCCCAGTTATCAAGCTGGGCACATAGCTTGAGGGAGACTCGATCTACATCTCCATCTCCATCTCCATCCAGGACCGCGAGGCAGGGAAATGAAAACGAACAAGGAGATGAACACGAACACAGGCAGGAGGAAACCGAACAGCAACATGTCAAACAAGAAGTTGGAAATCCGACAGAGCAGGGAAGCCCCCCACTGAGTCCCTGGTCCCTCGCGAGAAGTAAAACGAGGATCACACCCACTGCGTTCTTGTTCCGCCGCGCTATCCCGCTCCCTGGGAGTGAGGGGGTGGGTGTACCGCGTTCGTCGGTGACGGTGTCGTCGGTGTGGTCTTCTTCTTCGTCTGAGGATGAGGAGGAGGTTGTGGACATGGACGAAGATGGAAATGTCGATGAGGATGAAGATGTAGATGGAAGTGTAAGTGCGCACCCTCTCATTCCGGCGTCTGCTTCTTTTTCTGCTTCTGCTTCTGCTTTTACTTCTTCTTCTGCTTCTCCTTCTCCTTCTCCCCCTCCTTTCCGTCTTTTTCCAGCCACTCCTTCTACCTCTGCCTCTGCATCCATTCCGAGTCTACACAACACACCACGCACCTCGTCGTCGGGAGAACAACACCGCCGCTCCACATCCAGCACCCGCACGCGTATCCTGCGCCCCGCGTCGCGCGAGAGCGAGGAGGAGTGGGCGAGTGTGTTGAGTGGGATGGAGGAGCGGGAGAGGGAGAGGCGGGTTTGTGAGGGGAGGGCGTGGGGGGAGAGGGTCAGGGGGAGGGACTTGGAGGGTGGAGGGGGGAGGTGAGGGGGAAGGGGAAGGGGGGTAGGGGACGGGAAGGGGGGATATGGGTAGATTGATTTCTTGATTGAGGGTTGGAAGGGTAGTTGCTTGGTTGGTCTGGATGAAAGGATGACGGGCGGAAATTGGAGACGTGCGCTTATTTTGCACGTGGAGTTTCAGGACAAATGGATAAGTGGAATGAGGGTGATGGGGAATGAATGGTACATCTACATGTACAAGCACCCCCAGACTACTAGATCCCAATTCAAGCCTGCTCCTGCGCATCCGCCTCATCCCCCGTCCTCCGCCTCTTCTTGCCATGCCCCCTCGCCTCAACCCGCCCCTCAACCGGCAACACCCTCGTCGCAGTAAACAAATAGCCCTCAGCCCCGCCCTTACTCGTCATCATCGGATGCGTACGCTCAGGCAGAACCTGATACTGTCTCGCGCGGGCCGTCTGCAGCGAAGGCGCCAACAGCAGCGTCGGATTGACCGGGAAATCATCATCGTCATTACCGCCCTCAGTGCTAGTCTCCACATCATTATCCTCAGACAGCGCGCGTTTCCCATTCAACTGCAGCGGGGGCCCGAACTCGCGGGCCATGAAGGCCGCGCGGCGCTCCTTGGAGTAGAAGTCGCACAGCTCGACGAGAGGCTCGGCATTGGGGTGGTAAACGACGATTCTGCCGCCGCCGCGCACGAGCGGGACGAGCTCGGCGAGCACGGTTTTGGCCTCCATGCTTGTTGCTACGACGAGGCCGTCGAAGCCGCCGCGCCGCGTTTCGTCCACGACGCGCTTGCAGCGCTCCCAGCGCCGCCGCTTCTTGTAGTATGTGCCGCGTTTGCTGCTCTTCATGGATAGGAGGACGTCTTCGGCGATGGTCTCGGGTTCGTCGTAGCTTGGGTCGTCTTCTGGGTGGAGGAGTGAGAGCCAGGATGTCGCTTTTAGGTGCTTGTATAGCGGGTGTGAGACGGCGGGTTGGCCGAAGTCGTAGCCAAAGTATTTTAGGTAGGAGAGGTTGGGTTGGTTGTTTGGGTGTAGGACTGTGAGGGTGTTTGTGGAGGCGGACATTTGGGGGATGTGGGGGCGTGGTGGTTTGCGGGGCCGGGGAGGAGGATCTGTGGGTGCGGTTGTGGCTGTTGTGTCTGCGTCTGGCATTGCGGTGTCTGCGTCGTTTTGCTCTGGTGCTGGTGGTGGTTCTGTGGTGCCGTTTTGCTGTTCTGCTTCCTCCTCGTCCGACGCGTCGTCGTCCTCTTCAGGGTAGAGTATGCCCATTCGCTCTGCAAGAGCTGCTGTGATGAGACCGCCCGTGTCGTCTACGACCAACCATCTCCCCCCTCCTACTTGGCTGATACCGTCCTCAGCTGTCAACACTCGACTTGCTGCGCCGCAGTGAATGTTGGCCCAACTGCATATCAGTCCCAGGAGGTCTTCCCTCAACTCCATAATCCTGTACGCCTCTTTCTCCAGAACGTACTCGGTCAATATCCCAACGTCCATGGGCAGCGCAGTAAACCTCTTCATGTATTTTCTCGATTTCCGGAGGGTGTATTTGGCCAGGGAAAAGGACGTCTTCTCATCAATGGCCTGGTGCGACGCCATGATCTTTGCGATGATGTCTTTGCCAGAGCCCGTGCCAGCCTTCTTCAGCTCCTCGATTTCCTCCATGGAAAGCGTCTGCCGTGACGCATCGTCGACCGTCAGGCGATTGTTGCGCATTATGACCTGGCCATCCTCGCCCACAATGTCGAATCCTGCGCCGCCTTCTGCAGTCTCCTCTTGCGCCTCGGCGACCGGCGCACGGCCTTCTCCAATGGCTTCGGCGTGGAGTTCCGAGGCAGGCACGACGCGCAGTTCCGTCTTCGATTTGCCGTCATCTCTGTCCAGTAGCTCGTAGGTGAGGTAATACGGACGGCCCAGCAGTAGGTTAGAATTGAAGATGCCGAATTTCCCAAGGTTGATGCTGCTGTGCGTTTGTTAGAAGACTCCCTCACGTGTTGAGGCCAAGCGGGGCTCACTCCAACTATGCGACGTACATGTTGGGCGTGATTTCGAGGATCTTGAGCAGGCCTGAGGGCAGTCGCAACGCGACGTGCGTGTTCGGCCGGATGTACGAATGCATTGCGCGGTCGGCGTCGTTCCTTCCGTATCAGATGTCACCAAGCCATGCGCGAGAGTCACTTTTGGATAGTGTGTGAAAATGACAATTGTTGCGAGAGGACGGGGATTGTTCGAAGTTGTGAGTGAAATTGTCGGGTTCGACGAAATCGACGAATCGCAAGTCGCACAAAATTCACTTGTTCCCCGGTCGCATCCTCCGGTAGCTTGTGCCACATACACAGCCACTGTGGCGCAAGCACCCCAGAATGGTAGGCTTTCGTCATCGGTCAGACATCCGTGCCTTCACCGTCTACAGCCATGCCCTGGCCGCGTATACATCTTACCAACATTTCGCCCCGCTCTGAGCTCTTCTTCTTCTTTCCCCATCACTAGTTCTGTTACTTAGTTCAAAGAACTTCGCACGTCCAAGAGTAAGCTCCACATCTTCCAGTGGACGGGGCTTCTCAACACCTCAACGCTCCGCCAACATCTATAACACCACCCCACGATGACTATTCGAAGTCAAACACCACAGGCTGGCCTCGTGCCCGCGCCGCTTTCAAAATCAAACCCTCCCTATCCATTAACACCCGCTGAGGAGCATCTACCCACCATTCCTTCGACTTCCGGGAACAATGCCCACGCGCCAAACCACAACCCATCTCCAGCGTTCAACTTCATAACACCGGAGGAAGCCAACGGCCCAAAGGATACACGCGATGACGTGTCAGATTACAGTGACGACGAAGACTGGGACAGGTCTGACGACGACGACGATTTCGAAGATATCGACCACAAGTACGTACCTGATGCGCTAAAGCCGGCAAAAGGCAAGTCGCCCCAGGATGTTACCACCACGAATAGCACAAACAGATCGAGCGGTATTCCAGATGCTTTGAGGGCCGGGCCACCTGCAGGAGTGCCTATTAAAAAGTCATTCGAATCGATGTCGTCGATGCCTGCAGGGGCTAATGCTGCGTCATGGGGCAGCGTGAGTAACATCTCGGAACTATCAAACGGTTCGGTGCCGCTGCAGACAAACAACCCATATCTCAAGATGCAGGCGACTGGGCAGAGCAATTTCGGTGCCGACAACAGTCAATCTGTATGGGGAGAAAGCAGCCAGCAAGCTTGGGGAGGGTCGCAGGCACACCCTCAAGTGCGCAATGACCCAGTGGAGCTACCTGCTCATGACTTCGCCAAGTTGAAGCTGGACAGCCATGCGCCTTTGCAATCAAATTTGAAATCCTCCGGTCTCCCACCAACCATTGCCGTAGAGTCAGCGACCCCACAACACGAACATTTCGGACAAAACTCGACTGTCTCTGATCCCTGGAACCAACCGACGAGTGCCCCATCGGCGGAATCTACTCAAACAAGCCATGTACCCGTTCAACACAGTCAACCGACTGACCAGAATGTATGGCAGGATCAGCAACACTGGGGAACGGGCGGGCAGGAAGCAAAGCAGCTGCAAGAATTGAACGCTGCGCAAGAAGTTGTAGCCAAGGCAGAACAGCAACAGGAGCGAGAATATGTGCCATCCCACGTTCATGAACAAGCACCTCCGTATACTGCCCCGCAGTCACCTTCACCGCACACAGGTGACCAACCTCCAACTCTGCCACCGCGGAGGTCGCATGAGGATCAACAACTACCTTCACTTGAGACTGGCGTCGTCGGCGCTGCCTCCAACTCTGTTCCGGAATCACCCACTACGGCTATGAACAGACAGAGAAAGGAGAATTATCAGATCAAGCAAATCCGATGGCACGACGTTAATAAACAAGGCATCCGGACTTCGCCAATCCTTACCCAAAATCTCAACGGTCCCTGCCCACTGCTTGCTCTAGTCAACGCACTTGTGCTCTCAACCCCGTCTGGCGTTGAGACCGCATTAACTGAAACGCTACGTACGCGAGAAACAGTCAGCCTGGGCTTGCTACTTGACGCTGTTTTCGATGAGCTCATGTCAGGGCGACGAGGCGAAGCAGCGCAAGGGTTGCCAGACGTCAGTGATCTCTACAAATTCCTCCTTGCTCTACACACAGGCCTCAACGTAAACCCTCTGTTTGTGCCTGAAACAGATGGTTCCCCTGATAATACCGCGCTTACCAACCGGTCGACCGGTCAAGGCGGGGGCTTCGAGAACACGCATGATATGAGATTGTACCGAACCTTCGACATCCCCCTGATGCATGGATGGCTGCCTGAAGCAGGATCCGAGGCATACAGCGCATTTGACCGAGTAGCCAAGTCGTATGAGACTTCGCAGTATGTGCAGTTCCAGGAAGAAGAGCTCGACGCGAAGCTGCAGTCTGGTGAACCTTTGACTGCCAGCGAACAACAGATGTTCACGGACATTCATGCCATCAAGGAATTCCTTGATCGATGGCCGACTCAGCTAACAGACTATGGGCTGAAGGTTATGCGAGATGGTATCCAGCCGGGCCAAGTCGCGATCTTGTTCAGAAATGACCACTTCTCGACGGTTTTCAAGGATCCCCGCACAAACCACCTCGTCACACTTGTGACAGATCAAGGTTATTCTAGCCACGACGAGATTGTATGGGAGTCGCTCGTTGATGTTAATGGCCAAGGAAGTGAGCTCTACTCAGGCGACTTCCGCCCGGTTGGCAACAGCGCTGCACCTCCCCAGCCCCAAGAGCGACAGCAAATCGAGAACGTACTGCACGTCGACGACAATCAAGACTGGACGACCGTTCAGTCTCGTCGCGGGAACCAGCAACAGACGTCCTCGACTCCCAACGCCAATCTACAAAACTCCGAATTGCCTTCGCCAATGGAGCGTAGCCGGGCTGAGCAAGAGGACCACGATTTGGCCTTGGCGCTTCAACTTCAAGAGGAGGAAGATGAGTCGCGAAGACGCGATACAGAACAACGCCAACGCGAAAACCAGCTTTCCGAAAACGCTATCGCAGAGCAATCTCAAGCTCGACCTGGCAACCGTCGCACTTCTCGAGGGGAGGCTCCGCCTGTGATCCCACCACGACGTAACAACCAAACAACATTCCGCCCTAGCAATGAACCTGCACCGCCCCCAACATACGAGGAAGCCTCGACGATCCCGCAGTATCACCCCCCGCAGGGCCATCCCGCGAATCCTGCCGCACCGTTGACGCCGCAGGGTAGTGCATACCAAAGCAACAGCATGCCGTCTTCAGGACGAAGGCATTCTGGACGTCCACAGGCAGTTCCGAATACATCGCCAGGTCGAATAGGCAGACGTCACAGTGGAGGGCCCGGACAGATTGGGAACGGAAATGGAAACGGAAATGGACATGAAGAGAGAGACAAGTGCGTTGTCATGTAGACACGCAGCTCTTTCGTCGTTGGTTCTTTTGCTTGTGCTAATGCGATTTGGCGTCTAGGACACGCGTGACCCCGCACTGCCATGCTTGCGTTGCAAGCTGATGGAGTTTTATCGTGCTTCGGCGCGGATTATACCCTTTTTCGTCATGTTTGTGTGTTTGCGTGTGGTGGGCTAGTGCGAGGTTGGGATAGGTTGGGGGAGTCCAGGTGGTAGACGTTATGTCTCATGATGTATTTGAATTAATGATATGATTATGCTTTTACATATGTATAAAAACACATGCGTGAACAGGCTCTCGTTTAGTCGAAAGATCCGCAATCAAGCTGCAGTCAGATCTTGCAACAGCTTGATGATTGCATGTAGAATAAGTTACTTTTCTTATAAGAACTTGATTTAACTCCGGGAACCTCGACTAACCGAGAGACAAGACTCGGAAACTCGGTACCCAAGGATAGATGAATGATGTTGTTTCACTTGGTCATGAGACGTCACACGTATGCATATAGTGGAGGGATTGCGGCTCAGTGTAAAAGCTGGAAGTGAATTTCGTTCTTCTGAACGCAACAAAACCACAGCGGGAAAAAACGCTCAACAGAGCAAGCAGGGCGGATATCAGCAGTCTTGTAATACGCAAGTCCCAGATCAATGTTGTGAGAATTGACGCAGCTTACTCCCAACTCCTACTTGACCAAGAAGAGCGAATAAGAGGGAGAGAGGGAGGGGTATATGCCGCATCCGCATCCCCAACACCCCTCTCGCATTATCCGCAAACGCATGCTCCGTTCAAATCAAAGCTTCTGTAACAGCGGTAGTCTCCGTTTGAAAATATGTCTCGGATCTATCAGAGATGCGGCATGATATTTACTGGCTAATCTGAAAAACAAGCAACATGTTGATGCATCGATAGTTTAGGGGTAGAATTGAAGCTTCCCATGCTCTGGTATCTGCTTCAGGCACGGGTTCGAGTCCCGTTCGATGCAATTTTGTTTTTGCTCTGGGTTGGGGGAGGTCTGGGGGGTGTGAGATGTATTGTTGTGGTGGTGGTGGAGGCGGAGATGGTGTTGCGGGGGTGGAGAGAATAAAGGGCTGGATAGTGTGTTATATATATACCTCGTAAATGTTAGATAACACTAATATCATACAAAGAGGATCAATCTAGTCCATAATGTGCTCGCTACTTGTTTCAAGACCGGTTTGTACGAATGTGGTAGTTGTGGACGGATGAGGCTGACAAGGTGGGGTCCTCTCCAACGCCGTCTGTGCGTCATCGCATCGCATAGCATAGCACCTCGAACTCCGCAAGTCCACGCTCTCCAAACTCTCAACTCTCCCCACAAGATGTCGTCCAAGATAGAAAAAGCGATCCAGCGACAACAGCAAAAGTACCACCCCCTCCCGCACTCCCCACAGACCAGCCCTTTGCTAACTCACGTCAGAATCGCAGAAGGCCAATACTACGAAGCACACCAACAGCTCCGCGTCATCGCCTCGCGCTACACAAAAGCCCAGGACTGGCCCGCCGCAACAGACATCCTCTACTCGGGCGCGCAATCACTCCTGCAAGCGGGCCAGGGCGGGTCCGGCGGCGACCTGTGCATATTCCTGCTCGATGTGTTCAACAAGGGCGAGGTCAAGCCCGACGCGAGTAGCAAGGGGAAGCTGCTGAGCCTGCTGCGCGCGTTCCCCAAGGAGGAGCCGACGAAGAAGAAGTTTATCGGCGAGATGGTCGCGTGGAGCTCCAAGTTCGGCGAGTATCCTGCTGGAGATCCGGAGGTGCATCATGTTGCGGGGAGTCTGTTCGCTGAGGGTACGTCGTCCCTCCACTGATACACACACATACACATACACATACACGCCATATAAGACCACCTCACTAACCCACCCGCCCGCGCAGACCTCGAGCCCTACGACGCAGAACGCCACCTAACCCTCGGCACACAAGACTCAGCCCTAACCCTCGCCTCCCTAGAATTCTCCTGGTACACCGCCGACTCGCCCCACACCGCGCCCCTATACTGCGCCCGCGGCGTCCTCCCCTACCTCCTCACAGGCAACCTCCGCGCAGCGAACAAGTTCTTCCTGCTCTTCACGTCCTCGCTGTCCAAGCTGCCCGCCCTCAACGCACAGCAGGTCTCCACTACCTCCTCCGATCTGCGCGTATACCCCTCGCTGCCGCTGCTGAATTTCCTGGGCCTCTTGTTGCTGAGCGTAGAGAGGGGCGATCCGAGTTTGTACCGTCAGCTCAAGAGCCATTATGCGAGTGATTTGAAGGATGTCACTTGGGATGAGGCGCTGGATCAGATTGGGGAGATGTACTTTGGTATCAAGATTCCGAGGCAGGGGAATCCCATGTTTGATATGCTGGGGAGCATGTTTGGTGGTGGCATGGGAGGAGGCGGTGGTGGTGGAGGTGCGAAGAAGTCTGGTGGAAGCAAAGCGCTGCCTGCTTCGGCGGGCTTGGATTGAGAGAATGAGCAGTGCGTGAACATGCTATGAGTTACGAGGTATGAGGGACGAATGGTACATAAAAAGTACAGATCCACTACATATTTGAGGATTGTGGAGAAAAAGACAAAACACGCATTTGATGTCATGCATTCATTCCGAAGTGCTTTCCTCTATACACCCACAACTCCTGGAATCGTTATTCTATGATCCCAGTTTTCACGCAAACAAGTCCAATCTATGCGGCAACAGTCTTCTCGACAAACGAGATGCCGTACTTCTCCTCCAACACCTTCATCAGCGGCTTGCAAATCTCCGGCGACATGGGGGCCAGAATGCCCCTCTCCTTGAGCGTACCGTCGAGCACCTGCTGCACGGCGACCGCACAGGGAACACCGACCAACTTGGCCATGGACGAGTAGCCCTTGGGATCACCGTAATCAGCGAGAGTCGATGTGCGAATGACCTTGCTGCCGTCCTTGTTCTCAATCTCAAACTTGTGCTGCAGCATGACAAAGTCGCGCTCGTGGGCCTCGTACTGCATCTTCTGCTCGAGTGTGGCGCAGAGGGTGTCGAGGGGGTTGCCGCGGGGAGTGATCTTCTCGTCAGAGAAGAGGCCGATCCAGCGGAGGCCGGTGATGATGCGGTCCTTCTCTTCGGTGCTCGCGAACTTGGTCTTGGAGCTGATGGCCCAGATAAGATCCTCCTCCTTGTCGCTGGTCGCGCCGATAATCTTTGCTGTGGCGTCCTTCCATGTGCGTTTCTCACCCTCCTTGAGGAAGTCTTGCGCATCGTCAGACAAGAAGCCAATGTCGACGAGGCACTTGATGTACTCGGGGAAACCCTGGTAGCGGAGGGTACCACGGATGATAGTCTGGGCCTCGGGGATGTTGTAGCGCTCCTTGTATGGGGTAGAGTCACGGTTGGGGTAAGCGACGAAAGCGTAGCCAGGGTAGATGAAGTATGGCTTGGCCTCAGCCATGAGCTCCGGTCCCTCAATCTCCTTGGCCTTGCCATCCTCGTAGTACTTGGCCGCATTCCTCAGTGCCAACAGCACACCTCGCGAGCTCCACGAGAACTTGTATCCGAGCGGGTTGTCAGAGGCCTCGGGGGCCGGGAGTCCTCCGCAGTACGACTTGAAGGACAGGATCTTGCCACCAGCTTTGTGTACCTCATCAATGGTGAGGACGGCGGACAAGTGGTCGATTCCGGGGTCAAGACCGATCTCGTTCATGACTGTGATGCCGGCTTCCTTCGCGGCAGCATCGAGCTCCATCATCGCAGGCGAGACATATGACGTTGTGACGACATCCTTCTTCTTGCGGATCGCCGACTTGATGACGGTTGCGTGGTACGTGTAGGGAATCAAGCTGATGACGACGTCGACTTTGGCGACTTCAGCGTCGAGCGCCTCGTCGTTGTTGACATCGAGCTACAAGAGTTAGCACATGAAGCATTGCAATTGGCGAAAGATAGTTTCTCACGCTGATGGCCTGAGAGTTCGGGATATCCTTGGCCAATGCTTGTGCCTTCTCGAGAGTCCTGCAAGCTGTGTTACGTTAGCAAAGTTTCTCATTCATAATGCAGACTCAGTAGCATACCAACGATGACCTTGACGCCTGACTTTCCGAGAATCTCTGCAGTTGGCCGTGTGCTTCAATCGTTAGTTCTGGTAGCTAAGTTCCATATTCATATACTTACACAAAGCCTGCACCGAGCAGAAGTACTGACCTGGACGATCATTAGCATACCATCCAACAAAATCTCATGCTTGCACTTACTTCGACGAAGCGGTGTTTGTAATCCCGCTGGACACGTTCTCGAACTTGTCTGTACTGATCAGCAATTGCTTGGTACCCAAACTTTGATCTTCTTACTGATAATGGCCTCCATTTTGTGATGTGGCAGAAAATTAGGCAAGTTTGAAAAAGTTATATCTTTTTCGATCGGAGTTCTACAAACATCGGAATTCGGCGGGGTAAGAACGCGAAACGCTCCGTCATCGCTCCGCCACCACTCCACCCAATCGAGAAAGTGGAGCGCGTCACGGTCACGTGCTGCAGGGGTGTAGAGCGCTAGGTCGAGTTCATCGTAGCTCATGCATCGCGAACGTGCCAGCAACCGCGTTTCGTGAACAAGTCAGCATTTCCGACGGAATCACACATCTTGGAGTCTAACTAGAGCTTCGATCCAGAAAATCAATCCATAAATTGAACGCGGGAGTCCGTGTTAAGCAACCATCATCATGCCGTCGGCTGTGGATCCAGGCGATGATCTGTACATAGCTATCAAACAAGTACATACACGTATTGCACTCCCAGAAGATTTAATTATTTACTGACACTATGTAGATATCCCAGTCGTCCATGGGCTCGGACTATATTGACCAGTTAATCCCCATCATGAAAGATGCCCGCTACTCAAACCAACTCCAATATGCCTTCGATTCATTCGCCAACGACCGAGAATCCGAGATTGAGCGGATATGCAATGCTAACCACCAAGACTTTGTCAGCTCAGTTGACTCCCTACTCCGGATCCGGGACCAAACTGTGCAAATGAGTGGGGAGATTCTACAACTCAACGAATCCATCCAAGAAAGTATCGAGAAGCTGGCAACACAAAAGCAAGCGCTCGTGGACTCTCGAGGCGTACGCCAGAATATCAACGAAGCGACACAGGCTCTGAATGCGTGCTTGAATGTGTTGAGGCTTGCCAATCAGGTCCAGGATATGCTGCGAGAGAAGAACTACTATGCTGCGTTACGGGCACTAGACGAGCTGCAAACGATCCATTTGAAGGAGATTAATCGATTCAAGATTGCCAGTTTGATTGAGAAATCTGTTCCGCAGACCCAGGACCAGGTCAGAGAAGCTGTCAAGAATGACCTAAGTACCTGGCTCTACCGGATTCGAGAGTCCGCACAGTTGTTGGGCGAGGTGTCGTTTTACTACACCGATATGCGACGCACGCGCAACCAGGAACGAGCTGAAGCGGATCCGCGATTCTCAAAGTTCAAGCTGAATTCGGCGATCGAGCTTGTTGCTGATGAGACTGACGAGTTTGACGTGTTGAACAATGAAGAGGCGGGTATTGAGACGGACTTTTCGCCCTTGTTCGAAGCGATGCACATCAACGAGACCCTGGGAAAGGCCGACCAGTTCAGAATGGAATATGCGGCGGATCGGCGGACCCAAAAAGATCTTATAATACCGACTAAACTAAATCTCCTTGATGAAGATTGTAGCGACCTCAGCAGCTTGTTGGAGAGCATTGCGGGATTTGCGATTATCGAAAAGGCTACCATATCGAAGACGACGAGTTTGCGACAGCAATCTGATGTGAGCGTGCTCTATTTTGGCAGTCTCACTTTTGCTGATGCGTGCACAGGTCGATGAACTTTGGGACTCGATGTGTCAGAGTGCAATCAAGCTCATCACCAGCTTCCTCCATACGGTAGAGAGCGATGAGCTACTTCTGAAGATTAAGAGTCGAATAGCGCTCTTCATGCTGACCATGGAGGTGAGTAATGGAATATACTGCAGTTTCGACTTTGGCTGATGGCCTACGCAGAAATGGGGCTACTCTGTCTCGGCAATGAACGACCTCCTACTCATACTCTTCTCCAAATACTCCGAGCTACTAAAGCAGCGATTCAGCGACGATTTCCTCGAGATTGTACAAACAGACGACTACATGCCCATGCCTATCAATAACTACGAAGAATACGACAAAGTGGTATCAGTCAGTTGGTACACGCCCGACAAAACTCGGGAAGAGCTCACGTACATTACACACCCTTTTGTTCCAAAGAAATATCCACTAAAATTATACAGATTTCCATGTGTCCTCCCATTCTCCCAAATGTACCCTCTATGCTGCATCGACATCCGGAACTTCCTCAACCAAATCTACCTCTTCTCCGACGACTACTTCCAGAAGTCTACTATCGTCGATGAAACTCTGCGAATAGTACGTCTCACACCCCACCCCATTCACCATTAGTAACTAACGTGTATTAGGCTTTAGACGATCTCCTCTGCAAACAAGTCTGCCAATCCCTCGTCGACCGCCTCTCCTCCCAATATCCCGGCCAAATCGTCCAAATCCTAACCAACCTGGAGCACTTCGAAACCGCCTGCGTCGAGCTCCAAGACCTGCTCTTCCAAGCCCGGAGCTCCCCCTCATCAAACGCGCCCATCACGCTCTCAGCAACCACGCAATTCGCAAAAGCCAAGAAACAAGCCTCAGACCGCATCTTCGAGCTCGTAAACTCCAAGATCGACGACCTGATCGAAACAGCAGACTACGACTGGATGGCCGCAAAGCCCGCCGTAGAGCCCAGCGAGTACATGCTCGAGCTAACACGCTACCTATCGAACATCATGTCCTCCGTCCTCCTCGCGCTGCCCACGCAGATCAAGGGCTTCATCTACTTCGACGCGCTGTCGCACGCCGCTGAGTCTATCCTCTCGCTCCCGCTCGACGACGGCGTAAAGCGCATCACGCCGTCCGCCGTCGCTTCGTTCGCGACGGACACGGCCTTCCTGTCCTCCTTCGTTAACAGCCTCAACAACCCCATCTTGATGGAGAATTTGGACGAGTTGACGCAGACGGCGGCACTCATGGGCACGGATAACTCGGAGGAGTTTTTCGATATTGCTCAGCGGAATAGGAAGTATGGCAAGGTTAATCAGATGAAGGGCGCGATTCTTATCGAGAAGGTGCAGGAGGGCGCGCAGGTGGCCAGTCAGAGCCCCACGGTGGCGAGTAAGGCTAGTGAGAGGTTTGGGACGTTGGGGAGTCGGTTTAAGATGGGGAGGGGGTAGAGGGGGGGTGTTACTGCTGGAGATGGCGTTTTGGGTTGTGAGCTAGCATGTAGGGAATCATTTGTATATGTTTACGAGACCAGCTCGTGTATTCTTCTCATTCGTCGTTTGCCGTGATGGAACTTGTCCGTGGCAGCCCTCTCCATATCTGCTTCGAGGCAGATTGACACACAAATCAGCTACGAGCCTGTGGCACAAGGCTCAAGCGGCCACATTCACCTCATCTAGAACTATATCTTCACCCCTCCGCCATCCTCTCCCTCATCCCCCTCATCCCCCGCCCGCCTCCACGCCAAAAACTCCTCACTCACAATATTCCCCGTCCCATCGCCCACCCTCGTAACCTCCACAACACCGCTCTTCCTCCTCAACACAACACTATACACGCCCTCCCCCTGAACCACCTCCTTAAGCCAGCCCAAAAAGCCCGCCGCGAAATTAATACACACATTCCCGTCCCAACATCCCGTCCCGCGCCTCACCATCCCCGGGATCTCATGCGTATTGAAAGTCTGCAGGCCGCGCAGAATGCCGGTCTTACTCCGAAACCCAACCACAACCTTGGGCACGCCGAGCAGGAAAGACTGCGCCCAGAACTTGAGCAGCTTGCGCTCGAACTTGAGGATATCGCGGTGTTGCTGGCGCTGCGGCGGGGGCAGTTCCTCCGTAGTCTTGAGCTCGACCCATTGCACTTGTTCGTCGGGATTTGCGGGTTTAGGCGCCAGGAGGCCGTCGACTTCGCCGCCTAGGAGTAGGCTGTGGGGGCCGAAGGAGGTGCTTACTATGGAGCAGTGCTGCGCGTGGTTGGATGTTACGGCGCGTTGGTGGACGCGGATTTGCTCTGGGGTGGTGGAGGATGGCGGGGTGGGGATTAGCGAGAGGGTTTCGAACTTGTAGCCCCAGTATGTCATCATTTCGCGGGACTGGGATTGTGGGTCTGGGTGGTGGGAGCGAGGGGGTGGGTGGGATGATTCGGCGGCGCGGGCGGCAAAACGGGAGGGGAAGTCTTCTTCGATGTAGATTGTGGAGTCGTGGAGGGTTGCGAACATGTTGAATTCGGCGAAGTGGTCGAAGGGGGCGGTTAGGATCTGGGGGGGTTAGCGTTGGCGTTTAAGAGGGATGTGGGTGAGTAGGGCTTGAAATGGAGCAGTAAGGTAAGGGCTTACTTTGCAATACCCATCCGCTCCCGGCATCAACGTACCTTCGTCATCATGCCTCTCCAGGTAACAAAATCCGCCTTGACCCTCTTGTCACTCCCCTCTTTCTGCTCCTTCTCCATCAAGGCCTGCAGCAGGCTGTCCAAATGCTGATCTTCCTTGTCCTCATGATGCCGGAACGTGTCGAAGCCTTCCTTCAGGTCCGCGCCCAGTGGTGGTGGAACATAGTAGTTTATGCTCGACTCATCATCCCGATATTCATGATTGTCGTCGTATGAAAAGTGTGCGACTTCGCGAGGCCGCTTTATAGTTGCTGAGGCGCCGTGGAAACGGTGGAGCGGCTGGATAGGGAAGCGGTGGGTTTCATGTTGCGATGGAGAAGTCGGAGGTTGAACATATTGTTTTGGTGCGGGAGCTATTGGCTCATGGACTGTGGGTTTCGGAGCTGGTATATCTGCTTGCGGAGGAGCGCGAGTCCTTGGGCGTTTCCTGGGAGGCGATGCGTCTTCTGCGTCCGGGGTTGGGCTTGGTGGTTTTGACGGGAGATTTAGGGCAGCAGATACAGCAGCCGGATCAACGTCTTGTCTTTGTTCAGACATTGGTGTGCTGATTGTGGTGTTGGGAGGGGGGAAGTCCGGAGTGATTGGTGGGTTGCTCGTCCTCATGCGGGGATGCTGGTTCGCGATTTCCGATACGTCTGAACACTGCAGGCAACTTGGAGGCGCGGGAGGTAACTAGAATGAACATGTCAGTACTTTGACACGTGAAAAGACGCGTAAACTCACCTCGATCTGTGTACGTGAGCTGATGGTGCTGTTCGCGTCGCCGCAACACTCCCCCGCGAAACCTACGGCACGCCAAACGAACCAGTCTCACCATATACCAAACATCAACACACCTCGACCGCGACTAGTTCGATCTTAATTCACCCAAACCGGTTCCGATATCCAAACGCCTCGCTTTCACTGTCGGCCAATATGTCCCGACCTACCACAACCATGGACTCCTCCCTTCGCCCTACACGTCCACCACCCACCTCCCGTCGCAACCTCTTCCACGCCTCGTCCCGGCGTCCCCACCCCACCGTTCGCGCCGACACATCAAACATATTCCAGCAACCAATGGAAGACGAGCTCGTCGAGCGTCTGCCGAGTGGCGACTACACCGTTTATGCGCCGCAGACTGCGTATGCGCATATGGCCATGGCCGGGAATGAGAATGAGGGCGATGAGGCCGGTACGTCTTGAATCACATCAAGGAAGAAGGGACAGTTGTGAAAGGGTGGGGCTGACAATTCGACAGAGCATGACAACCAGATGATCGAGCTGTATGGGCAGAAGAATCCGCATTGGGATGCTAAGGCTGTGGAGGACGAGATTCGGGCTGCGTTGAAGAGGAGTTTGAGGGAGAAGGTGGCTAGTCTGGAGGACGATGGGTGGATGTTTCAGGGGGAGAAGGAGAAGAAATGAACATGTGGAGATATGTCAGAGTCGTTGGTGACGAAGTGCTAATTCTGGTTTTATGATACCCCGTTGGCTTGCATGGAGTAGTATTGATACCGTCACGAGGATTTGGGTTGAAAGGGACGTGTTCTGAGTCTTCTTTCTTGAGTTTACTAGTTTCATTGACGACTCAGAATTCAGTTGTTAGCAGCACATCTTCCTGTTTGCTATATTGCAACTCGCTGGGACATTGAACGTAATGTGACATATTTGGCGACTAGAATTTGATTTAAGATGTGTTTTGGAAGGGAAGTACTCGCGTTACAGCACCCAGAGTTTCTCATGTTACTATCGACCCTTCTGGTTTGGAGATGCGAGGTGATATAGAAGAGCATATTCAGGTCAAAATTCATGAGTCCCTACATGCATGTAACGAACGACTGAAATGTTGCCCCAGTGAGTCATATTGAATAGTTACCATATGGTTTGTTCTGTTGTACATGTGGTCTTACGTATATTTTCTATCAAGATTTGGCCTCATGCGAACACATAATACCTTATTTGACTCATTGCTCACTCCTCCACGTATATACGTGGAACTGACAGACTGTCTATTTCCACCTCTTGCCTACTGGCGGGACTGGCAGAGGGGAATGAGAAGCGAGCAGCCTTTTATTATAGAGAAACACAAAGACAGGCAATGCAAAGAGTAACACAATAACGCAAACCTACCCGTCCCCATACTACCTCCCTGTCTCGAGCGCTCCCCAGCTCATCGACGCCGAGCCTGGATGCGGTGACGAGCATCGAGCATTGGACACGACAAGCTCATCGCCGCACATATAGACACCGACACCCTCTTCATATCAGTAAAACAGTCGCCTCCCTGTTCCAACCAAACATCTACCTGAAGCGACCACGTTCGATATACAGAGCTTTCTTCGCTCGACACGCGCGCCCACGTCTCGTTGCGTCGATACGCAGCCGTGTCCGGAGATCAGAAAGCTTCCTAAACTCCTTCACGATCAAACAAGTAGCAGCAAACCATAATCACGGATCGAACATCCCCGAGATATGCTGTAGTCCCTAACTACCGTAAGATTGTTCACTCGTCTCCGCGACTGCACATGAGCCCGCGAATCGGACGCGCCCGATAACAAGGATGCGGGAACTCGTACCGGAGGACACTGAATTAGGCTGTGTATGTTTGCGAGAGACGGAGAGAAACAAAACGCTGCTAACAGATGACACAGAGTCAGTCGGGGTGCCAGCAGCCCCGAACTTCAAGGTCTTGCATCCTACTGCGTGTCCGCTGACTGTCCAAAAACTCCGATACGGTTGGATGGGAGTTTTTTCTACCGGTCTATCGAGAAGGTAGTCGAGCGCACAAGTACTACCATCGTCAGAGTCGCAGGCCATGTGCACTGGTCGGAGGTGTGCCAGGAGTTCATACACAGGCAGATCATAGAAAGGGAATGAGGCACAAGGAACGAGAGACGGCGAGCGGTTAACAGGATATTGGCTGGCATTGGCCGGGATTCAGTTTTCCTGGTGATATTGTTCGGTCTCTGATTCGCTTCGATTGGATGTCCGTGGAATGCATGATAACTTTCTGAGAGGACAAACTTGGCAGCCCCTGAACATCCTTACATAAGAGAATATATGACCTTGTGGTCGCTAGATGCTGGAAGACAAGGCCTTGGAGACGATTCCGCTCTCGAGAACCGGATGAGGTTGTCAAAGTGGAGAAACAGTGCTGAGAAATGAGAGTGAATGAAGAGGAACATCTCAAGACTATGTTGAAAAGACGCAGGAATCCGAAAACTTCTCTCATCTTCGCGCCCAAATGATGCCTCTTCAGTGCCCATCATTTAGACCCCAAATCTGCTTGATAGCAATGTGTGAAGGCTTGGCAATGACCGGCTGGCAATGTGTTGTAGAAAGTGAAATCGGCTTCTCAAAACCCAGCAACTCAACGATCAGCCCCACTTTCTTTAGATCTCAAGAACATACATCCACACTGCGACCTTATTCTCCATACCCTCACCATGTCGTCTTACGAAGACGAAGAGGCCGACATCAACGACTTCCCGCTCCCCGGCGACTCGGTGCGCGCGCGCATCTGCTACTACCTGTTCCGCGGTCTTGAGCAATGGCTCATAGAGATATACGACATGATGAATGCGCTTGTGCGCTACATCGACGAGTTCGAGGACGTGATAGTGCTGGCGGGGTTCGAGGTGGTGTTGCTGGCTCCAGTCATCCAGTTTAGATGGCTCGTCGAGGAGCAGGCTTTTGTCGAGGCGGCGATGGAGCGGATGAGGGAGGCGTATGAAGACATGGCCGCCTGGCACAGTGAGTTGGTCTGTCTTGTTACTATGATGCAGTGGGCTAATGTGATTCAGCGTATCGTCCTGCGTCCTGAGCGCCGGTGATGCGCCTTTGTCTCTGTGTCGTGTTGATGACGCCAACCGCTTTGGCATGTCTTGCCCTCTTGTAGGCTTTTGGCCCCTTCATCACCTCCGCGAACTGTGCTTACTCTAGATAGTCTGAATTCGGCAGATGGGTCTGTAGCTGGTCCAGTGTACACGTACAAGCTCCCATAGCTACTACCACGACGGTCCACGAATCTCCGACCCCCACTCACCCCGCTTGACGAATACAGGTTGACAATCGAGGCTCTTGGAAGTAAGGAGATTTCGGGAGGAAACTGGGCATACAAAGGCGTGGAGAATACAGCATAGATAGAAGAAACAAAGCTTTTTTCTTTTGAGATCCTTGAATCCATCGCCTTCACTGTTGCCGTATTGCAATTTGAAGTGCTCTTAGTCGTAGTCTGCAAGAAGTGAGCACCACAGGTCGTTTACAGACTCAAAGTGAGCTGAAGATCTCCAAAGCTGCTTTTCGTGTGCCATGTGTCAGTGTCATATGTCTTCGTGCTGCCACTGCTGCCGTAACAAATGTCATTCCGTGGTTGTGTGGTTCGTGTCTATCTCGCAGTTGCGGCGGGCGGAACTCATCACCGCTGCTGCCGCAAAGCTCAGCCGGCTGTATCTTCACTGAATGCGTTGGAGAAGGTGTACAATGTGCGTCGAATTCTCTGCGCAGCTTCGAGATGCCGTGAGGCTTTCCGCTGTTGCACCACTGACTTGAGGAGTGCCGGAGGTTCGTATGACTCCGCCTGGCTGCAGCACGCTTCAGGCAACCGGTGACAGCTGCCATCCCTTTGTCTGCTCTACTGAGGGTCGAATGAGTGCGTTTTACTCGGTCGCTGGAGCACGTAGTTGTTACGCTGGCCTGTGTGAGGTTTCTCGCGCGCGTGCAATGGCCTTGTGACTCTCGTATTCCGTCTCTCTGCCCCTGGCAGCGAGTCCCCCGAATCTTTCAGACACGTTTTGTTCTTGCTAGCTTGATGCTGATGCTCTCACGCCCCCTCGTGAAGCAGCTTGCAGTGTCTTGCGTGTTTCAACCTCACGTTGCGGCCTGAGCTGCAGCGCGCCTTCCCAACGCAGCTGCTCTCGAGCCTCGCTTTCCACGCTCGGGAAAGCATGCACATTTGCTAGTTATCATGGCAGATGGCTGCTCATGCAGGAATCACGCGATTGACAGTCAGAGCCTCGTGGAGTGCTTGCTCTTGCCTCAGACGTTTAATCTCCATGCCCTCATTCTTGCATGCCCCTCACCCTCCCACGCCTCTCACGCCACTCTGCTCACCCTCTCACCCGGGTCATCCTCGGAGAACCTCTTTCCTGTACGGCATCCCCCGCAGCGGTCTCCCGGGCGGTGAGTACTATGGGGGCGCTAGAAAGGGGCGGAATCGTGGGCCCCACAGGTTCACGATAGCTGGTTTGGCGATGTGATGGTGGAACACCAAAGCAAAAGATGGCCTTGCAGCTCGAGTGCACGCTCAGCCATCTTGTCTGGCCACAGCCCTGAATAGCTGAGGTTGTACAGCTCAACGAGGGCTTTCTAACGGTGCTACTTTCGAGAGACCTGCCCTGGCCGTTCTCGAGGTCCCAAGGGCCGAGGGTAGAGAGCTTGTTCGACATGCACTCCCACATCTCGCTCAGGAACTCCACCACAGTGAGCATTCCATGAGCCTGGTGAGTGATGAAGACACTGGAAGAACTCCGGGTATGGCAGAATCGAGAAGAGGAATAGCGTTGTCATGTGAGGCCAAGCCTCCCTCCTCCATAAGAAGACGGCCTCCCTCGCCCTTTCCTCCTCTTCACAACTCCCAACTTGGTTTCCGACTCTTTTCTGATACCTGAGCTTGACCATCACTCATCTTCTTTGGCCACCACCTTCATCTCATCCATCGTTGTTGTCATCCTAGTACAACATAGTTCAGCATTCGTTCATCATGTCTCACCACTCACCTCAGTCTTCTGCTGGTGTTGGGCCTTCCTCCAGCCCCTATGGTGGTACGGACCCGACCCTCTACTCGCCTGAGCTTGTCCGCAACCATCGTTCAACCACGCTTCACCATCGCAACAACCTCAGCCAGGTCACCGTCATTCCCAATGGCCAGCAGGTCGACAACACCTCGGACAAGTACATCAACATCCTTCCCCTTGCTGTCCCTCATGTTCAAGGTGCCTTCGTCAATGAACTTTCTGAGAACGACAAGTCATACATTTCTCGCTTCCAGTTCGTCTCTCAGCTTCCTGACGGTACCAATGCTGGTCTCGATTCCGAGCATGAGCTGTTCAGTGTCCAACATCAGATGAAGCTTGTGAGTACTCCAGTCATCCTTCCATCTCTTGCCCCTTGCTGACTGCCATCCAGTACCAATGCTTCTCCAACTGCGTGCCTGTCTACGCTCGAGGTGTTCATCTCCGCTTTGATGACCTTCGTGAGGCTGCCGAGGCCAAGGACATCCTTGAGCAGCATGGCTTCACTGTTGACTGGATCTCCAGCTATGAGTACGCACTCGCCAAGGCCCAGGACACTGCTTGCCTCAATGAGTTCGAGGGTCAGATGAAGCTTCCTATTCTCATCGTGCCCAACCCGAAGCATGATGCCTGGGAGTTTACTCCTGCTGATCTCACTGACATGACTGACACCATTGAGCGTGTTGCCGGTGCTTTTGGTACTGTTCGCAACTGCATCCACGTCGACACTGAGGACACCAAGATGCTTCTGATCTTCCGCATTGAGTTTCACTCTGTCGACGCTGCTCACCGCGCTGTGTACAGCTTGCAGTCTGATCCGATCTGGGATGCATCCAACATCGTAAGCAGCTCGTCTCATTCATGTCATTTCACCCCTGCTGACTCACTTCCAGAAGGCCTACCAGTGGGCTACTGTTGATCCTTCAGCCTGGTCTGGAGAGCGTGCTGCTAACTCGCCTCATCGCACCAAGCCTCGCGTCGACGATCAGGGCCGCTTCGTTGGCTTCCGTGCTGCTCCAGTGCCTTACTACGGCTCCGCCTCTGGGTACCAGCGTCATCCTGCTGATCAACACAACCGTGTTCGTCGTGAGCGCATCCTTGACGGCAGCGATGTTCGCACCACGATCATGTTGCGCAACATCCCCAACAAGATGGACTGGGTGAGTCACTTCATCTACACCTTTCTTTCTTCTTCGCTAACCACTGCCATAGATGTCCCTCAAGGCCATCCTCGACGAGGTCTGCTTCGGCACATACGACTTCCTCTACCTACGCATTGACTTCAAGTCTGGCTGCAACGTCGGTTACGCATTCATCAACTTCGCAGATGTCGGCGGCATGATCGCTCTCGTCGACTCCATTGAGTCTCGATGCTGGCGCGCATACAAGTCCACCAAGGCCGCCGAGGTCTCCTACGCCACGATCCAGGGTCGTGAGGCTCTTGTTCAGAAGTTCCGCAACTCTTCGGTCATGCAGGAGACTCCGTTCTGTCGTCCTCGCTTGATCCTCACTTTCACCGACGCTGATGCTGCTGGCAACCTTCGCTCCACCGGTACCGAGCAGTCTTTTCCTCGTCCTGACAACCTCTCCAAGCTCCAGCGTTCCATGGACTCGGCTCGTTCTGTCGGTCTCTACCCGCCTCACGGATACTCTTCGATCACCGAGCACCGCAACCGCACTAGCGTCTACGACCGCGGCACTCCTCGCGACATGCTCCAGGCTGCAATGAACTTCGCTCGCCAGCGTGCTGCTCCTGTCCCCTTCCAGGGCCTGACCGAGCTGAAGAAGCGCGACATCGAAGTCTGGTACTCATACGCCTTTGGTCAGGGCCACTTGGGCTACATCCCATTCGACTTCATTCCCATGACGCACGTCGCCCAGTACTTTGCCGACACCGCTCCTTCGCCAGCCCCTGTCAACAACTACCCCGGCGTTATTGGACGCGCTCCAGCTCCTCCGACTCTTGCGGGCATGATTGCCAACGGTGCCACTGGTGTTCCTCGTGGACGCGCTCCAGCTCCTCCGATGCTTGCCAACATGATCGCTAACGGTGCTACTGGTGTTCCTCGTGGACATGAGTCTGGCTCTGCAACTGCTACGACTCCTACCCGCCGCTCGCGCACCAACGGCAGCCCGGCTGATCCTCGCTCTGCTGGTCGCGGTACCTCTGAGTTCATGAACAGCCGCTACATGTAAGAGCATCATCCACGTTGACCGATACCTCGCTTGCTCTTGCCTCCTTCTGGCTGCGCAACGTTGTATTGTCTTTTGCAGATGAATCTTGCATCACAAACATGGCAACTCCTGTCTTTGTTTCGGTTTTCTTCACATGGTTACCAGGCCAGTCTTCTCGGTAGAATTTCTCTGGTATACACGACTGAGTGTGGTATGTTTTGGCGCGACTGCAACGATGGACTGGATCTGAGCTGGATGGTGGGTTGCAGATTGATGATCTCTGAGCCAGCTAGTGGAGTCCACTGATGGACCTTTTCAGGTCATATGTAGTCCAGATCTTCTTTTCTTTAGATTGAATAAAAGAGCATTGCTCAACAACTGTTCCTTTCTCTTGCTTCGTGGTTTGACATGCTGATCTCATTGACTGCTGATATGTGCTCATCTTGCTTCCGTGACATTGCTTTGCTCGATGCCTTCAATGCCCTTTGATCTTGAGGAAGCTCACTCCCTCAGTATGAAGCATGAAGTACGAGACACCACTTGCACAACGAATCAAATACAGAACTCCAGAGACCATATACTTGATGCTGATGTCTTGATGATCGTGTTTGCTTGAGGGGCTTTGGCTGCTCATCTGCTCTGCCAGCTTTGAGCGCATCATCGACTGGGGTGTTTAGATTGACGAATAGAATTTTCAGGGGCTCGAATATGGCCGCAAGCAGTGCCTTCCAAAACGAGCATCTAGAACCACCTAATACGATGGGGGGGAAGAAAGCTGAAGATATTAGACGGAGAAGGCAGATACAAGCCCGCCGTCGCTCAAGCAGTTCAGACAAGCTGTCTCAGTGGCCATATGCTTCAGCTGTGATAAAATGCGAGTCTTGATCTTGCATGAGACACATGATGGGGGTGTGCTAGCATGAGAGCTTATTCGGACATCTTTCGAGCTTGGAGTACAGGGTTGGAGATGCTGAAGTTGTGTGACGCATGCATGATGCATGCTCAAACAGCCAGCAAGCAGATCGAAGCAGCATATTATTCCGCAATATATATCCTCTACTCTGATACACGTCCCCATCAAAGTCCAAGACATGTATTTTGAAAGGATATGCATACTCCTTGACTCCACCCAACGTAGCCCGTCCACATACTCGTCTGATAGGCTTTGTTTTGGCGATATACGTACGCATCAGTAGCCGTTCTCAGATCTCGGTAAAGAGCTCACAAACTCGGATTGGGTAAAAGTCTTGATGTTGAAATACCCAACATCATGTCGGCATCAAACATCGTCTTTCTGGCGCCTGCACCTCTGATTCTCCTATGAGGATCGCGATCTGGATGGCTGCGTACGTTTGCATGGCGCACGGGCCGTTCGAACTGGTGATGCTCGCCGTGGTGTTGCAAAGGACGCCCTGACAATCAACAACCAACCTCACATTACCGCGTATTCTTTTCTTGTCTCTAAGGGCTTAGGACTCTTCTTCTTTGATGCTCGATTCGGCAAGCAATCTTGAGTCGCCTCGCGCTCGGCTCGACACTTCGCCGTCTGTATGTGCAGCTGCTTCGCAAGGACTGCAGCGGCCTTCGCAGTTTACCGCAACTGACGTCTCTTCTTTCGTACTGCGCGTTTCAAGCTACAACGTCTTCTCTTGCGACTTTCCAAGCCAGGATTCCGTGTTGGGCCTCTCCGGCGTGCGCCCTATGATTGCTACGCGCAGGGGGTTCTGTTTGCTCAACGGCGAAGGCAAGCTCCTCCGCAGCACTACCTCTTTGACCCAGACAACAGCATATACAACACGCGATGGCCTTCTATGGTATGCGTTAAGAGCCTCTTGAGCAGATCTCTACACTTCTTCTGCGTCCCACAGCCACCATCATCGAAGGCGGGGTGAGCTTGACATCCCAGTACCTCGCGCCAACTTAAAAGGTAGTTTGAATGCGAACAACTGCTCCGGAATGATAAAAGCTCTCTGCTGACACCGATAATGCTGGACAGATATCACGGCTGCAACTACTCCTGCAGCGCGACACGTTTGCTCCTTCTCCTTCTACGCATCCCACCCCGCTTCCGTTACGCAACCGCGAAAACCTGATAACGGGTATGTGTGACACAAGTCAACGCGACCCGAGTTACGAATGCTAGAATCCTTCTCGATCGCTCGACATCAAAAATAAGGGCCACAAGATCAGACTTTCGAAAGACACCCCCCAGAGACAGACGACAGTGATGGCGTCTGCATACCATCTTGGGACAAGAAGTGATTTCTGGTAATGCTCTTGAGCGCTTGGAGCTTCAAGCTTACAACGGCTCGCGTTGTAAGCCTCTGCTTGATAGTTCCTCGACAGTGAGGGACGTTCAAAGGCAGACCAACACCTACTTCGATACATCGATGGCTCTGTTTAGCGAGACCCATAGTGGTGCCCACAACGACTTGCCGGATGTCATGGATATCTCTTCTCGTACAAAGTAGGCGTATTGGATGGTGGTAGCTGGCCAAGATGCATTCGGACGTCAACCCAAATCGGTTGCTCCAACCCGTCGCAACCTCTAGGACGATCTTGCCGGCGAAAGTAGGCGATGAGAACCAGAAAATTCTTCCCAAGTCCAGGCGATCCGACGGGCTGTGTGGTCTGACCGAGGCAATCCAGGCTATTGGAAAGGTGAACACGAGACTGTTTGGTGGAAGACGACACGCTTGATCTTCGGTTCATTGAATGCTACTCGTGCAACACAAGCTGTATCGTATTCGAAAAGCAATCCAGGAGGTATAAAGGCTACCAACGAACTAAGGTCATGTTTCTCCACTACGCCTAGTCGCCTTCAGCATGCCGTGTTGGAAGCGCGCAAGTCTCCGGCTATTTCCGTGATATACGGAGCGGGATGAGAAGATATCATCAAGTCCTTTCCAAACGAACCCCTTGTCCTGCCGTGCAAGAATCGTTTCATGACGTATTGACGTTGGTGTCGATATGCAAGCCGGTAATCCAGTAGCTTGGCCTAACAGGAACGCGCCTTGAATCGGACCGCCAGTCGCGCTATCGAACACCGACTGATACCGGCTTTCTTAGGTCCCAAGAAAATACCGTTACAAATCGAATGTGCTGCCCCGGAGCTAGACACGACATCGAAAATGTACACGCTCATGCACAAACGGACCTTGGCGGCGATCCTGCCGTAGGAAGCTCGCAACGGGTACCCGTAAAGGCTTGTTGCAGCAAGCTTTGAAATCCCGTGCTCTTTTGATATGTCGATCAAAGGTCCGGTACGTTTCGAGTTGTGTCGGACGGGATAGTAGGTTTTGGGCTACCAGCATGCTTTGGCCGTGCCTTACGAACGGCATGAAACCACATTGCAGCTTGTTAGTGTCTTCTAAGGCGTTGGTCAATGTACGGTGCCATGATGTCAGCCGTTGATGCACCCGCTGATCGCAAGAGTCGAACACAGCTCGCTCGATCATCGAGTAGTGAGAGGCAAAAAATCAGAAGCCACAGCTCCCAGCATCCTTAGTCGTATCATACTCGGAACATGGTATCAAAGATTATCTTGCCGAAGTGCTGCATATGCATTTTGCAACCACTCCCAGAAGACAGTCGAGTAATCTTCCTATACCGGAGCCCTGTTAAGTCGAAACAGGCCATGAGAATGTGCGCCTCGTCAGCAATCGACCCACCTTTTCCGCAGAGATATCGCTATCTTCGCCGTTCTGTTTGTGTTTTGACCTGAGTACGCGTCGCAACTTGGTGTCGCTCCAGAGAGGTCTCAGACATTTGCACGGTCTATGCAACCTCGACATAGACAGAGGCAGGAAGATGCATTTTAAACGCTCTTGAATGACTGAAAGTCATTGCATATGCTCACATGAGAGCACCAATTCGCGGAAAATCCAAAGACTCAATCCGGTATTACGAGTCTGACGTGGTCCACAGTCCATTGTGCTCGGTATCGCTTCTCTCATCATGACTACTGTTCCTCCCTTGTAGATGATCGTGTGTCTGAGATACAGTACGATCACTGTGGTACCCCTCGAGAATTTGGGAGGGCCAACGTGTCGTCCACCATCGCAACATGCCCTTTGTTCTGCATACCAAGGCATGTTGCATATGGAACTGTATCATGGCTTTCCTAGCCCGGCTGCCGCCTTGGCTGTAGTCGCTTTCGAAAGGTGTCGAGCCGCTCGCGCAGCATATTGGGGCGGCATGCAGTTCCTGCGTGCAGTAGCTGGGATATGACGATCATAGGCTAATAGCCAGAGGTTTCATTGCTGACAGACGGTTCGAGACATCGAGCGTGTCGTTTTGTTTGTTGTTCGGTCGGGTCTTCGCCGCCCCCCGCCTTCGTTGTGCGACGAAGACGCGTCCTAGAAAAGTCAGGCAAACGAGACGCTGCTGTCCGAAAAGCATTGACTGTGAGCGAGAATGTCACAAACATGGCAAGCGAGCACTCATTTCCCACCTTGTCTGTCTGCGCAGGTTGTGCTTCTCCGTCGGATGTAGAGGCCAGCTCCGCAATATAGCCAGAGCTGTTCGGGGCCGTCTTCGCGGAATGGCACTTCCCAGAGCCTATAGTGTCCAGAGCCTGTAGTGTCCATCAGGACGAGTGTTCTTGCCATAATCGATATTTGCGTGCAAGAAGCAGCAGGTGTGGCAGCTTAGAGGTATCGAGTCTGCTCCACAGCGTGTCGTCTCCGCGACGCCACAGGCCTCATTACTCCTTATGCGTTCTCGCAAGGTCGTCAAGAGCACGAAGATACTATTCGCATACCTTATGACGCGACTGACCTTCGTGCGAAAGCGGAAGCAAGGGTGGTTTATGAAGGGAGGATCAATCAGTTGCAAATGTCTCCGCAAGACAACCTGAGTAGCCCGGTCGCTCCTCCCCTATACGATTTTCCTCGTTCATTTTCATGCTTGCGGACTATGCAGACCGGGAGACGGATGTTGGCAGATGAGTTGTCGATGTGGTGTCGGGTGGTAGGGTGCAGCCGCTCACGAAAGCTCAAGCGAAGCCAGGGGACATTGAAAGGCCGCCAACATCTCCGGGTCTACCACATACGTTGCAGCCCATTGTACGATATGGAAACATCGTGACAAAAGTGATACAACTCTCGGGATCACAAGGTCGAGCTTGATGACACAACGATTCATCGACTCAAGTTAGGTCGAGGGACTTGGCATCATTTTTCGACGAGCGAGGAGTGCAACTTTCGACAACCCTAGTCCGATCTCCAATCCCCACTAGTCTCAATCACACGGCACGCGACATCAGTCCAAAGATTCGCAACCCACGAGACTGGATAGCTACAGCCTCAGCGTCTTGGTTTTGGTACGACTGAGCCTTGTGATACTCGCTACAGATCATACGTCGATCTCACGCACCACTGCGTCACCAAAAGCAACGCGTAAAGGGCTTCTCGCCTCTGTATTGTTACACAGTACTATCAACATCTCACATCAGAATGAGAAGAGTGAGCTGAGCATAACTCGAATCGGGATTGCAAGAAAGGGGGAAGGTAACGCTGCTGCCCCCGTGCTGTCAGAATTTTCACCGCCGCTTTCCACGCGTTATTCGCGATCCTCTCCTGAACATCACAAATTCAACATTCACTTCTCAAATACGTCTTTATCTATCAGAGAGGATAAGGAAGAGGGCATAGACTTAATCGGGATCTGTTCGTTCGTTGTTGATATAAACGACGTAACGTGTGTCAAGTAATAAGGACATCAAGTCGCATCTCTCGAGTCTTTGCTTTCACGCTGCGTCATCAACGCGTCTCCCCTCTTCACCTTCATCATTCCCCAGAAGCGCAGATATTTTCGTCCCCCACCTCCCAAGGCATGCGACTGACTGTCTCGTCCACTATCAACACTACAACCAACCCAACGCCGGGAAGTTCAGCACTCTGACGGCACGCTGCTCACTTCGGAAAACCCATCACAATCAGAAGCTCCTCCAATCGCCGCATACGCACATCTTCCGCTTCCGCACACGGCAACCAACAGCACCTCAATATTTTCGCGACCCCACATCCAACGGCTCATCACCTACCCAGAAGCCTTCAGGACCCTTCACGCTGCCACTCTGCCAACACATAAACCTCCATATAATCCTTCAACTATATATAACCATGGCTGTGAAATACTTCGAGTCTGTCACCAAAATGCCTGCTCCAATCCCCGCGACCGCTCTCCTCGCCGCCACCCAGAACGACAAGGCGATGCTTCTCGATATCCTTGAGTTGCTCAATAAGCTCTTCGCGCGCAACAGCAACCAGCACCGTCGCTCCCACTGGTGGAAGAGCCTACACCAGTTCCGAAAGCAGCTCGGCCTCTTGCTCTCGGAAGTGGAGACCGGCAAGAAGAGCGAGCGCCCGGAGAAGATTGCCGCCAGGTTGACGTTCTGGGACGAGAAGTATATCCATCAGTGGTACTAGTAAGTGTTGTTCCTCCAATCTAATTTTCTTTGGCTCTTCGACATAGTTACGACAAATGCTAATTGTGTTGAAGCCAGTTCTCTCAGCTCACTGCAGTGGGACCGTTCGCCATGCTCGGTTTGGTGATGATGGCGTCTGTTGCGCGCGTGTGCCGCATTTGCGGTATCACTGCTGTTTATGAAGAGATCGGTTCGGGCGACATCAAAGGTATTCTGAGCGCCAATGACGAGTTGGCTTTGGCTGCCGAGTTTGGTGGCGTTCTGGATGCCGGGGAGGAGTGGGACGAGGGAGTTGTGATTTCGAGGGAGGAGTAGGAATTGAGGACTTCTATGATGTACACTTGCGATGATCATGCCTGCATAGTGGGCGTTTTGACGACTACGATACCAGCATCTGGAGATGCGTTTAGGTTAGAGACAGGCGTTCTAGGAGTCCTTCAATACACTTTGTGATGATCATCTGAACTTCTATCACGCTTTTAAGATCTCCATGTACTCATGTAACCTCGCTCCTTGCTCTCCCATCACACCCTGAGGACCTCCGGTCCTACCCTTTTCCCCCAACATACACCACCTCTCCGCTCATCCCCTCTTTCACCCATCTTGCAGCTACCTGTCCCGTCTCCTCGCCCACCTCCCTCTCCCTATCTTTCCCCCTAACACACATCCCATGATCCGCACCCCTCACAACAACAAGCTGCGACACTGCCGCCATCTTCCCTCTCACATCCTCCAGCGGATCCAACGGACACATGGCATCTCTCTCCCCTATGATAAACAGGACATCCACGTCCTCTGATAAATCCAGTAGAATCTCATCCCGGATGCCTTTCGGTCCTTTGAGCGGGTAGGAAACAAGAATAAGCCGTACCTTTGGTCTTTCATCTGTCTCTTCGATGGTTTCTGTGAGAAAAGACGTGGCGGCCATAACAGCGGCGCGCGCACCCATACTTCTGCCTCCGATGAGAAGCCCTCGAGCGCCTATCTTCCTCTTATTTGTTCGGGGCTTTGCGTCTGCATTCTCCTGCTCACAGGTTCGGATATGCGATATACACTCGTGGAATGCTTGCACCCTCGCGGGAAGGTTCGAGGAGCCCTGGAACGCGAAGACGGGCAGGGAGGAGGAGAAGCCGGCGCAGAAGTTCACGACTGCGGGAGCGGAGAGTGTGCCACCGGCACCGTGGGTGAAGATCAGTGTGTCTAATGAGTCCGGTGTTGACGGGTTGGAACATTTGTAACGCTGGCATTGTATTGGTTTTTTCACAAGTGTTGAGGTGATGGTGAGGGTTGTGATGTTGTTGGGTAGGGTGGGCTCGATTTGTTTGACGGGATTAGACTCGATGTTATCACTTGCATCACTGGGTTTCGGAGTCGTCGTAGTGACGTGTTTGGTTGATTTGAGCTGGCTCTTTGCTCTCGAGGTGCTTGGCTTTGCTACAGGAGAATCGCCTTTTGGACCTTGTTCCGTCGACGGATTTTGTCTTGTTGAAGAGCGTGTGACACGCTTCTTGGGCTCTGGGGATAATGTTGGCAAAGAAGGTCTGCGACGCTTTGGTGGCATTTTGGCAGTATGCTGGTCGCACACGCTCTCCTCTGTTGGATCTCAAAGACGAGCTCTCGGAGAGCGGCCCGTGCCAGGTCGGATGAGTCTTCAGAATTGATGTAGAGGTGAACAAGGGACGTGCAGTCAATGCGCCCACCAGTAGCAGGACATGAAGACGTGTAGAAACAGTTTCGTCGACTCGACGATAGATGCGATCGCGGTAATGTTGAGGATGGCGCTTCATCCCCAACCACTTCCCAACCACTCCCCTACGGATCAATTGATCGCACTGCTTCAACAGGGCTCTCGAATCATTCAACCAAAACACACTTCTATTTAGTTTCATGGCCTTCGGAATACTTTACAAAATATTAGCGCAAATCGAGCGACTGAAAAATCTACGATTGACGTAACGGTTCTTTGACGAAGTCAGAAAACGCGCAACGAAGCGTTCAGACAACAACTGGACATCCAGTAGACTTGCAAGCACGTTTTTCTTGGTAGACAGTGAATGCTCAGACACGTGTCCAGGAACATCCAAGGATCCACGTAGTGCGTGACGCAGTCGCGTTTCAGCTGATAACTTTGATAAACGAAATATTCCCTGCGCATATCGATTCCGTCCTTGAACTTGAACTTGAACCTGAGTTCACTGAGTCAAGAACGAATAACAACCCAGTTAATGATAAGACAGCTATGGTTTCGATTTCGAGCGACGAAGAACCAAGACTGCCAAGGTAGGAGTGTGAGTATTTCGCAGCCTCGCGATGCCCCCGGAGTTTCCACAGGCGAGCCGAACTGACGCCAGTGCCTGCACACTACCACGGACGCTCGCTCTCAGCATGCTGGATAAGGTTCCAAATGCTGTTCCTGACAGATCGCAAACCATACCACGGTTTCGACCAGGGATCTTCCCCAAGTGCGAACTAGCACAGAACCATGAACGAGGGTGACGTCAGCACCTCGTATCCTGTCCTCTGCATGTGGCTTGCAAGGATCTGAGATAATCTACGACGCCTCGAAAGTCGACTGAAAAGTGGTACGATAGTAAGAATGGTACGAGGGACATATTAGCATCGATAAAGATCGGATGTTCGTGGATGCATCATCCAATACGGAATTCACGACCCAAGGCTGAGCAAATGGCGTCGACGCCTTGTGAATGTCCTGCTGAGCTGAGCTATTGCAGTCCAGAAATGAACGCAGAATACCTGGTTTACCTTGAGATTTGCTGTTAGTGTAAGGGAAATGGGAAAGACGCCAGAGTCGCAAACAGGCCAGGCTATGTAGCACGTGACGCTATCCGAACTACGTCAATAGCATCGACAAAATGATGCATGTGATCGATCATCAATTCAATCCGGAAACATGTTTGGAAGTCCACCTATTCTTGCAAGGTAAAAAATAGCCCTGTGATCAGAGTTACATGGGGTCTCGTCTCATCTTGAATCCCCATGTCACTCGTCACCTCTCATCGATGTGCATAGATGTCGAGAGCAACATATCCTGGAATATACTAGCTTATGCGATAGTGTTGGCAGGATTGGTAACCTCGTATATTCAAACTCACAGCCAATCCGATAGACGGCTCCCTCACATACGCTTTTTGCCCGCGGACACAACCCTTTGTGACAAAAAATGGAATGCTTTGGTTTGGGTGTTTTGTACTGTTCACGTGAGCGAATAAATGAAGAAACACGATCATTGCAAAATCAAGTTTGAGACGAAAAAGCTCGACTGGTACCATGCAAATGTGCATGTGAAGAATTACACTATGAGGTACATGGATGTAGATAATAGTACACGGGTATGTAGGGTTGTGTAGACGATATAAGCAAGATAAGAAAAGTCCACGAAGTTCACGGGGGTATTCTGTACATAAAGTGTTACTTTTCGTGGGTTCTTGGAATGAGCAGACATTGCGTCAAGAGAAGTGAAAATGATCGTTAGGAAAAACCAAAGAGCGTGTAGCATATTAACAATAAGCGGCTGTCTCAAAGCCATTGAGATACGAAAAAGGATGCCACCTTCGCCTAATGAGATCCATGCCTAGGGGTATCGCAAGCAAAACCATTCGCCGCATTGCCCTTCGTATATGTTCGATATATGGTGTATTGAAAAGAAATGTCGCAATATGTGATAGCCTAGTACCCATGTTGAGGGTTGGGTGCATACTTTTGGTCGGTTACATAGTAAGATTGAGGGTGCGGTACAGCGTGGTATTGTGGACTGTAAGGCTGCAATACGGGGGCTGATGCCCTTCTGTGCGAATCACTCGGTGGTACAGAACCTTGGCTAGGCTGTCGAGTTGACGTTGAGGTTTGTGGAACCGGGACGGGGACATCGAATGTCGCAGTTTGAGGCGCAGCATATTGAGTAGGTGACGTGACTTGAGCATGGTGAGAAGCTGGGTACTGGGCAGCCGATACATGTTGAGAATAATGGGATGCGGGAACCGTTTGCGGTTGATCAAATGGATATTGTCGCGCGGGCTGCGACTGAGGAGCATACTGCGGGGGCGCAGTCGACTGAGTCGGAAACTGAGGACTGGAAGATCGTGGAGATGGATAATGTTGAGGCGAGGGAGGTTTAGCATATTGCTGAGTAGAAGGCTGCTGTGCGGGATAAGCCTGAGCGGGTGGTTGCTGAACGGGGTATTGGTGGGCAGGTTGCGATGCTGTGTACTGAGGCGCGGTTGTCTGTGGGGAAGAGTAATGCTGTGGGCTGTGATGGCTTGGTGCATATTGGTGCACCTGAGCACCGTGCCAGTATTCTGGCACGTGCAAATGGAGTGGAGCGTGGCCCTGAACTAATCCATGGACGCCCACTACTTGCGTGGCTCCAATAGCATGGTGTTGGAGATGACTGGGCTGGATGTGTTGAGGATAGCCTGCAATAAGAGGCATATCTTTACTTTCTTCATCTTCGAGACTGACCTTCCAGCCGGTGAGAAGCTCTGGTCTGGGATGAATATCGGCCAGTTTTGGATCCTGGAATGGTCGCTTCAATTTTCCGCTGACAACGTCTTCGAGACTGTAGTAGGAGATGACATGATGGTGGGTGCCCTGGTACTTGACGGAGATGGTCTTCTTCATCAAGCCACCTTCCTTAAACTCGTAACTGTCGATAAGTGACCCACAGAAGCGCCTCTGCTGGTCCGGAGTGAGACTTTGGGCGAAGTTGGCGTAGACTTTGCTTGCAGTCTCTGCATCGGCAGCGAAAGGGCTGTCGAATGGAGGGTTTTCGTATTCGTCTTCAGACGTGTTGACGTTTTCCCCAGTCTTGGTCACAGAAGTTCCGGCACTCTCTTTGCGCTTTCGTTTGGTGCCGCAAGATGGATTTAGTGCTGTCTTCTTCTCCTCAGGCTTGAGTGCTCGTACGAGCTGACGGTATATCAGACAGTTGTTCATAACCCGGCTTGGAGACCAGTGCACAGCGTCAGTCCAGCGCTTAATCCCAGACGCGTTTTCTTCGTACACAAGGACAGTGCCCGAGGTAAGCATTTCGGCTCGTTCCTTGTCGTGGGGTCGTCGGCTGATATGGCTGAGTCGTCCCTGGAGGGAAGCCTCAACAACAGTCATAGCGTCCTTTGTTGTATCCAGAAAGCCTTGCCAAGTGGGTTTGAAAGCGGGTTGCGCTTTAACCATATTCCCCGCTATTTGGGGCCGTGGAGGCGGTGGTGTAGCAGTACCCGCTGGAAGTACATGTGAGGTAGCGATCGAATGATGGCGAGGTTGTGTGCGCGTTGGTGGTTGGAGATGAGATGCGAAGTTGGTGTACATAGAAGGGTCAAAGATATTGGGATACGATGGTTGGGGCGTGCTCGAATTCTGGGACCAGTTCCATGAGTCTCCCTCACCGTAGCCTTCCACCTTGTGAACACCACTTTGGGACACATCGTGTCCGAAAGATGGCATCGTCAAAGTCGGTGTCCTTATACCTTGCAACATGGAGAAACGGTGATGCAGACGACGAAAACTAGGGATTTGTAGGCGCTTTACTGGTAACGGAACAACTGTAATTTGATCAGCAAGAAATTTGACGGAGAAGGTTTATTCAGTAAGTGAACTCACCTGTATGATTGGAGTTCAAGTCACTCAGTCAGTTTGGCATTGGTTGAAGGATGGAGACAAAGTTCGAGGCAATGCTCTCGCAGGATTAAAGTGAGATTCGATTGGTGTTTGTCGTCGAATTTGTAGGCAGTCTATAAGACCAATCAGTTACCGCTGTAACAGTTGCAATGGCCAACGCACTTGCATGGGGTTGGGAAAGGACGATGGGGCATACTTACGGGACAGCAGGTAAAAACAACGATATCAGTCGATGTACATTGCCAGAAAATAGCGATATGTGATGCTAGGGACGAGTAGAAGTATAGTTGGGGTTGGTATTGCTGCGGGGGTGAATTACTCAGTGGCCAGGATGTGAAGGTCCGCGGGTCCCTGGAATGATATTAAAGGAAATAACAGCAACGGCTGTATCCACGAGCAGGCATATACCGGCCTCGTGGATGGAGGCGCTATGTGGGGAGGACTGGGCCGTTCGGAGAAAACCGACGACACTTGGAGAGGGCAAGTCAAGCGCAAGGAGCATATGCACGGCTGCGACAGAAGACGAAGGCAGTACGTAGTGAGGTGGTTAGAGAGGATTGCAGGTCTGAGCCCATGATACGCTAGATACGGACAGCGGGACAGTTGTAGCGTAACGATGACCCCCTGCTGAGCATCGTACTAGGGAGACTTTGGATATGAGGCACCGCTGCAGAGATGGACACTTTCCTAGCCCCGTTTGCCCGTTCACGGGTTCTGGTTCTGGCCCATGAGACGATCGACGCATACAAGGGACGCACCCTGCACGCTCCCCACCGTCCACCACCGCACGATGGTCGCCGGCTAGTCTGTCATGACTCCGCCTGCCAGGGCGGGTTGACGGTTAGCACAGCAAGCTTCACGTTCCTGGACGGCGGCCGCAGCAGAGGCAGGCGCTGAAATCTCCGACGGCGTCATGGTCTGTCCTCAGGAACCACGGTTTGGCGACGTTGTGGTTGGGTGCCAATTGCGCGGGCATGGGCAAGTAGGTGTTCAGCAATTTGGAGAGTGCCGTGGCTGTACGGCATGGCCTCCCAGCAGGCCCGACCGAAGCCAGTTCAACGATTGATTGAGAGAAGCGGAGTCCGCCAAGGGGAAGACGCCGCAACAGCCCTCAGCACTCCAGTATGGTGAGCTGGGATGTGTATCCGTTCCCGGCCAAGCGTTCTCGGCGAGAGGAGACAAGCCTAATTCGCGGATACGGGATGGTGCACCATGTTTCATGGGCTCGCACCTTGCGCCCGGCCACTGACAAGCTTCCTCTTCCGCGCAAACTCCTCTCACGCGCCAAAACCATAACGTGAAGTATGGGGGGCGGATTATGCTATTGTTCTGCGAGCAAATCTGGTGTCATTTGGAACCTCAGTGTACCTTTTGCCATGTACCATCGCACGGCGCTTGAAACTCACTGCCCGTATATGGCCTAGCCCCGCCATGCTTGCCCGTAACCCTGCCGAGGATCATGCGCGTCCCGTCACACATCATCCGAAGCCGAGAATTGCAGGGCATTCAGCACATCGTAACCCGATGATTTGCCTGGGGGCTGCTAGAATCGCCATCAGTGCAATGTTCAGGAGTCCCAACGTGTCTCCCTGCGCCCATCTGCCTTGCGCAACTCGCGTCTACTTCAGCCTCCACCCACATGGCTGCCCTCTTCAGCCGACACGCTCAGAACATGGCTGGCTCAGGCACGACAGGCAGGTTGGTGTGGGGCCATGGAATGACGACGCTGTTGATACCTAGGTATGTGATAACAGCACGCCTCATAGCTGCAGCAACACCGCGCATGTTTGTTGCATAAATCCAGTTGCTTGTTGTGCCGAATTCTTGGAGCGCAAAATGGCATGGATCAGACCTTGCAAATTCATTGTCAATCTCATCCACTCGTCGTTCAGAAATACAGTCAGCGGTCTATTATGACGTGGTTGTCGCGAATCACGCCGAAACTCACACTATTGAAGTGGGCTGCCTGCTAAGGCGGACGGATCGACTGGAAGCTCTACGACTCGCGCAATGCTTCCCTTTCAGCTCTAGCTGAAGATCCTCGCTTTACTGATCTGGTAAGGGTAGGCTGTTATTTCCACTTCAGCGCACTGGCTTTTGTGACAAAGAGATGTCAATCTCTTGCGCAAAAACCGTCCAAAAGTCGGCAATGATTATCATGGGCCTCGGTAGCGAAGAATACCAACGTTGTGATAACCTACGCCTTTGACACTCGGCCTGGGCAAGTCAAGCCACAACCTCGTATGGTTCTAAACAAACGTTGCCGCAACTTAACCTTGGGTTCGCGCTCGCCAGGGTCGCCTCGTGTCAGAAACATCGCTGCTGATGATTGTCTTAACAGATGCCTATATAGGGCTTGTGCAGGCTTGTATGCCGCCAGTCACGCACAAAGTGGTTCCTATCGTGGCTACCTTGTAATCTGGGTGTAACTCACAAACAACAAGGTGAAAAGCGTCGTGGTCTCAAGGCTCAACCTGTTTTACATTCACCCTCCTCCACCATGTCTTTTGCGACTTGCTACTCAGATATGAAGCTCATGTTCTTCGGTGGTCTGAGATATTAACAGTGAAGTGATTCTCACAATATTGTAAACTATCAGTGCTCTTTTACTGCGCTAACAAGTATTTCTCAACGAATTGAGCAGACATCATGTTTTGCATCTAGGACACTTTCTACAGCTCCACATAAGGAGTCAACAATACCGATCCGAATTCAATCGCCATTCCGGGATTTTCTGACAATCACAGGAGCCAACTCTACGACTTTGGCGAGCAGTTTTCGCTACACAAATACACAGCTCTCAAGCTGTCAGCACAACATCATTGATGTGATGATTCTGCACGTCAGCTGCAGAGCTTGCCCATACTACAATATTAGCTCTGGACGTCAAAACCCCGGCCCGATTCAGGAGACCACAGTGTAGTTCTCACAGTGATAGCCACGACGACCCCTCTGTTTCCCACACCCAGCATCCTTGAGGCCCCTAACAATAACACTCTTGGCGCTTGGAACCGCTCATCGTAATTCTACGATGGTGTCTGGATTATGAAACACTCCTCACCATCCTGGCCCTCTCTCGGCAAGTAAAGATACCGGGAAATAAGTTTCCTCAATGAACCCTCAAGACCACCCAACACCAAACACATAAGGGAATGATCTTTGGCTAACCAAAACCCCACCTTAGCCTTGCACACATAGACCCATGGTTTGTGTAGCGTTTTCTGCTTGGTGTTAGTTATTGTCTTGGCTTATCAAGTTGAATTTTGCAGTTCCCGTCTCCCGGTATTTCGACTTGCCGAGAGGCTTCCACCAGCTGCTTTACCAGTCTCTGGCGCTTGATGTTGGTCTCGTAACCGAATGGCAATTTTGATAATGTTAGACTGGCACCTGGCTTGGTTCCGTTGCTTCCTCGGTCTCTCATTATGAAGCACTCATGCTTGGCAGGTATCGGAGGCAAAGTGATACCACAATGGGACAATCACATTCCTATACCAGGCCTAGCTCATATTCGTATTCCAGACTTCCTACTAGTGCATAGCTTGTCCATTTCTCAGAGGTGGCATCGTTCATCTCGCGCTGAGACAACGATGGAACTGAAATTGGTGAAGTGATGCGATGACAAGTCATGTCACATCTCACGTTGTGGTGATGTGACAGTAGATCGCCAAGCTGAGCGGACAATAACGGCATGCTTATGCGACCTCAACTGATTGATATTTGTTAGCTGCTACCTCACGATTAAGATTACATTTTGTTTTCTGTCAGCCGCTTCTCAAGCACCAAGACGAACCTGAGAACTCCAGTGACTCAACGAACCATCAGATGTTTACCGTGCTCATAGTGGCGGGCCGCTCCTCTGTAATTGAAAGTGTAACCACGGGCCGCTACCTGAGATCAGTCAGTGGACATAGCGACGACAATCACTTAGCTGACGATATTGGGGAAGTTTCTATGTCTCATTTGAAACATCTCGGAGAATTACCAGGGTCATGTTGAGGAGAATAAAGGACACGTTCGGGGCTTTCCAAAAACGCCTACCCTGCTAGCTGCAGCAACATGTACAGAAGTGGCTGAACATCCTCATTCGCAGTTTCACGACATCTGACCTGTTGCGCATCATTCTGACTGGGTCGGCCCATGTCTTCCTGACGCTCACTATCTAAGAGTGCCCCACAAACGTCCATAACTGTGTCCATTTTAGGCTTAGCACGCAGCCCCCAAAGTATATTGCCACTGCTAGCTGCTTGCGCGATACCTCGTAAACTAAAAGCTAGCCAGACCGCCGAGAGTTGCCGACAATCTCTTTCAACGTCCAGCAACACTCTCTTGAACACCTCGTCTGACGATCCATGCTGAGCCTGTATGCACGCCCGTACGTGTTGACATTCATGGACCTGCGTCTGAAGGAACCCCATGACTTCAGACGCAAAATCCCTTGACTCAGCCAGATCCCACGGCTTAACGGTTTGTCCTCCCGCGCGACTCGTTGACCGCTTGGATAGTAGCGAGCTGCCAGCCAACTGTTTCTTCAACGGCTTCTATTGAAAGACCTGTCAAGTCAACTATAACCATAGAGCCTCTTCTTGTTTGAATATCACTAGCGCTGTCTCCAACTGATCATGGGACAATCCATTCAACATGATTGACGCAAGCAGAACCTGTGTTAGTAGAACAATACTACACTCTACAATGTTTCAAGACGCCAGATGCGTACTACCGCGAGCGCAGTCGACTATTCCGGTCCCTTTGTTCTTCTCTCAAAATCACATGGTGTTGCACGTTCCCAACACTGCAAACCTTTCGGTGTCTGGAAAATGCAACGCGTCTACGTATGGAGATTTAAGAAATACGTGAAACCGGTATTCCGATTGAACAGGTGCAGCGATATTACACGTTTCCCCTGCTATAGATCGACATCTCCACTGGCAGCGTTTTGACGCTTAATGATCCTTCCGGTTACTGACACATGTCTGGGGGCGTGTCTGCAGGATCATGCAGATCCGGTCAGTCCAGGTCACTCATCATCTGCCAACCGAATTGAGCAGAGAACAATCTGGCGTTTCCGGGCTTCCCGCGCTGAACTTGCCACGTCCAAGTTATGATACGATACTCACTCGCACATGCTCCGCGGGGCGTCAGGGGGAGACCCCAGCTCGAAGGCGAAACTTGGAGGAGGCGTAGTTGCGTGAGTTTACATGGTACCCGCCCTTCCGCCGCAAGATGCCGTTCAGATCCCGCCGTTTACAGCCCTGCCGTTCATCCCCAGTTATGAGTGAGTTTGCAGCAACCTAAACTCAATAATTCTGGATCTAGAGTCTAGTATGTATCATCTCGAGCGA